ATTCAATCAACTGAACTATAAATTATGCATCAACACATCAACTTTTCAAAATATACCTTTCCTGAACCACGCTATGCCATAGGTGTTCGGCGCGCTGATCAGCCACCCACCCCACAACCCTCCCACCCCCAAAAACCATTTAAACTGCAGTATTTTTCATTTGAAACATGTTTATATATTTGGTATATGCTTTTAATTCAATTACCTTCATTTCCCACAAAAAATAAAAAATTGATTTATATATATACATATTTAGTAAAGGTATGCAACTCGCTGCACATTTTTCAGCACTCATCTTAATAATAATTGAACTCCATAATCCCAACGTTTTTTCACCAATTTTCAATATTATGGTTCTGAAGGGTTGGAGGGCCGCAAAGTGGGCGAGGGTCCCCCGGGGGCAGCCACCAACCAACGCGCCGAAAACATATGCCCAATACAATAGTGACCATCAAGATCGTGAGACCTGCATGACTCTGAGAGCAGATATTTCCAATTGCATTCCATGGGTTCGAATCCTTCCAATTCAACCAACATGTTTAATAATGTTACATTAATCAGGTTTCCATTTGTTTTTAAATCGCATGATGTAAACACTTACACTCCATGCGGTAAAGAAAACTAGCAACAATTTAATGCATCATATTGTCGACAAGGCAGAACACTTGTATTACATTTTAGTATGCTTAGCACCTATTGTCATTAGAATAGCATGCAATATTAACGTGTTAGAAATTGTCATAATTTATTACCCCACAATTGTACATAGGTTGCCACAATTGAACATAGGTTCGAGCTATATTTTTCAATTTGCAGCATTTCACACCACCCATCCTGGTCAGTCCTGGACTGTCTTTCTTACAACTGTGTGAAGCGCTTATTTAAAATAGGTACTTATACTAATATACTTAACTGAGCTGTAAAAAGATTTGAAACAATTAATAGATTTCATGGAATATTTACTAATAAAATATCTTTATTGGCCAAAAACATACTAAATTCCCAAACTCCAAGAATAATGGTTTAAGCTTTTTGTTGGACATAAATTCTACTGCCAGTGTTATCAGCAATTACACAAAATATTCTTTCACTGGTCAGTTTGCAGCATCCAGCTATACTGTCAGTTAAAAGTTGTTTGATTCTGTATTGGTTATTAGTCAATTCAACCAATTAATAGACTTTAATAAACATTGATTATAATAATACACATGTATTTTACATTTTATTTTAATTGAAAGCCACATTCATTAATCTATCTGCAATACAGAAAAGCATTTGCTGATTTTCAGCCAAGACATTTTTGATTATCAAAAAATTAAGTAGCTGCTGAAAAAACAATAATAGCCTAATAATATGGTAATTTAAGTTTTGAACAAAGTGAAACCTTAGAACATTGCCAAAGTATTTGCATCATTTTATTTAAACATTGTAAAGTTAGTGTTTTTTATGTGCCTTATTATGTTTATTGTTAATAAAATAATCCAGACAGAAATCAACAAAGTTTATTACCATGAAGATAAAAAGGCAATCATTTTAAGAACAAAAATTATATAAATACCAAGAGCTTAGATGGACTCTGAAGTGCATAATAATTTATTACAAAATTATAAAAATATTTGTACATTTAATTGACACTAATAGAATGTTAACAGTATTAAACAGTATGTAAATTATAGATCTATTTTGAAGATTTAAAAGCAAATAAAATATATTTTAAAACTGATTAGCTAATAATAACTGATTTATTATGAACCTGTTAGATTAATAGACACATTTTTTCCTAATTCAGGACAATTAGCACAAGTTAACAAATATTTCTTGCTTCCACCATTCTTAACGCCATTGAAAATAGCAAAGTGCACCTACTTGGCTACTGACCTAGCTAGATCATCGTATTATTTATGTAAATCTATCATATTTTTTTTTAAAGGTTTTCATTACAATCATCATCGTTACCATCAGTAACTAATACACAGCGAATGATTTAACATTATAGCGAAATACAATCATAGCTAAATGAATAGCCGTGGTGAGAGTAGATCCATGGATCGTCATAATAAAATTGTCAATTTACGACAGCAGTCAGCATAAAGCTAGACAAAGTACAATTCACAAAACAATGAATATAAATAATTTAAATTTAAACTGTTCTCGACAACAATCTGTTGAAGATCTAAATCTGAAATTGAATAAGAAAACTTCTCTGTCCATATAATATCCTGCTTGATTCAGTGTTCCATGTTCCCACCAAAGACATCAAGAACAAATCCGCTTCAATCGTGGAAAATATCAACAAATTGCTGCTTTTAGGGCACACAGAAAATCACCGACGTCTTATCGATTCATATCTAGAAGATATTACTATCGATTGCTGTTTTGATCAGCGATTTTTTCCATTTTTTTCAACAACTCATTTCTTCTTCCTTGTTACAATATTCGACGCCAGCGTTAAAAGGATATGACGTAGATACAGTACCTACGTCATAACCAGGGCAGGGTATAAGTTGTTCCCCAAATAACAGAGACTATTCTATAGAAATAGTCATCAATAATAATGACGATGATTATAATGATTTTAGCAATAACTATGCAGATTAAATCGTTGATGGTTTGATGATGGTAGTGATGAAGATGATAATGACGGTGATGACCAACGGCGTTAAAGATGATCATGTTCATGACTGAAGTTGTAATGCTTTTTATGATTATAATTCTGCTGTTGTTGTTGTTGCTAAAGTTGTTGTTGCTGCTACTGCTGCTGCTGCTGATGATGATGATGAAAATGGTACTGCTATTACTACTTATAATTATAATAAAATCATGATGAGGAAGTTAAAGCAGAAGTTGATGATGTTGTTCTTGTTTATGATGATGATGATGATGATGATGTTGGTGATGATGTTGATGATTATGATGATGATGATGTTCTCTTTTTTTATGAGAAAATATATTGTCATTTAATGACATCAGTATTAATTTCGTTTAAATGAGTTTGTCGCCATTCTGGTTAATAGTACACATAAAAAGGGAAAATATCTATAAAGATTGTATGGCATGCGTGAAAAGTGTCTAACACATGGTTCATTTGAGCAAAAAGGGACAGCAGTTGAAGTCGGTGACCAAAACACATTCTACTAGTAGTACATGTATTCTAGGCACGGTAGCTATTAAAGTTTAGTGTTTTTTATGTCCTTTATATTTTTGATACATCAGCTGTAAGATTTTTAAGCCTGCCTAAAACGATTCCAACTGATAAATTGTTACCACAATTTTGTAATTAATATGACCCATATTTTATCAAAAGGGTGATTTGTCCATTTTACAAAACAGTTATAATAATTTTGATATTTCCCATCGATGTCAATTTGATTTCTTACAGAGATAAAGGGAGGCAAAATTGGCATATATTCACTTGATAAACGATAAAGTCGGTAGCAATTCAATGATAACGGCGAAATCGGATGAGTTGCTACTAGGATAACATCAAAAACAGTCAACCCCCAAAACAAGTACTAGTATACAAACATGTACATTTTACCGTTGTTTAGTTTCAAGCCTGCTTAAAAAAAAGATTACTAACAAAAATAACTTGCTATTACTACAATATATATAATATGCAAATCATGCCATTGAAACTTTTTAAGGCAAAATTATTGCTGAGTTAAAGACTCTATATCTAGAATTAGATATTGGCAAAATATCATCAAGCCAATCATTTTCGATGTGATTTATTTAATCTGACAAGTTTGGCACGATGGTCGGCCACGTTTGTAGCTATAGCGTGCCGGGCTTCTTTATATTACATGTTCCCTCAACTTTCCATCATGGTTAAACTCTCATGAATTGCGTATTTCTGTTGATAGATTCATTAATAATAGTTGCTTGGATTTGCATTTGAAAATCTATTTTAAAGCAAATTTAGTTTGAAGCTGGTCTTTTGCATCTTCATGAGTTATGAATTCAGTTGTATTGTATGATGTATTGACTTAATTCGCTAGCTTATCTGTGTGTTTTAGTGAAATTACTTCCCCGTAACATATGTCGGGCCCTTTTTAAATTGGAAGCGAAATTGGCATACGAAATGTTGTTCAAAACATACAGAATACTTTTTTATGCACCAACAAATTTTGATTAAAGTGAATTGGTCCAAAATAAAATGTAATATCATTAATAATATGTTAACAATATATAAAAATATCCAAATGATTTCTTTTCTTTTATTGATATTTGAAAGCCATTAAATTATTATGTAGGTTAAACTCTAGTTGTATTAATTTAACAAATAATTTTACATACTAAAAAAAAAAAAATTATTAAAAATAAGGACATAAAAAAAGATATGGTTAAAGTTCAAACTTTGCGCACTATTTTTGACTATAGCAAGGATACTGTTTCTTAGAAAAAATTTTATTGTCAAATAATTAAAACTAGCACATTATCTTCCGAAGTTTTAAGCCAATCTTCAGACTTTTACTTGAGTTTTACTAAATAAATCGATATAAGATAACATTGTTCAACGCATAACACTTCTTTAAAAGAAAAAGATTTAAGAGAAATTATTATTCAATGATGTAGGCATGTAGGCTTGCAATTGTTATTATTCTATGCTTATATTTTTACGGTTTATCAGTGATGGCAAGTGAGAGAGATAGCAGTGAGTAGAGTAAATATTTGTTCAACATGAAACATTTTCATTGATAGATCATTGATGTACAACTGCAATCTCACTGTATCTGTATGAATTATATATAATGCACGACACGCTCCAGTGGTATTCATTTACCGTAAGCTGATTCATTCGCTTGAATACGATATAACAATCTCACACAGCCATGTATGTTTATTTCTTCAATACAAAGTTATGGCTAATGACACATTTATTCTTATATTAATTATCAGTAGTATACACGTGACTCTATAAAGAACAGAATAAGTATTTACAAAGATAATTATATCTTTAGTTCGGCTTAAGTAAATGACTTGTTTACCCGGTTTAAGCGATGTTCGGGATAACGGATTATTTCGTTTTCTTCTGTACAATCGGTGTATCATTCGGTATTGGGATTTTCTTTGCAATATGGGAAAGAAAGAAAAATACGCCAGTGAACTACTTTCTCGCGGGCAGGAATTCGAAGACGTGGCCAGTGGCACTATCTTTTATTGTCACGTTTCAGTCATCTCTAATGGTTCTTGGATATCCGGCGGAAGGATACGCATATGGCATCGGAATAGCATATAACGTTCTGGGAACCAGTATCGCCTTTATATTCAGCGCTTTCTTTATCGTTCCGGTATTTCATCCATTAAAGTTAACAAGTGTTAATGAATACTTCAAGCTTCGGTATGGAAACAATTCTGTCAGGTATATGACTTTAATTGCAGGAATACTTTTTAGTTTATTCTACATGGCAATAGTAATGGTCGGCACATGTGTTGCACTCGAAGTCGTCCTAGGGATTCCTTTTTGGGGAACTATACTCATCTATACAATTGTGACAACTATTTACACGGCGGTAGGTGGAATTAAAGCCGTGATCTGGACGGACGTTTTCCAGCTGATTGTTATGGTAACCGGAATGATTGCCGTTCTTGTGAAATCAACCGAAGGAGCCGGCGGGGTAGAAAGTGTGTTTAAAAATGCTAAAGATAGAATTGGCTCGACAAGTTTTGTATTTGACCCGACCGTTCGCTACCAAATGTGGAATTCAACGTTCGGATTATTCAGTGCGTATTTATATTTCACATTGATGCAACCGGCAATGCAACGAGTTTACTCAACACCAACCGTGCAGAGTGCTCGTAATCTGTATTTTATCTCAACACCGTTTTTCTGTGCTTTTCAACTAATGGCATCATTTGAAGGTATAACAATATTTGGATATTTTGTGGGAAAACGCTGTGATATTCTAGAGGCAGGGATTATAGATAACATTAATGCAATTCTGCCTTTTGCAGTTCTAGACTTATTCCAAAACATCCCGGGTTTAGCTGGATTATTCACCGCTTCGTTATCTAGTGCTGCTCTCTCTACGATGTCATCTTGTTTAAGCAGTCTTTCAGCCGTGACGTATGAGGATATCATCAAAGTAAAGTTTCCAAATATGCCGGCATTCCGTGCAACTCAGTTGTCCAAAATGATTGTACTAATGTATGGTCTAATAGCATTAGGACTTGCGTTCGGTGTGTCAGCCATTCCGGGTTCCGTCGTCTCCATATTTGTTAGTTTTATGGGTTGTTTTGATGGTCCATTAGTTGCAACATTTTTGTTATCTATTATGTTTAGAAGAGCCACAGCCAAAGGAGTGATTACCGGAGCAATATGTGGATCTGTTATCGTGTTTTGGATAAATATAGGCAATCGCTTTTCAGGTGTGCCGCCATATCCATATCTACCACCGGGCCCAACTGACCAATGTGACGCATATTTAAAACCCGGGTACCAAAATATTTCAGACTCTTTCATCCATCCATTATCACTCAACATGACTCCGACCTCTTTTACTCAATCATTGACTTCTATGACGTCAACAGAAGCATCATCATCAACAACAACAACCTCAATCATGTCATACTCAATACCAAAAGATACCGGTAGCTCATCCATACTAGAAAAGATTTACAGCATTTCTTATCAGGTACTCTCCCTTGTTGGCATGGTAACGACTCTTGTTATAAGTGCTACTGTCAGTTTGTGCACCCGTCCTCCTAAGTCTATTGACGAAAGGTGTTTATTCTCGTTCAGGAAACATATATTAGAGAATAATTGTTGTAAAAAGGCAGAATTAAACGAAGACACGGGCTTAGAGGAGGATACAAAGTTCATGGAATGAGAATTCTGTCATCCTTCATAAAACCTTTTCTAGCACTTTTCTTATGGAGAACAACAACAAAAACATCACAACATCCAGAAAACAACGATTTTTCGTTTCAGAAAATATGTGTCAAATGTAATAAATACGAATAAATTCTTTACTACCGGACTGATTGGATTGAAAATTCTCTGGTATTGTGACTTTGAAAGATAGTCAACAATTTCAGTACTATTTCCAAAATACAACTTTGGTCAGTGTAAATAAAAAGAAAACAAACGCTCGAACCGTGTAAAACACACTGTAGATAGAAATCTTTGTATTTAAAAAAGAGATGATATCATATGTTTTTTTACAGATGACTGGGTTATTCAATCACGATAATTGAAAACCAAGTTAAAAGTCCTCTAGCTTTTTCTACATTTTACATAAGTAAAGATAGTCAATATGAATAAGCGGACAAAATGTTCTTGAACTTTGTATAACCAATGAAAATTTTAAGTATATGGAGAAAATAAAGGACAACATCTAAATATTATGAGTTATATGCCACTGAACGCGAGTGTTTTGTTCTTTAAGATGATTTTCAAAATTATGAATATAATAAATTTCTCTTTTTCTGTTAAAAGTCTCGGTTAAAAGTCGGCAAATATTTTTTTTTACGTTTAATCTGTTAAATTTTAATATATCTCTTTCGAGCATATCATTTATAAACTAATAACATATCTGGCAGGCTTTATTTTACTAAAACAAAGAAGAAATCGATTCCATCTAACTATTTCTTCAGGTACTATATCTAGCAGAAGCTTGCCGCGAGTAGTGATATCTGAGTCTATGATCGCACTCATTCTTTGTGCGCATTGAGATTGAGACAGCTGTGCACCGAAACTTTACAATGTCTGGTATGATTTCCATTGAACTAGCTTTAATCACAAGTGCGGAGCTTAAAATTAATGTAGAAACTATCAGATGTGCCTTTAATTCTTTGTGTTTCAATCAAAGTGAGTATGATGCATTTGAAGTTACACCCGTTGGCAAATTAAAATAAATGTGTCGTCAAAAAGTTAATGAAAATTAACTGTCAAAGGCTTCTTATTTTCAGTAATCGCCTTATTATATAAAAGTACAAAATATTAAAACATTTATCATACAAATTCACACTTAAAAGAAGCTACATTATCGCCCAGAAAGATTAAAGGCAAGCTTTCGATTTAACAAACCTGTCATAAGATTTGTTTAAAAAAGTGTTTTGCACGCATATGATACTGTGAGGATATTTAAAAACTGCTAATTCTGAATTGCAAAAACACTAATATATTTTGGTTTAAACTAAAATGTTTTATTTTGATTGTGTTTGAAGCTGTGCGCTTATTGAAACGCTCTATAATTTGTTCGTACTAAGCAATGAGTGTAAAGTTTCTTGCTCACGGTAACAACGGTTTGCCCCTGACGGGGTTTGAACCCGCGTGGCCAGCAATCTTTAAAATACTCGTCTTACGCGTTAACCACGCGGCCACTGCGCCAACACTTCAATAGGAGCTATAGTCTGTAAATCCCCCTCAAAAGATCTAAATTAAGCATCACCCGAACTTTGAATCTGAGTATTTGAGAATCGTAGTAATGGTTTCGACCTGGATATCACGTGACTCCGCCCCGCTCTTGTTTCCTGTCAGCCAAATAAAGTTCACATGACTTAGATTTTTCATAGTTGCCTATCTCAAATCCGGAGTAATATCAAAACATACTTTATGAGCTTTCAGTCATGAGTATAGCTGTATTTGAGCCGCATCACGACAAAACCAAAATAATGGGTTAGCAACCAGCATGGATCCAGACCAGCCTGCGCAACCGCGCAGTCTATCAGGATCCATGCTGTTCGCTATCAGTTTTTCAACTTGTAATAGAGTTGGTATTGGTAAGACGAACAGCATGGATGCTGAGCAGACTGCGCGGATGCGCAGGCTGGTCTGGATCCATGCTGGTCGCAAACCCATTATGTTGGTTTTGTCATGACGCGGCTCATTTCTCCGAAATGCGTGTCAGGTATGATAAACATACCCAGTCCAGTTTGTTCACTTGTGATGAACCCGTAATTTAAAATGGGCTAAAAATATAGCTAAATAAACGTGCAGTTTTTAACCAAAGAGAGGAAAAAACATGAAATATTCAACAACGCAAGTAATTTTTGTTCATAAAAAGTTTTATATATCATTATTCAATGTTCATATTATTTTTAAAATACGACGCCTGCATCGTAAAAGAAGACTGACAAAAAATTACACCTCACCATATACTACAGTATATAACAAATTATGAATTAATTAAAATTATAATTCACAGGCAAGTAGTCTATAACTTGTACTTTCACATTTAGTTTTACAAATATATTGGCGTCAATGTTTAACCTACAGTAAACTGTAGGTTACACATTCACATAAGTATTTCTAACTTTAACATAATTAAATTCTTTAAGTTTCATATTGGACTGTCATATACATGTACTAGAAACTTAATTATTCACATATACATGCAAGTTCAGAAGATTATTTGCCTCGCATACGTGCTTGTCTCATTTATGTTTGCCTCATTTATGCGTATTGGCATATGGTCCTTTTTTTTAAATAATTCACATACGCAGCTAAGTTTTGAACAATCGTCATAAATTTGATATGTACACTGATTTTACCTACGCTATGGCTGGACATATCATTAAGTACCAACAGTAATTTCAGCTGTTTATTCGTTAGTTACTAGGTATATAACTTTAATACCCACATCCATTCATGATATTTTTCACATATGGTTTTCAAACATGTTTTTGTACAAAGTACTCGTATGTCAACTGCTTACATCTCGTTTATTCCAAGAAACTAGTTCCGCATTTCATTTAAATTTTCACATTTACATTGATTGATCATCATCTACTAAATTTGTAATTCAATATTTTGAGAGTATAATTAGATACAATTTTGGATCACAATTGTCTTGATTAACCGGTATAAATTTCTGACATTCAATCGTTGATTTCTGAAAATATCGAGACTCCGGGTTCGAGCGTTGACCCGCAGGTCGGACACTTTGGCCCCGAGATTCCCGACATCCTTTGCGAGGATAAACTTCCGTAGCTACCGACCCTGGTGATAGTATGCCTGTCAGAGCGTGACGAACAGTTTGTAAGGGTATTATTCATCTCCAGATATTCATTTAAACTGTCACGTGATTTGCGAGTTTCTTTGAATGGTGCAGTTGGCTTATTTGGAGTAATGTTTTTATATTTCATATATTCCGTAGCTTGCGTGGAAATCACAGCGAAGGCATCACGCGCCTGGAAATGAGAAAAAAGGACAGTAAACCTGATCGTTTTGGAGTGATGAAATCGTAAACCCATAACAGTTTTTTATATGAACAATTTGTAATACTGGGGTACTTCAAATAAACTATATCACATTTTCAGGTTTTCTAAGGACAGCAAATTCACATGGAAAGCAAGTTTGAATAGGAATGCATTTTAACACTATAAAACGCTCTTTCACATATTTGAAGACTTTAACATTCGAATATTTGGCCAAGAACTTGTTTATTGTTGTTGTTTTTAAAATGACATTATGATCAATTTGCCATTGTCTTGAGTATATATTTTGAAATATTGACTGTTATAATGGTAACTGGCCAACAGTTAACACTGGAAAATGTTTAAGATTATAGGTAAATTCTGATTTATATTTACCGAAAATTTCCTTGGGTTATGTGAGTTTTTTATCAATCGAAAGACGTAAATTATGATATATATAAGGGTATTATGACAAGATGTAAATTTATTTTGATTTTCAACTGTTCACTCAACATGTACCCCTGGATCGATGGATTAATGTATATATCTTTATTTTCATCACATGAAAAGGATGTCACTCTTTTTGCAATATAAAATAACATGTTCTTAAAGATCTGAATATTCTAAAAATAATGAATAAGTATGGTGCCCCAATAAAAACCCATCGTTTAAAAAACGATTAATTTACTAAAAAATAATGAAATACCTGCACGTCAGGGGCCGACGGACTGTTCTAATACACGTTTGAAAAGATACAAAATGTGTATGTTTTTTTTTTTTGAAAAAGTTTTGATTTTTTTGGGAGATATTTTTCCACATTGTATCCCAAAACTTTCCCTTAAAAAATAAAATATTAATGGGGTTCCATTTTATACAAAGTGAACCAATATTTATTTGAAAAAAAATTTAAAACGATATTTTGGGTTAAAAGGGGAACTTTAGTGAAAATTTCATAAAATGTTTTAAAATTAAAAAAATTTTATGCTTTTAAAGTTAAATACTTGATTTTCCCGGTGTTTTTTTTTCCTAAAATTTTCCCTTTTAAAATTATTGAAAAAACTTAAATTTTATTGTAAAAAAAATTTAAAGGGAAATTTATGAACTGTTTAAAGGAAAAATGTTTTTAAAAGGGGTTTTTATTTCCAAGCCTTTTTAAGTTCAAATTTTTTTAAAAAGGTTTTCCCTTTAAAATTAACCTAAAAAACTTTCCCAAATAAAAATTTTCTTAAACCCTTTCAAATTTTAAAATTTGTTCCCAAATTTTTAAATTTGCCCTTAAAAAATTGCTGACTTACCTTTAAGGAAAAAATCCCCCGGGGCCGAGGGCCCGACGAAAATGACTGAAAGAGGGAGATGGCTAATGGATACGAGACGCTCCAAAAACGCATCAAAATCATTGATAATGCCATCCTGAAAACGGAGATAATTGAGCCGTGTCATGACAAAACCAACATAATGGGTTTGTGACCAGCATGGATCCAGACCAGCCCCCAGAAAAAATTTTAAAAACAATGTTTTTTTAAAATGATTTAAAAAGGGGGAGTTTTTTAATTTTTAAAAAAAATTCTTTTTTCCCCAAAATTGTAATTGAACGAAAAAATTTTGGTTTTTTTAAAAATTTTCAATTTTTTAAAAAATTTTTTTTAAAAAAAATTTACGAAAAAAGGAAAAAATTCTACCGGAAAAATTTTTAAAACCCCCCTGTAAAACCAAAACCCAGAATAAACGAAAAACCCCTTTTTTTCAAAAATTTCCTTGAAAAAACCCCAAAAATTTGAAACCCAAATAATTAATTAACCAAATTTTTAAAAGGGGGTAATTACAAATTTTCCCCTTTAAAAAAACCCCCCAAAAATTTGGCCAATTTCATGAAAAAATTTCCCAAAATAAATTTTTTTTCCAAATTTTTAAAAAAAAGCAGTTAGTAAAATAATTGGGGTTTTTAAAGAGGGAAAACCCAGGTTTTTTAGGGGCAAATAAACAAATTTTAAATTTTTTTTTTGGTTTAATTTCCCTTTTCCCCTTTTTAAAATTTCTTAGTACCCATTTTTTTTTTAAATTTTGGGGAATTTTTTTCTTGATTTTAAAAAAACCTTTATTGCCGGGCCCCAAAACTAATTTAAAAATAAACTTTTAGGGTTTCCGGGTTAAAAAACAATTACCCAAATGCATTTTAATTAAATTTTTTTGCCTTTTCCCCCTTAAAAATTTTTAAAGGAGGAAAACCCCCCTTAATTGTTTTTGGGCCCGGTTTTCTTTTAAAACAGGCCAGGGACCCAAGCCAAGCCACCCAGGGGGTTTAACTTAGGGAAAACCGGGCAAAAAAAAAAAATTTTTCCTTACTGAAGTTTTAATAAAGATTTTTTTCCACAAAAATTGAAAAAAATTTATTTTCAAAATTTAGTTTTTTTAAATTTTTTTTTGGGAATTTAAAACCCAAAAAAAACCAACCCAATTAAACTTAAAAATTACCTTGCAATTTAAAGAATATGTTTTTAAAAGGGAAAACAGGGCCTTTTTTCCTTTTTTTTGATTAATTTTTTTTTCCGCCCGGAAATTTTTCTTTTTAAAAAATTTTTTGGTTCCCAAAACTTTATTTTAAAAATTTTTAAAAAAAACTTTCCCTTAAATTTAAGGTAAAAGTTAACTTTTTTCATTTTTTTAATTTTTCCTAAGTTTCCGGCGGTAAATATTTTTTCAATAAAAATTTTTTTTACCTTAAAATTTTTAATAAAATTAAAAAAGTTTTCAAAAGGAAAGGCCCGGCGTTTTTTCAAACCCCCAAAAAAAAGCAGTACCTTTTTAAAAACAAAAATTTAATTTAAACCCCCTTTACTTTAACTTTAAAGGGATTAAAATAATGGTTTTTATTTTCCTTTTTGGCTTATCTATAAATAAAATAAAGGGAAATATTTGAATTAATTTCACTTTTAAAAATTAAAAATTTTTTACAAAAAAGGAATAAAGGAAAAATTTTTTTTAAAAAAAAAAGTAAAAATTTAAAAAAGATTTTTTTCCTTTTCACGGGGAATTTGTCCCAGTTTCGCCCAAAGGGGAAAACAATTTGACATTTTTCTTCGGGGTTGTCAACCCTTGGGGGCCGAACCAAAAAAAGAAAAATTTTTTGCCCCGGGTTACAATTTGAAAATCAATTTTCCCAAGACTTTATTACGTCTATTTTAACCCCATTCCCCGGGAAACAATTTTTAATTATTGTTTCAAAAATATTTTTTCTAAAATGGAAAATTTTTTTAAAGGGCCAGTAATGCTTTAAAAAAATGGTTCTTTTTTTAAGGGAAAGGACCTTGGAAATTTTTATAATGTTTTAAATAAGAAAAGCGGATCTAACCTAAGGTAAAAATTTTTTAAAAATTTTGAACAAAATATAAAAAAAAAGTTGTTTTTGACTTTTTTTAACAATATTAATTAGTAAAATCCAAAAAAAAAGGAATTAAAAAAAAGGTCCAAAATTATTAATAATTTTTTTTACTTTAAAAACCCAAAAATTTTAAAAAAATTTTTGAAAGGGGTTTTTTTAAAGAAAAAAAACTTTTCGGGGGAAAAATTTTTAAATTCCAAATTGTTTGTCCGGAAAATTTTTCAATTTTTTAAAAAATTCCAAAAAGCTTTTTATGGAAAATACTAACATTTTTTTAAATTACTTTTTTTTTGGTTTAAATTGGCCCCCCAAAAAATTGGTAAAGAAATTTAAACCTATATTTATTTTTTTAAAAGATAAAACCCGAGGAGTTTCCTTTGGTTTCGGTTTCCCGGCTATTATCAAATTTCCAAAAGACAAAACGGAAGGGGCCCCAAAAAAAAGGTTGGGAAAAAAAATAAACATACTTTTTCTGATGAAAATTCGGCAAGGAAAATTTTCCCCTCACTCATTTTAAACCCATTAAAAGGACTGAAAAGAAATAAAATAAAAAACAAAAATGTTAATTGAATTGTAAATTCCCTTTTCCCTTTGAAATCCCAGTATCGGTATAAAAATTTAAAAAAATAAGAATAAAATTTATCCCAAAAAATTTTTTCAACAAAAAAACGGGCCTTAAAAATTACCCCCCCCCATGGTAAGCGGGGCATTTTTTTAACCGGCTGTTTTTATTTAGTAAAAAACTTTAAAAAATTTTATTTCCATTACTTGTTTTACCCAAAAAAGTTTTTATTTTTAAAAAAAAATATATGCATTTAAAATTTTTCCAGGTCCCATTTAAGTTTTTGGGAAATCAATTTAAAAAATTTTTTCAACTTTCACGCACAGTGAATAACACAAAATTACATTTCCTATAGTTCCTTGAGCAAATGAAAGCATGAAATGATGTTTGCTTTCAAACATGAATTTATAAGCCAAGGGCCTTTTTACCCAAGATCACTAGGTCTCGAACCTAACACCAATTCAGCTAGGATGTCGGACCATGTTGCGGTATGATACTTACAGTAAAGTCTATTCCTATGATTAAGTTGAGGTTCATGCCTCCACGAACATAATCCATCAATGAATACTGACAGTCTATCCTAGTAGCCAAAAACAGAAAAAAACATCATGGAGTTCGATAATAAGTGGGAATGCTTTTGAAGTCTGAGCCCCAGAATGGTCAATATTGCAATTTCGTAAAATTTCATGCTAGTTCTTTTCTTTGTTCAATAATACACTTTTATGTGAATTTAGAGAAACTTTTGCCGTTAGTTAAGGTAGTTTCTGTTTTTTTTTTTTTTTTTTTTTTTTGTTTCCTTTACCCAAAACAGTCATTGAAAATCACCATGACAAACAAATAAAAAAAATATTCTTTTTTAATTAAAAATCAAATTGGGGGAAATAACAAAACATTCGACACACGGAATGTCTCAGAGCAGTCTATTTAGGCCGTTGTCTGGTGTTGTTTGCCTAAAATTTTATTGACTTCCCTGTTTTCTAAATAATGGAAAATTTCCTTAATCAATATCAAGACGTTGTATATCATATAACTTCAGATGGTCAAGGAAAATTTAAAATAAATTGTTTGAATATTGCGCTTTAAAATGTTTTGGATAATTGCAAAAAAAAATCCTCAAACGCAAATTATCTTTTAATCAAAATAAAAGTTCATGAGATATATTAAAAACCCCCAAAATGATTTCAACCGAATAAACCATAATTGCTTGCCAATGTGGCCCGCAAGCCCTTTGTGGAAATAAATCTAATTTTCTTTTTTAAAAAAAATCGAAAAAAGTTTTCATACCTTCACATAATGTATGTAATAGAATAATTACTAGTATATTATGAAAGCTCTCCTTTGAAGCTATTCTTTAATAATTACATTATGGCAAAGATCGGCAAGGAAATTGATTTATGACGAAATAATGATATTGAAGAAAAATAACGACAACAAAATTGTGTCTCATTTATTATTTTTTATCCCATTACCTAATACTGTAAAATCGTAGATATCCGCAAACTGATATTTTTACACTGTTTTTGTGCTTATCTTTCTTTCTAGGAGCGAGGCTTACTTCTTGATAGTTTCCACTCCTGTAAACAGAGAATAAAATATTTTCAAGTTAAAGCTTGAGGGTTTTCTTATAACAAATTTGAGCCGCGTCATGACAAAACCAACATAATGGGTTTGCGACCAGCATGGATCCAGACCAGCCTGCGCATCCGCGCAGTCTGATCAGGATCCATGCTGTTCGCTATCAGTTTCTCTACTTGTTATACGGTTTGTCAGCGAATAGCATGGATCCTGATCAGACTGCGCGGATGCGCAGGCTGGTCTGGATCCATGCCGGTCGCAAACCCATTATGTTGGTTTTGTCATGGCATGGCTCATTTATTTTTCAACCGTAGTTGTAAAGGCTTATCTTCATTACTATAAACATATTTTAATTTCTCTGCCTTGAGAGAAATCACAATGTCTAAAAGAAATCAGCTAAAAAAACCTTTATCAATGGCAACAAAAAGGCATATTTTTCTTTTTCTTTTTTTTTTGAAACTGTACCACTGGATACATTATTTCATGTTTATAACTACATATGTTGTAACTTTATGCAAATAAATTGTTGTTGTTGTTGTAAAAGACATCTGACTCTATCCTATTATATATTATGGCTTACTAAAGAACACAGAAGCAAAAGATGGTTCAAGTTCATGTATTTGGTCAATGAGTTACTTTTTAGAAACTATAACAGTACACTTTTTTCGAGAAAAATAAAAAATGAATAAAGAAAGCTTATTGGTCTTCTACCTAAATAATGTCAAAATACATACGTTTTAAGAAACTTTAGTTCTCTCAAAGTGGTTACTTTGCGACCTAGCATTTTGTAATCTCCTCTACCGCTGAAAATATACGTACAACAATTATTAAGATGCATGCGAACAAAGAAAATGAGACAACTTTTATCAGAACATAGTAATTGTCTATCTATATAATATTATCTGTTTTTCACTTGCATAAAAAATATCCACTTTCCAGTGAAATAAATGGTGTTCATTTCCATGTACAATATATCCTAGTATGTTTTTTCTATACTGTAACATGAAATTTTGTGTGTTTTTCCTACTGTTGTGAAATTGTCTTATGATTATGATTAAGCTATATAGATATCTTATAGACTTGCTAAGCTGTAATTTACCTATGTCGCCACACCGAGAACTCGAGCAATCTGTCCCAGTCCCCGTTACATAGTCGCTGAAACCCAATATCGAATGGCCGCCATCTGGAATACAGACAAACTATAATTTTATGCATTTAGTTTAAACATATTTATTTAAGCTCGATTGCGAAACTAGTTCTTGAAACTTATATTAATCACTTTCGAGTACCAACCAGCACTAGTGCCATATGTAGAAACATGGTCGTGACCCATGTAGGGCTCGAACCCATGATCCCAGGGTTGAGAGGCAGACACCTGAACCAATAGGCTACTACTCCCCTATTGTCAAGGGAGATAATCATCTAACGTCAAGGCAGGTAACCAAAAGTGCCTCTTGGGATCACTGACTTACCTTGGTTTTACTGTTTTACGTAATGTTTCTGTTCGGAATACTGGTTGATAGGCAATGTTGTCAATACTTCTTGAGATCTCTAGAAATACATCGGGCTGAAAGTAATAACATATTTCAACATTGCAGAATGTCAGTTTGCTGAAAAGCCCGCTGTTAAACAGGTGTCGGTCTCGTGAAAAAAAAAATGAACCAATTCCAACGTGCATGTATGTGAATTCAGTTTCACTTAACCATTATAACAGATAAAAAGACAACATGATCTGATATTAACGTATAAGTTTGCGTAATATTTCGTTTTCGTATTATGACTTCATTGACGCTACAATGTTTGACGTTCTTAACACTAACGTAATGCAAACACAAGCATATACACACTTGCACATAAGCAAGTAAGCTTTCATCTTTTAAAGCCATCCCGAAACTATAAGGGTGATACGGCGAAAATCCAAATTTATTCGATGAGGAAGGCCTCAAATGGCTATTATTATGCACTTTCGGGCATTAATTCAGGCGTGAGGGGGACATGAGTGAAAGTCAGCTTATATAATTACATGTAAACCGTTGTCTCTTTTCTAATATCTTATAGCAGATGGTTATAGAAATGAGATTATTTTTCAAAAAACAACAACAAATTGTCTTTAGTTTTTATTCTAAATCTGTTGAAATGTTCTTCAAAGACCAGCATGATGCCAAATATTCATCCTTGTATGATGCATAATCAAGATAGTACTACGTGAAAGATTTACATTAATTAGAATAAGAAGCTGTCATTTTACGAACCTTGGTTGTTAATATTCGTCCTATTTTACCAAGATTTTGTCCTCCTACATGTAATGAGACTTTGTTACGAGACTCTCGTACAATCTCGGAGGTAATACTTATAATACCCCGTGCTCTCGGATCACCTAGATGTAAAAAAATCAGTTAAGCTTAGCATTTATATACATAGGCCCCCTATTATGTTTTTGTCACACAAATTCTCAAAATACTACAAGAAAATGTAACCCTGTGATCTAGCAGTTTATTTACATTATTGTATACATGTACATGGTGTGACAGCAGACAAATACAGACAGACCGACGAAAATCTAATTACATAATGTACTAAGAACTTTTGTTGAAAAGCTGCCATCAGCATATACTGTAATTATTGCGCTAAACATAAACAACGGTGTGGATGATTATTTTGTTTCTGAAGAATATTTTGTTAAAGGAACTCTACTGAGGTCCAAAAGCTTAAAAACATAACATTTGAATCTCGTAAAGCTTGAGTACTTTAAGTAAAAAGTTTGAAAAATTGTTTCCATTCCTGTCATGTCAAAATAACCTCAGTTGAGTCCCTTTAAGAAAAAGCAGTATTACAGGAGCAAAACGAATAGAGTCCATGGAGTCGTCGCTTTTGTGTTAGATCATATCGAAATCTGGAAAGAAAGTGATCCCTCGGAAGCAATAATCCTAACAAAATTACATAAGAATTGCAGACTCGGTTTGATTGAGTCTGTACATGAGGAATACTGAAAAATTGTGCAACATCCCTCACGCCCCTAGCACCGGCTTGAGCGGTACTCAATTCTCAACACTTAATAGTGCTGGTATCAATGATCCCGAAGGACCAGAAAAATATAACAACACTGAAGTGAAGTACGGGGCAACTTTTTACAGCTGCCACACGGCACTTGACACCTGCTGTTGTGAAGTATAAAAATCTGGAAAGAAAGTGATCCCTCGGAAGCATTAATCACAACAAAATTACATAAGAATTGCAGACTCGGTTTGATTGAGTCTGTACATGAGGAATACTGAATAAGTGCAACATCCCTCACGCCCCCTAGCACCGGCTTGAGCGGTACTCAATTCTCGACACTTAATAGTGCTGGTATCAATGATCCCGAAGGACCAGAAAAATATAACAACACTGAATGCAATAGTATTCATGTATAATACTATGTATTTATTAAATTCAATACAAAAAAATATACCTGCAACACGAAGGGTTCTACAGGAAGTACACACGCTTTTAGAAGGATCTAGAAGATCTGACAGTGTCGTCTCTACTGACCCAACATAATCATGATGTTTCAAATCTGTCGTCCTGAAAAAATAATTGGTACTGATAGCCAAACTCCTCGCAGCGGTTACTTCCCTTGATCAAGAATGATGGGGCGATCACTGCGTTGAGCATTGTTTGCTAAAACATCGTATACAAAACTCATTGGAAATTCTGCCTTTTTATTTCAAAAATACTTTTAGATAAAAAAAATGGTAGGTCTAGTAAGCTGGAGACAAAAAATGTGGAAATTAAAATAGAAAACTTTAAATTTTAAATTCTGATTACCTGCTGTCAATATCATACACGCCGAACATCAAGGTTTGCTGTATTGCTGGGTCGAATACTATCATGAATGATTCAACAAACTGAAATGAGGAATATCATAGATGAATATATCTTGCATTAATCTATTTGATTTGTGCTACGCATAATGCTTATTGTCTAAGCAATACTATGTAAAACAATAACGGAATGCACCAATTCAGATGCCTGCCTGCATCTGAATTTCATGTAGGAGTTAGAGAATTGTACCAGTGTATAAAACCATAAAATGGTAAACTGTACATCCACACAAACGAAAAGAATCAAAGTAAGCGGACATATATTGACACGGACAACATCATGCGCTTTGTAATAAATAAAACTGTATACCTTTTAGGTTATTGTGCGCACGCTATGCAATTTATTTTTGTAAAATAATGCAAACCGTGAGCTGTTCTCACGCCAAAATTGATTTATACTGTTTATTAATACGGATTGTCACCACAGAAATGTTTATATATACGAGTTTGGGGACCTTTCTGTTGAAAATGTGACAGAGTTAAATCGTATGCATGCACAGTGCGTTAACTGGAGTGCAGGTATTAGTTACCCGCACTCCAGAGCATGCCAATTGATTGGTTCATTTTGTCCGGGGTTTACATTTTGTGACGACAGAGAAAGGGATAGCGATGGAAATATCATATTCAGATGCTCGTCCATTGGTTACTTTTTTGTGGGGTATCACGTTGTGGTGACAGGGAACGTGTTTAAATTATGTTTGACTATGATACAACAGAGAAAGAACACCAAAACACTCGGCAATCTGATTTATACTCGAGGGCTACGCCCCCTCGTACAAATCGGATAGCCTCGTGTTTCGGTGCTCTTTCTATTTCTTAATAATGCGATGATGAATTTAAAGATAGAGAATTCAGATAAAGATCAAATATTATCCCATATAAGTCGTATACATTAATTTTCATTATGTATTTTCTTATAATCTGAAATTGCTTGCTTTGATGTTAAGTGTTTCTTTATAAAATAAACAATGCGTGTACTTCGGTTGATGCGTGGATAATAAAATTCATGAGAAAAAAATAAACGCTTTTACTAAAATAATCTTGCTTATGCTTCGCAATCCTTTAATTAATTTACATGTACTGTACATGAAATTCTTTTCCAAATTTCCCAAACCTAAATTGTTAAAAAGAAGATATTCATAAATAGTTCACTTAAATACATGTACTAAATTATCGTCTTTTAGCACAAGTAGTTATAGTACAAACATCGTTGTCCATGTTGAACAGAAATGTGATGGTAGCCGGGACTATTTCACTTAGTCCCGGGTATGAGTCCCTGCAGGCTGTCCCGGGTATGAGTCCCTGCAGGGCTACTTTTGCTATTTCATAGTGTTTCACGTGTATATGGCAAAATCGTACAGAGTCTTTGAATTGCACATTGAATATAAACAATAGATCATTTACACTGTCTTAATAAGTGATAGCAAAGGAGAACATTTGTGTAATATAAGACTATGTTATTTTGCAAACCAATTGTTATATACGTGTATACGCAAAAATATTTTAAAAAGATTAATACCTTTGGATTCAATGTGTCCCTGATTGCCTCCGTGCGTCCGAGTTCTTTCCATTGTCCAAATTGTTTTAGGAAGAGGACACACATCGGGTCCGTCTTAGTAAAATGATCTAAATCTACCAGACCGGTACAGCTAATAAGTAACTCAATGGTACTTCCGGTGAGATCGCTCAGTGGTGAGGTGCTCATTGCTAAAGTTTACTGAACTCAATGAAGGCACCTACACAGCCTCTAAGCAAGATCTGACCCGTTACCTAACATGCAAAAACAACAACAAACATCCATGCCCCTGAAATGATAAACAGTTTTGTTTGTTTGTAGTTTTATTTCTGGATTTTTTACGCCGATTTATCACATGATTTCGGTCATAGCTCGGCGGCAGTCAATCCAGTTAACCGGTTTCCCTGGATAACTAACCAGTAATGATAAATTTCACTGCAATAACCAGCTATTTATCCCACATAATATCTGCATCAACGATGAGAGAGACAATTGAGCCGCGTCATGACAAAACCAACATAATGCGTTTGCGACCAGCATGGATCCAGACCAGCCTGCGCATTCGCGCAGTCTGATCAGGATCCATGCTGTTCGCTATCAGTTTCTCTACTTGTCATAGGGCTTGTAAGCGAACAGAATGGATCCTGATCAGACTGCGCGGATGCGCAGGCTGGTCTGGATCCATGCTGGTCGCAAACGCATTATGTTGGTTTTGTCGTGACGCGGCTCAAACGACCAAATGTCCGGGATCAATTGTCACGGAGAAATCACAACTTGCTCGAGGATCGAACCAACGGTCTCTAGATTACTAATGCGAGACTCTGCTTTGAATATAATTAATAATTGAAAGATAAAACTTGAAATTCAGGAACTTGAGAATAAATAAAATCTACTTTGCTTTTTTACCCGGTTACGATGATAACTAAATAAAACATTTATGACAAATTTCATTGCTTTAAGATTGGCAATACATATAATAATAATATGCAAATAAGGAAATAAACAAGAGGGCCAATATGGCCCTAGATCGCTCACCTGACCCATCGAACTCATCCGAGCAATTACATAGACAAGCATCCTGACCAAGTTTTATGACAATTGAGTTAAAAATGTGACCACTAGAGTACTAACAAGGTTTTTCTATTTTTAGCTGCTGTGACCTAGCTTTTCATCCAAGATGACCCATGATCGAACTCATCCGAAAAATACCTAGACAAGCATCCTGACAAAGTTTGATGATGATTGAGGCAAAAATGTGACCGCTAGAGTGTTAACGACCAAATGTGGACGGACGACGGACATTCAACGATCCTTAAAGGTCACCCAGAGCTTGCTCAGGTGAGCTAAAAGGTAGATAGATTTGACTTTTTGTTAAATGTTTACATTTTAATAATGCGGTGTGAAAAGTCAATTGTTCACCAAAACACGACATGTACTAAAGTACCTTGAAAAAGATTTCGCAAACCCGATAAAACATTCAGAGGTATTTGAAGATCTGACAGTTTATTTTAGGTGTTAAATATATATTCTTATCTAAATGGCAATTTATTACCTGTACTTAAAGACCTATAGAGAGATGATAAACACGGAAAATATATTATATCAGATATCATGACATTAACAGATATAAGATTATATGAGCTTCTTTTATCGATCTTTAGATAATTATTCGGTTAAATTTAAAGTCCTGTTCGTGTCTGTTTGTTGTGGTTACAAAAAATAAAATATGATATACAGACTGAACAAGAAAAATGGTGTATACATGAAAGGGAGGAGGAAAAGAGCGTCCAGTAAAATAATAATAAGTTAACTAAGTTTGATCCCTAAATTGGACTGTAAACACAAGTCATGACTTTATTTTTACAGTTCCCATTTAACACTGCTGTAGGTTCGAATCCCGATAGGGACTTTGAATAATTCCAAGTGGCATACGGCTTGTTACTAGTCGGTAGTTCTACTAAGGTGCGAGTTCGTGCTTGAAATAATGGACGAATGGGAGCCAGAGGTCTTTCTCCGCCAGTAAAGCTGGAAAGTTGTGATATGAACTATACTGGGTTTGTGCGAAGTAAAACCCAACAAAAAAAATATCTGAATTAGAAAAGCGATATTTAGATAAAATCTTGTTCAATATATCACCTCGTCAGATTATCGTTTGAAAGAAAATGAATGAATGAAATAGATTCGTACCTCTGTCTAACTATGTATATTATATGACACGGGAGGTGCGCGCCAGGACTAGAATGTACATACAAGTATTTCATGATTAAAATGTTCATGAAAAAATGGAGAAAAAAAGGTTGAATGCGTTTTTAAAAAAGGATAGAATATAAAAAGTTTAAAGGATTGAAACAGACATTTACTCTGTTAATTAAGCAAATTACCTAGCATATAAAAACAACACTTTATATGTATACAATATTATTGAAAATAATTAACAAATGCGACTGGAGAAATAAAATGAAATAAATATTATAGATCACTTACCTTTATTAATTTGTTTTCCTTATCTACGTACTGTATATAGATCAAAACAAAAAATAAACATCCAGTTAGGTTACAAAGTATGTCAAAAATTCATATACTATTAGATAATCCCCTCTTTTTATTTACACATGTACACTTTTTTAAACTGACAAAATCAAGAAAGAAAATAAACACACAATTTAACTACACGTATATAAAACACATTAGCAATGTTTTGCCTTTTTCAGATATATGTTATTTTAAACTTAATTTTATGATCATTCTATTGCAAAAGCATGTGTATTTAATTATAATCCGGGTCACAAAGGTGCTTTTAAAACGTTTATTTAAATAAGTAATATCAAAAGACGAATTAAAATATCTAAAGATCAAGTCTACGACATGTTTTTACCCGTTTCTGATTTGTGAAAAAAATCTTATGTTTGTCTATGTTTACCGATTACCCGGAATACTTGGGTAATGATAACACTGTAAATAATGATCGGGTATTTACGACTGTTTTGTTGAAATTTCTATGACAGTCACAATAGCTAGGGTTTTAACAAAAGTGTCTTGAGGAAATAATTAATGTAAATATTGGGAAAAAAATGAACCCGAGATACTGTCATAAATGTTTAAGTAAGTAACACCAATGAAAAATGGAAGGAAATTGATCTTTTTGTAGTGTGCAAAAAATAATTTCTTTGGTAACATGCGCTGTTATTCGATAAATTAACTTTTTTTATACTTGCTATATTTGCCGTTTATCATAATTCATTTCAACCTAATTCTTTTGAATATTTTAGTTTCTAAATTAAAAAAAAAGAACAAATAATGAATAAAAATGTGATACAGTCTGACATTGTGATTACTTATCCCACGAATGAGATAAATATCGAGCGTTATAACAAAATAAAACCCAAATGAGCCGTGTCACGACAAAACCAACATAATGGGTTTGCGACCAGCATGGATCCAGATCAGCCTGCGCATCCGCGCAGTCTGATCAAGATCCATGCTGTTCGCTTACCAACTCTATTACAAGTGGATAAACTGACAGCGAACAGCATGGATCCTGATCAGACTGCGCTGATGCGCAGACTGGTCTGGATCCATGCTGGTCGCAAACGCACTATGTTGGTTTTGTCGTGACGCGGCTCAAATAATGCGTAACAAATTAGTATTATCCTGGTAATTTCCATATACTGTTAGAATATAATAACACACTTCTGTTATTCTGTTAATAACTACAGCATAGTAACTACACTTCGAGTAGTTTCTGAAGTTCGAGTGGTTACTGAAGATTTTTTTCGAGTGGTGACTGGAGTTCGAGTGATGACTGAAATCGCCGGCCTCACGTGCTTTTCGCCGTTTGTGGTGAGAAACCTTCATGTGAGGAAGTATCTAGCTTACTTAGAGAAGGTCGATAATCTTATCCCGGTACCCACTCGTGCTAGAAATAAAATGCACGGACGGGCAACTGATGTCATTACTGCTAAAAAGTTGTTGCATATCGACCATAAATGTGTCATAACAAATAAATAACTAAATGAAAAATAAATAAATAAATACGTACAAAATTTACTCATCCAATATCTCGTCATTTTTTTTTCTTCAGAAATCATTCCAACCAATATTAAAGTCTGCTATGGATCAGTATAGCAATGCGACCATTCATTAACTTCAATTAATATTTAACGGGCATGACTAAAATTGTATAGGTTACACATTCGTCTACAAATTCATCAATCTATTGGCACACATGTGCATCCATTTTTCAAGTTCATTTGCCATTAAATATGACAATTTAGTTTCAGATAAACTTAATTCACTGACTCAAAGATGTAACGATACGATTATTGATTATAAAGGACCATTATTTAATGTTAAAAGCAAATTTAATGACACTATAGAAAATACCCGGTCTTTTATCAAGGGACATCTTCGACAGAGCAGTTTGAAATATCTTAACCTTGAAAATATCGCGTTATTTTGTACAGGATGATTCAAGATATGGTGATTTTTTTATCTAATTGTGATAAGGTATATGTTTGTATCTAAGCTAATTTTAACTAATTGTTTGTATCTAAAACAGAATTTTATTCAATTGCGATAAGATATATTCTATAAGATATATATCTAAAAAAGAAAAGAAAACAACGTAATTTTACTGAATACCAACCATTATTACTTCACGGATTTATATAAAATCCGTGTTAGTATGAAGCAACTTTTCGAATTATACAACTGCTCAAATAATACATTTTTTCAAATTATACAAGATCTACAGTTTTAAATATTGTGTTAAATTGATAGACATGTTACTTACTTATTAACTATGTATAAATCTGTCGCCATCTATTTACCCATATTTCAATAGAAAACAAAATAAATCATGCTATTACATGCCTGTAATTTGATATAAATAAAAGTAATTGTTGAATTGTACAACTGCTCGAATTATACATTTGTTCGTAATATACAACTGTTCGAATTATACAATCAACTACTCGAATAATACAATAGAAATTGTGAGATTTACACAATTCGTGAACTTTCTACTCACATGCAGCCTTAACTTTTGAGAGATTGTTCACATGTACAGGCCTAATCTTAGCCATTGCTATGAAAGAATATGAAAGAATCCATATAAAACCCCTTTAAATGCATAATATACTTATTAGTAGAATTAAACTGAATTTTCAAATTTAACCAGTAGACAATTGAGGTCATTTACAAATCATTGAATACTCAACATGTCGATTTTGTAATTTGTGTTTTTTTTTCATTCAAAATATGAATCATATCGTCCATAAATAAAGTAATGGCAATTTTAGCAAAATTCAATAAATTGACCATGACGGTCAATGTCACTAAGGTATCGCAATAAGTGTTGTTTTGTCCAAGTATGAATAAAATTCATAAGAATCAATGTAAAGCAAGATTCAATAATTTGACCCTGATGGTCAATGCCATTTTAGGTCAAGGTCATATTTCAATTAAAAAACGTATCAGTTATGTCCTTATGTTGTCTAGTCCAACAAGAATAAGTCAAATTTATAAAAATAATAATAAAAACACAGAAAGTTACCACAATCCAAGCAAAATTCAACAATTTGACCTTGACAGTCAAGGTCATTATATGATCAAGGTCATTCTGAACTACTTAACACATAAAAAGCATCAAAACAAGGCATATTTAGTTTTATATTTTATTCAATAGCTCAAGAAGTATTTTGTACAATTTACAGAATGTAATTTACAAATATCATCACAGAGTTTAATACATTATATGATAATTTATGTGAACAACAAAACAAAATAGTTTAAATAAACAAAATATAAACAATACATGTTTCTCAGTGTGATTTTGTTACATGTACAAGAAATGATCAAATAAACATGCATGTGACACAGTAAAAGACCAAAGTTTAATACACTAATTTTTAATGTCATTACAAAACAAATATAACATTTTCAATGTCATTGAAAATGTAACATATGTTTCGTACTGCTATTTTTAAAGGATATTAAAAAATCAAAGTATTATGTTCCAACAATTTTCATGTTTTAAACTACATCTAAATCTTACAATAGTACAAAAGCAGGTTGCTTTTGGACCATTGTGTCACATTTATATAACGAATTGTTCCTTTAAAAAGGACATACAATCCGTACATGCTTTGAACAAAATTATCACAGACAAATTCATATAAAAACAAAAATCATAAATTTTGAAAATAATTTTTTATAATACTACATAAACTTGGTATGGACGGACTGGTGTATTAATGGACGTTTTATTGTGTGTTTGTGTAACAATTCGTTTATATAATGCTTTTACCTAACATATTCTCACGCCCATATAACATCTTACATATATGGCTTAAATAAACATATTATTCCAGATTAACTTACATACATATTCTCATGCCCATATAACGTCTTAAATATATAGCTTAAATAAACATGTTATTTCCAATTCTTATCATTCAACCTATTACATACTGGACAAAGTTTGTAAATAACAGGTAACCATTAAAACAAATATTCATTTATTATAATAATAAGCAAAAACTTCTTCTGTCCATGCATTGACAATAAAACGTTTAATATATCTTATGGAAGCTATTTAATTTTAAAATATCATCTTTCTAGTAAATATTTTAACAAGACATATGTTATTTTTGTAATGTCTCAATTTTTTTCTTCCTCTTTGAAAACCAAATACTTCAGACAAAAATATACAATTCCAAGTGATTTAAAAGTCCAGTTCACAATTTAAATGCTTCAATAGTAGTCTTTAAAAAATATATATAAAATTTTTCTATGAAATCCATGTGGGTGTTGGCTCAATGCCCCGGAGAGCAAAGAAAGTTTGTAATTTGTTATCAAAGTCGTTAGGCCTCTCCTCTGGTTCTTTATATCTGACAGTCATGTTGTTTCCAAGGTATTTTATCAAATCACAAGTTTCCTGGAAACGGTCTAATTTCTTCTTGTACTTTTTACGAACATAATCTGAACTTTTAGGGTTGAAAGCTGAAACATAAATTTACGGAAAATTAAATAAGTGTCATTTAAAACATTTGAATAAGTCTTAAACTATATAAAATACATTTAGTTAGTATCATATATCAAATGTTTTACATTTAGCTAGCAATATAACAAATGTTTTACATTTAGGTAGTAATATATTAAATGTTTTATATTTAGCTAGTTTGTTTGTTTGATAGGGTTTTACATCAAACTGACACAGTATAGGTCATATGGCAACTTTCCAGCTTTATTGGTGGAGGAAGACCTCAGGTGCCCTTCCGTGCATTATTTCAGGCACAAACTAGCACCCGAGTAGAACCACCAACATTTATCTTGTAAAGTATATAATGTTTTATTTTGTATAATCTTGTCTAAAAGTTAAGATTTCTATTTCTCAAATGCATCTTTGTGTAGGCATACGCAGGTACCCCGAGTTACGAAACACTGACCTTCCTGAAGCTAGCTTGATAGCCTTCTCACATGAAAAACTCCAAAACCCCTAAAGTGATTTCCAAACCACACTGATAAGTGGTATGAGAATTGAAGTCGGTGACCTTATTAAAAATGTAAGAAAACATAACAATATTAAGATATATACCTTTAAGATGATAGGCAATGAAGAAAAGGGCTGATCTGCTAGCACTGAGGAATGGGTACTTGGGTTTCGCGTTTCCAGCTGTTGTCATGGCCTTGATGAGTGCCGTAGCAACGCTCTGTTCCATGTAACCAAGCATGGGCAGTTGTGTCATTGACAGGTTGTCCTTGGTTGGAGGAAGTTTGTGTGGCAGTTCCAGGCTCGAGTATTTCTCTGGTAACCTGAAAATAGGATATATTGTATATAATATCATGGTTTGTTTGGTTGGTTTTAGGGTGCACCAACACAATTTAGGTCATATGGTGCAGAATCAAGAAAGATGATTTTGGCTAACCTCTGTGTTACAAACTAAAAGCAACACCAGGGGTCAAAACCACCTCACCTGTTGGAGCTAAGAGATGCACAGACTCCAGTTATTCCAACCCGTTTAGTCCTCTTTTAAGATCATGCCTCAACTCTAAAAGGCAACCCCTTTGCCACAAGGGGATATGAATATCATGGAAGTAAAAGCATTCATTAAAAACAATAAATAATAATTTTGAAACTTCAAACAAATGAAATATTTTTTTGTAAACTTTTTATATTACCATTATGCATACAATTAATTAAATTAAAAATTAATTACCTTAATCATTCTCTTAAAAGGAGACAATAATTATACTAAAGATTCATTATCTTATTGACAAGATAACCCTTACCCTAATCCATAAGTCTAAGACACAACAAAATTTTATTTTGTCTGCTTTAAAATTTTACTTTTTTACAAAAATAGACAATGGACAAATTAAAACCTTAAGAAAATGTCCTTTTTGACAAAACCATGACATTTTATGTCAACAAAATTAAGAAAATTTACAGCAATTAACATTTAGCAGATTTATAATGAAAATCTTACTTCAAAAATTTCATAAGTTTTTCTTCTGATTCGCAATACCAGTATTTCTCCATATATTCTCCAATAAACTCTGCTTTGCCTGGAACAATTGCTTCATATCTGAAATAAGATTTTTTTTCAAAATTAACATATCTGTACTTTCTGATACAAATTTTCCCTTTGAAAATAGTTAATGACTGCAATGGAAATCACTAGTTGCTACGGGAAGTCAGTGGTTTCTTAGGAAAGTCAATGTTTGCTATGAAAGTCAATAGTTGCTATGAAAGTCAATGGTTGCTGTGAAAAGTCAATAGTTGCTATGGAAATTTCCTGGTTGCTATGGATGTAAATGGTTGTCAATGCTTGCTATGGAAAGTCACTGGTTTCTATGAAAAATCATCTGTTGCTTTTATAGTAACTGGTTGCTCAATGGAAAGTCAATGGTTTTTGGAAAATCAATGGTCATGAAAATAACTAAATGCTTTGGAAAGTCAATGGTTGCAATGGATGTCCCTGGTTGTTATGCTGTCACTTTTTGATAGGGAATGTCATTGTTTGCTATGGAAGTCATCAGTTGCTATGGACAGCTAATGGTTGCTATGGATGTAACTGGTTGCTATGAAAGCCACTGACTGATATTAAGCCACTGGTTACTATGGAATAGCAATGATTGTTTTGGAAATCAATGGTTAGTATGGAAAGTCAATGATTGCAATGGTAGTCACTGGTTGATATACATATAAGAAAAATCCATGACACCCCACCCCCTGCTTTATGGGTGGAGCCAATTTAGCCTCAGGGCTATAATAAACTTAGTAGAGGTGGACAATATATTCATGCCAAATATCTAAGCTTTAGCTCTTGTAGATTTTCACTTTAAATTGTATAATTATTAGAAATGTTGATGACAAATAAATTTTATACAAATAATGTTTTGCACACATACCTGCATTTACCATCCAAGTACGTGACTGGACAGTAGGAGTTCAGTTCTATCTTAGCTGATGCCTTAACCTCAGTTGGTTTTCGTCGTCGTGGTAACCTACTAGGAGGAGGTAACTTGTGTGGTGCTAGAGGCGGTACATATTTTTCTGGTTCCTCCAGGAACTGATCAAGTTCTGTCTTACCAGCACACTTGTAATAGTGACCTAAAAGGTAAATAATTGTAATAATTATCTAAAAGGCAAGTCATCATGATTGTAATAATGACCTAAAAGGTAACTAATTGTAATAATGAGCTAGAGAGTAAGTGATTCAATTATATTATGGATATTTACACACAGATGGAATAATTTGCCGGAATTACCAAAATTAGACACAGCATGTCATATAAATGACATAAATATGATTTGGAATTGATTTTGTTTGCAGTTACTTACATAAAAACTCCAACATACTTAGTGCAAGTCACATCCTTTTTATGTTGCATTTTAACTATAACCAAACTTAATGTCCTGCTTAATAATTGAATGAGCAATGTACATAATAAGTTTTGGGAAAAGAATACAACTATATAAGACCAAAAGCAGAGACACATCAGTGCTACAAAGTCAGCCTAATTTTTACCTTGCAGCCATAAATGACTCAAGAACATTCAAAGCATATATGAAATTATATACATAAAGTTTTTTTGTCTATAAAGATCATGTGTAACATAAAACAAATACATCTCTTGGGACAAAATCAAACAGTAAGGTATATCCAAAATGATATTACTTTATGTTTGCTTCTAGAATTACCTCTAAATTCAACAGCAAAGTCAAGGGTGTGGTTGGTAGAGCAGTCCACAAGTTCTCCTCTCAGTGCCAGACTAACTGGACAGTACTGGTCAAAGTCTCCTACCCTCTGTAAGAACTCTGTAGGTGTGATACACAAGTCAGCAATAGGGGATGCCTTGCCTGTAAAATATAGTGTCAAGCTAATGAAATGTAAGGTGATCAACAACATGTTCATATCTCAGTTACACTTAACATTCAATGCCAAACTCCAGTTTGAAACTGATAGAAAAAATAATCAATGATGAAATTCACACATGGACATACAAAAAAATAAGTTATTGGCTTAATTCGAGAGTGCTTTTCTATTCAAAGCATGTTGATTACACTGTACATGTGCTAAATAACAGGAACATGAAGTATAAGAAAGTGCACAAAGTTTAAATTACTGTTAACAACAGAATAATTAATTAGTACAACATTATCTTATTAAAACAAATTCATACACACCTGTTATAACAAAAAATTACTAAATTACTAAAATTTAAATTACTTAAACTTTGCAGGGTTTTCATTATTAACAAATTTGCAACCCATATCATTGGTTGCAATGTAGTTGAAACTGGTTGTATTTTCAGCTTGCTGTTGAAATTGTTTCATTGACACATATGTTGCCTCAGATAAAAATGAAAACTCTTACTTACCATCAGAAATTCTCTGCAGGTATGTTTGTATCTGTCGAACACTCTCACGTGAGAACTCGAGTGTCGTATTCCACACCCACCACTTGGACCTCTCACCGTCAACTGTCTTAAAGTTCATGTGTTCTGACTGGTACCAGTTTCGTACCTCGTTAATATTTTTATTGTACGCAGCTAACTTCATTGCCAGAATCTGAGCGCTGTCGTGCAATGGCATTGTCCTACATAATCAATAACAAAACACAAAACATTGTAAATTTTCTGTTGTAAAACAACATTTTTCTGTAAGAACCGAGATCAATTATGACAGATCAACAGCTTTGAACTGATATAGTACTATTTAAGATTAAAAGAACCCAACAATCTTAAAAGTTCTTAAAACATATTATAGATGAAGATTGTTCTGAGGATGGAATGATATGAAGTATCAAGATTTTATCTATTTCTAATTTCATCGACAATAAAAAAGAAACGTAATTAAAACATTAACATCTCTGGAATGGACAATTCGATGCTTATATCAGATGATTTTGCATTCAGAAAACCAGTCATATATTTTTTTAAAAAGTAGGATATTTCAAATAGGGTATAAAACTCTATATAAAGATTTTTTTAATTACGTTTATGAAAAAGTAAAATTATGTTGTTTCAATAATCTTATGATTGATTCTCAAAACAAATGAGCCGTGTCACGACAAAACCAACATAATGGGTTTGCGACCAGCATGGATCCAGACCAGCCTGCGCATCCGTGCAGTCTGATCAGGATCCATGCTGTTCGCTGTCAGTTTCTCCACTTGTAATAGAGTTGGTAAGCGAACAGCATGGATCCTGATCAGACTGCGCGGATGCGCAGGCTGGTCTGGATCCATGCTGGTCGCAAACCCATTATGTTGGTTTTGTCGTGACATGGCTCAAATATTCTGGAACTAGATATTATGCTGTTATTTAAGAAGAAGGATTTTAAACGTTCAGCAATGAATTTGTACATCAATCATTCGCCATGAAGGTTATTTTTCAATGTATTTTAAACATGTTTCTCATACAGAATTTTTCATTCCAATGAACTTTATTTAACGCAAATGATAATAAGAAGAAACCAGTAAATGAATTCAAAAGTAAACTTGACCAATAACAAACATAACAACAACAATAATAACAGTAATAATTAAAGTTAAAAACTTTGGTTGTCTCACCCTATATAATGAAATAGCAGAAGCCATTCCCTTCAAAAATATTTATAATATTCTGTAAATGTCTATAATTATTTAATTGAAATTCAAAAAAATAAAGAGGTCAAAGGAATACATAGACCTTTCTGGTTTGAAGCTGCATGCCTCCAGATAAGCCAAATTTTTTAAAGAAATTGAAACTTGAGAAAAGTGTAATACAATTTTAAAAAAAGTAAAAAGATTCAAGATACAATATAATGATCTACATGATTTGTGGCATTATTTACTGATTATTAATTGATCTAGAAGTATTTATTTTATCACCATATTTCTACTGCGTTACTAACTAGTAGTAAAATAAAAATAAAAATCCATAAACCTCTGTAGTAGGATACAAATCCATAAAATGCAGTAGTCAAGAATTTCATAACTAAACTAGAAATGTGTCCATAGGACACTGATGCCCCCACACGCCACTGTTCTGTCAATCTTATGACTCTAGGTCAAATATTTTTTTGAACTACATGTGCCACAAGTTGAAAACTAAAAATCAACAAAGGGCCATAATTCTGTTAAATTTGGTCGCAGCAAAAATCCTTCCTTTACTACGATCTACACATTAAGGTTGTTAATCCCTGGAAGTTTAAGCAAAATCTGCCATCCGGTTTAAGAGGAGTTGCGTTCACAAAATTTCTATATAGTATATAACGAAAAAATCAACAAAGTGCCATAATTCTGTTAAATTTGGTTGCAGCAAAAATTCCTTCCTTTACTACCATCTACACATTAAGGTTGTTCATCCCTGGAAGTTTAAGAAAAATCTGCCATCCGGTTTAAGAGGAGTTGCATTCACAAAATTTCTACATAGTATATAGTGAAAAAAACAACAAAGGGCCATAATTCTGTAAATTTTGGTCGCAGCAAAAATTCCTTCCTTTACTACCATCTACACCTTAAGGTTGTTCATCCCTGTAAGTTTAAGCAAAATCTGCCATCCAGTTTAAGAGGAGTTGCGTTCACAAAATTTCTACATAGTATAGAGTGAAAAAATCAACAAAGGGCCATAATTCTGTTAAATTTGGTCGCAGCAAAAATTCCTTCCTTTACTACCATCTACACATTAAGGTTGTTCATCCCTTGAAGTTTAAGCAAAATCTGCCATCTGATTTAAGAGGAGTTGCATTCACAAAATTTCTACATAGTATATAGTGAAAAAATCAACAAAGGGCCATAATTCTGTTAAATTTGGTCGCAGCAAAAAATTCCTTCCTTTACTATCATGTACACATTAAGGTTGTTCATCCCTGTAAGTTTAAGCAAAATCTGTTATCCGGTTTAAGAGGAGTTGCGTTCACAAAATTTCTACATAGTATATAGTGAAAAAATCAACAAAGGGCCATAATTCTGTTAAATTTGGTCGCAGCAAAAATTCCTTCCTTTACTACCATCTACACCTTAAGGTTGTTCATCCCTGTAAGTTTAAGCAAAATCTGCCATCCGGTTTAAGAGGAGTTGCATTCACAAAATTTCTACATAGTATCTAGTGAAAAAATCAACAAAGGGCCATAATTCTGTTAAATTTGGTCGCAGCAAAAATTCCTTCCTTTACTACCATCTACACATTAAGGTTGTTCATCCCTGTAAGTTTAAGCAAAATCTGCCATCCGGTTTAAGAGGAGTTGCGTTCACAAGATTTCGGGACGTACGGACGGACGGACAGACGGAATGACGGACGGACGGACGGACAAGTGCAACGCTATATGCTCCCACATTGTGGGGGCATAAAAAAGGGGGGTAAATTTTTAAATCAGACAAAATGTTAATGAATCACCACAAAATTTTGATCAGGTAAATTTGAAAAATACAGTTTCATAATGTGTGAATGTTTTGTGTTGTTTTATCTTAAGGTTACCTTGATGCAGCAATTCTATCCCTGGTGCCCCTCACCATTATTTCCTTGCTTTTCACATCAAGTTCAAATACACGGACAGGTATTAAACATCTCTCTGTTAATAAGTCTATTTGATGCTTGGTTTGTGGGTAACCATCCAAAACATACCTGAAAATCATATAGTTCATGTTTATTTTCCCATTAAGTTACTAATACATGGCATGGTTCAAATTATTACCATAAATCCTTAAAATGTAAAACATGCTTTCAAAAGGTTATCTGTCTTTTTTGTTTTTTTATGGGTTCCAGGTATCACTTTCAAAATAACAGAACAGGAAATTGATTTGTCTAACTTAAACATTTATAGTTCCTCATTACATACATACATACATACACTTATTTACATACATGAAGCAATAAGACTTTTTAAAAGTAATATATTAATAAATCATATATATATACTTATGTTATACATTTTGCTGTAACTAAATAATAAAAACTCACCCTCTAGTTTGACATTTCATGTCAATGAGGCATGTTTCTATAGCTTGTACAGCCAGTTCATCAGGTACAGTGAGGCCCTTCACCAGGTGGCGCTGCATCTCCTTGGTCAAGTTGGATTTAGGTTGTGATGCCATGACCATTCTCATGGCCTCACCAACAGATAACCTCAATAATCCATACTCCTCAGCAAATCTGTTAGCCACTGTGAACATATAATGTACAAATTTACAGAAAAGGCATTAAGTTTTATGGAGAAAGTTTTCAAAGAAGCTTTTTAAGGTCCCTACTCAATCCGTAAAATTTATTTTATATACCGTATTTTGTTTAAATATTGTTTAAAATAAAAGGTATAAAGTGGAATATTTACACAATTAATATTTTTTATCAAAGACATTTAATCTTATTTTAACACAATAAATGAATAAAATTTATATTAATTTTCCCAAGAAAAATTAACATCTTCATTGAAATTAGATAGCCCAAAGGCTGAATATATGATGTTTAATCATTACAAAGCTGATATGAATGATAGAACACTAAGTGAACACTTCAAGATAAATGGGGAGGCGGGGTGTAAAGCAAAAGAAGTCATTCAACTAGGCAATGATAGTAAATCTTTCTATTCTCTGGTCCCTGGATGTCAGTTTAAACTTTAAACAGATCTATTTTAGCTTGTTTATGGTTGAAATATATCTAAACATATTTGGAAGCCGCTTCCTGGAACTAACCAGTACTGATGTTGTATAGGGCAACATGGTCCTGACCTCAGTAGGGCTCAAACCCATAATTGATGTGTTGAGAGGCAAACACCTAAACCACTAGGCCATCAGTCCAGTCCCCTGAAGGTTACAGTATACTAATGTGTAACACACTTGTAACAGTATACATGTGTAACACACTTGTACATGTACATGTATACAGCTATGACAATCTATAACTTACATGTAGTTTTTCCTGATTTGGGTGGTCCTACCACAGCAATTTTGATAGGTACAACAGGTTTAGGTGTAGGCTGACTAACAAACTTCACGGGGTCGTTCACAAATTCCTCTCTAGCTTGTATAGATGATAGGAAGTAGATGTGAGATCTGTATATACATGGATAGGTGGTGTAACCTGGACCACTCATTGTCTGTATACAGTCTCCTTCCTTTACCTGGAATATAATAGTTGCATGATTATATACCTTAATTATAGGTATATAAAATTACAGGTAAATTTTATTAAATAATAGGAATTTGGAACTATTTACAGTTTTTTTATGGCAAATTTCAAAGCATTTCCAAATTGGAAAAAGTTATCTTTTTTCTCAAATTTTCTGACAAAACTTCCCAATTTAAAGGGTAAGAGTTATTTACCAAGAATACTGGGAAAAAACATGATTTTTGATAATAGGTTATTTTCATAAAAGACATAACTCACAGATAACATTTTCTAAATTCTAAAATATCCAAAGAGAAAAAGATAATGTCTGTCTGGTATAACTATTCCAATATTTCAATCTAGCAAAATAATTGTATGAATGAATTAATGTGGCATTGTCTTAAAATTAACTACACAAACAGAGATGTTGTTCACACCTTACAAATTAAGAAACAATTTCTCTCGAGTTACTTACTTTGACAGGACACCATCTACCAAACCTACTGGGCTGTTTATAACCCACAGCTAACATCTTTAATGCCAGTTTCTCATTGATGGGGTACACACGCTCAAAGACGCTCTGACGGGCATCCACAACAGGCTTCAACTTCTTGTTGAGGATGTAGCGTACTATGTGTGGCTTCCTGGTGCTGTCAACATCTATTTTTGGTATCAGTAACTCTTCAAATGTGTCCTGTAAAAGTATTAAAACAGGTCTTAATAAAATCATTTTGCTTACAATAAATAATACAGTAAAATAGACCGATGTTGTGCTCATATTAACACTGTTTCCACTGATTCATGAAGGGACTCCATTGAGGTTTTTTGACAAGACAGGAATGGAAATATTTTTTAGAGATTAATAATCCATTAGAAAGAGGTTCCCTTGCTCTGTTTTTCTAGAATTATTATTCAAATAGTGACAAAATATATTTCTAAGTATCTTTTGCATTTCTTTATGTTTTAAGTGTCTCAGGTAATCTATGTAAGAAATTCAAATTTTTAGGCTTTTGTGGTCCTCAGTGGAGTAACTTCTTAATTTGTTTCATTTTTTTTAAATTAAGCTTTAACGTATACATATATGTATATAGAAAAAAATCTGTCAATCTCAATTCAAAAATCAGTCAACTGTCTCAACAAGATTAAAACAGTACAACATTACTATTGTATGATATAGGTTTTATGCATTTTATCTACATATCATTCAAAATTAAAATTATTTGGCAATATATTTACTATAAATCAATTTCAAGACATCTTTGAAAATCAAGGGGAAAGTAGTTTTACATCTTATATGCATAATATTCTGTATTTACAGAATTATGTAACAAATTCTCTTTGATTTAATTCAAGTAAGTGTTTCACATCTGTGTCATTATCAGGTAAACTTACTGTTACAGCTGCTAGCTTATTAGTGTTATCATCAAACACATCATTCAGCTCATTTCTAATTCTGTCTGTTGCATCTTCCTCCAATTCTTCTTCTTCCTCTTCTTCTTCTTCTTCTTCCTTAAAGGTCAGAAATCAATATTTCATATCAAGGTCAAATATCAATATTATCATGTCAAGGTCAATCAATAGTATCCGGTCAAGGTCAATCATATTATAAGGTCAAGGTCAATCAATATTATCATATCAAGGTCAAATATCAATATTATCAGGTCAAGGTACATCAATATCATCAGGTCAAGGTCAATCAATATTATCAGATCAAGGTCAAATATCAATATTATCAGGTTAAGGTACATCAATATTATCAGGTCAAGGTCAAATATATATATTATAAGGTTAAGGTCAATCAATATTATCAGGTCAAGATAATGAATTTATTTTCTTTATACCAGATATTATCATGAAGTTGGCCATTATCACCAAACTGGATATTTTCACCAGATACCACCAAGTTGTCCAATATTACCGAGTTTGGAATTATCACCAAGCTGGTCATTATCACCAAGTTTGCCATTATCACAAAACCAGTAATTATCATCAAGAGCTCACAAGCAAAAAAAAAAACTTCCCTAAAACAAGCAATTATCATAGTATTGCAAGCAATCCATAAGTCCCCTACCGGTAAGAGCCCAAGCAACATTCTGAAGGGCCATTGGCCATTCACTTAGGTTCCTATTTTAAGTAAATTTGTTGAAAAAGTTCTTTAAAAGTGATCACAGGAAACAGTTTTTATGTACAGACAGACAGACTGAAGGACACTCTAAAGTTATTTTTTAAACATCCCTGTTATCAAAATACATGTATAACATTTTTAAAATCCTATCATGATTGAAGAAATTGGAGTAAAAATTACCAATTTCTCAAAAAAAAGTCTAAGTTCAAAAGGGGCATAATTCTGGAAATAGTCTTGCTAGAGTATTGAACACTCACAAATGTTGAGTGACAATAAGAAACATTTATATGAAGTTTGAAGTAGATACATTCAGAAAAAGAAGTTATTAAAAAAAAAACAATGTTTTTTTCATGAACATCTTAAGTTCAAGGGAGGTAATTCTGATACATTTTGTGCTAGAGTCGAAACCTTGTCACATATGATGTGGTTGATGACAAGCAACTTATATTTAAAGTTTGAAGAAAATACCTTAAGAAATAAAGAACTTATAGTGAAAAAACTTAAAAACTAGAATCAGAAATCTTGAAATTCAGTCTATTTGTTGCCACAGCAACCAGAATTTTCAACATAGGAAGATAAAAAAGGATGTGCATAATTTCCATACTGCCATCTACCCATACCGGGTATGTCAAGTTTCATAAACATATTTTCAGTATTTTTTGTGTTATCACTGGATCCAGGTTATGTGTAAAATTTGCCATATTTTCAGTCAATTTGTTGCCATAGCAACCAGAATTTTCAACATAGGAAGAAAAGAAAAAGACGTGCATAATTTCCATACTGCCATCTATCCATATATCAAGTTTCATAAAAATATTTTCAGTACTTTTTGCGTTATCGCGGGATCCAGGTTATGTGTAAAATTTGCCATATTTTCAGTCTATTTGTTGCCATAGCAACCAGAATTTTCAACATAGGAAGAAAAGAAAAAGACGTGCATAATCTCCATACTGCCATCTATCCATATATCAAGTTTCATTAAAATATTTTCAGTACTTTTTGAGTTATCGCGGGATCCAGTTTTGTGGACGGACGGACTGACGGACGGACAGACGGACGGACAGACGGACGGAGGGTAAACCTAAAGTCCCCTCCGGTAAACCGGTAGGGGACTAATAAAATTGACATGTTATTTTGATTAATGTCTGCAGACCTCAAACTCTTCAGCAAGGACAGCTTCAATATCTTCATCTTCTTCCTCCTCTTCTTCTTCTTCTTCTTCCTCCTCTTCATCTTCATCCCTCTCTGCTTTCTCAGCAGCTCTCTGGGCAGCTCGTTCAAGTTTCTTTTCTTCTAACTCTTTTGTTAATTCTGCACGACGCTTTTGCATTGCAGCATCCTGTTAAACAAAAATGAAAACATAACATTCTTTTCTAAATACAAAAATAAAGGATAAAAACTTTGTTTGCTTCATAGGAGCTGTTTGAAAGGTATTCTATGCTTGATGTTTCAGGTCAATAACATATGAAATTATTTGCGTACTTATAAGCATTAGAAAACATATATTAATTTCTTCGCTTCACTAAAAAATTTGATATATTGATTGCTGATTTATAAGAAAATTATTATCTAAAAAGAAACATTGTTCAGGGTAACATGCTGAAGTTAAATAAATAAATACATAGTTTAAGAAAGTTTTACATAAGTTTGCAGACACTGACAAAATAGGAAAGAGATGAAGATATTTGAGCCATATGAGCATGCTATAAAGAATGCAAAGCTAATATACACATTTTTTTCCAACAGTTAAAAGTTCGCTTTCATGACATTTTGTCGAAAGACATCTCATCGAATATGACAGTCAGTCGAATCTGACATTTGATAGAATTGGACAACTTGCACAATGTGACAAGTGGTCTTTTCTTTACATTGAAAGTTGTTGAAAATGTGTAAATTTTGTCAAAAAATAAATCTCGTTCAGGTCCTCTTAACCTTAACACATGAATGATGTGGTAGATGCTGTTATAAATAGGCTTCTTGACTCTCAGAAGCTTTGTCTCTGATTAATTTCGATCAATTGTTGTAATGGTAAAACATATTTTCAATCAGGTGTCGTAATCTCAGTGTTGACAAACTGACATATTTGACCAAATGTCCATATTCGACAAACTGTTGTATAATAATTCAACAACATGTCTTTTGACGAAATGTTGCACACTGTAATATTCATAGTAATTGATTATAAAGCACCATGTTGTTTTAGTGAAACAGGTTCAACATAATGCAAAATAACACCGAAACAAACATTTATACATGATAAATTTATATATAATACAGTATGAATAGTTTAGCATTTTGTATACATTGTTGTAATATGAACTTCAAAATAAATGACATTACCGAAGGGACATTGTACTTTGCTGTGTATTCTACCTGTTGTCATTGCAAAATATTCATTAAAGCATTTACATTAGAACTTTAACCTTCATATCTAACAGCTTTCCAGATATAGAAAAAATATTTTACTGACCTAAAAAGTACTTGAAGGACAAATATAAGCATCCAATTATCTCAATTCTCAATATGCACTTTTTGTTAAAATTCATTTGAATTTTTTGAAAATTTGTCATTGATAGCAGCAGATATCAAACCCATAAATCTAAATGAATTTTAACTTAAACACTCCCCTGACTAAAAGCAAATAAAGTAAAAGAAACAGGCATTATACTCAAATAGCACAGAAATAAATGTTTTGCCTACCCTTTTCTTTTGCGCCTTTTCCTTCTTCTTGCGTTTACGCTCTAACCGTTTGTCTCTCTTTACTTTCCATTTATCGAAGCCTGGGAGGCAGCAGACGGGCAATAACATCAGTGTCCTCTACAGTCAGAATAACACCGGCATCCGGAAACAAACCAGCTTCAGCCATGAACCGACACTCTTCTGGTGTACGTGGAAATCCTTCCAGGATAAAACCTGTAGACCTTTAGAGAAAAATGTTTCTGTTATTTGTTAAAATAGTAACAAAAGATACTGTCTACTTAATGCAGTCATAGTTTAACTCCTATTAAATTTAATAGGATTTTACCCGTTACTGCACTCAGGTGAAGAACTGCACTTAAAGGTGAACAAAAGGGAAAAGAAGACAATAATCTTTACGGTCAGAAAAAATGTGAAAAATATCTGGGTTTGAAAGTGTAAAATAAATTGATTGATTTCAACTTATTCATAGTGAAATGTTCTTGAATAATCCATTATAGACTAGGTAAAAGCTTCGGCACATCAAAAAAATCAACACATAAAAATTTGCCTAATTTTAATAAAGTATATATAGCGGCTTTGGGACTTTATTTTTACTTTAATACATTGAGAAATAAACTTAACAAAGTTTGACACAAAGTTCTACTGTAGTACACTTTATAATAAGGCAAGACAAATGAGCTCTTACTTGAATGGTTCTTTATGCCAAAAGTTTGGTAGAATACTCTCCAAGACTTCATTAGATAGTGGTTCATCAGATTCTAGATTGTTCTTGATAGATTCTTCTTCCTCAGTGTACTCTACTTCTTCTCCTTCCTATAATATAAAGATGGGGTCAAATAAAGCAAAGGTGAAATGAAGGTCAAATAAGGGTCAACTGATTACTGTGTTAGACTGCCTGACTAAAAAAATGAAAAAAATATTCAGAATTTCCTATTTAACATATTCATCTTTTGAAATAAACAGGATATGTTTTTCTTATTTTGATTTTCTAGACTGGTTTATTTCATTTGACTGGTTTACATACCTGATTTTCTTTACTTTCAGACTGGTCTGAAACCTTGGAAGTATCTTCAGTCTTCTCTTTGACTGGTTTGCCTTCAGGATCAATAATACCTGCTTCCTCATCCTCATCTTCTCTATAAATAGTAACATGAAGTTATAAATAGAAACATGAAGTTATAAATAGTAAAATGAAGTTATTAATAGTAACATGAAGTTATAAATAGAAACATCAATCCATCAGCAGATTCCAAAACTTGGAAAATGGGGTTTTCCTATCTAATTCTGTGAAACAAACAGTTACAACATGGTAAAAATAATGATAATAAGTGCAACCCCTTCACCACGCTCTTGCGGACAATAATGCACCAGTAAGTCATAATGGTAATAAAAAATAAATTGAAATTTAGGAATAGATTGAAAAAACCCAACTTTGCCAAGTTCTGGCTAACATCTATAGGAGCATAAGGTTATGAAGTGTACCAATGTTATCAACCATATAATAACCTTATTCCAAATAATCATATACATGTAGAATTGCCACACTTTACTTAAAATTTAAAGAAATAAATCAAACAAAATCTTTCTTCTCCTTTGATTAATTAAATGTACTGAGAGAACACAAATTAACAAACCTCATACCTTTAAAATCAGTTGTTTTTTTATTAATGTAATAAATTATTTTTGTAATCGATTTTTAGACTTTAATAAATGCTGTGATTGAAACATACTCTTCAGGTGGTTCCTCCTCGTTGTCTTCCTCATGTTCAGGTCCAATCTTCTTCTTTGTCTTATGCATAATCAGCTCCTGTAGGCGGTCCTTGAATGAGATGTGGAAGAGACCAAGCTTCTTGGCTAGTTGTCTGCCATGTAACGTTTTACCTGCACCCTTAGGTCCTAACATCAGCAATCTGATTGGTGGAGTCTGCAATACATATATTATGGTATATTATATAAGAATTGACAATGTCATGAAATAGTTTTATACAATCTTATTTTAAGTGGATAAAAGGAGTCATAGTTACCTATTTTATTTACATGTTATAATATAACAAATAAAAATTATGTATAAAGCCTTGGTAGGTATACTTCAAGGCTTGATACAAAAAAACAAAAAAAAAACAAGCAAGTTTTTCTTTTAATTGAGTAGTTGTGTTATAATAACAAATATGAGAACCAGTTTTACTGGGAAAAAAAAGAACATTTTTTTAACTAAAAAAACCCAATCAATTTTGCAAATTTTTAAGCCATTATTATCACTTGTTCTGATAAATAAGTTTTGCTCTAGTTTAAAAAAAACAGTTAATGTATGAAAAATACCTTTTGAGGGTGAGTTTTTGGTAAGAATTCTTCCGGTGAAGCCAAAAATTTCTCCCTGGCTTCTGATGTAGAGAAGTAGTAAACTTTTTCTCTGTATTTGGAAGCAATCTCAGGGTTACCTGGGAACAGCACATTGTTCTCCGTCAAGGCCACTGGACAGTAGTGGTTAGTGTCTCCCAAAGGTTTCTTCTTACTACGGTTCGGATCTTCTTCCTGTAAATTTTGTTAAATAACATTGATGTTATATTAATTAAGACTAGAACTCAAGCCTCAGTCCTGGCAAGCAAGTTTATTTAGCAGGGTATTATAAAGCTTCATATTTATATATTTTACTGTAAGTTATACATGACAAAAAAAGAAACATGAAAAATTACAAAGAAAAATATATCCAAAATGATACAAATAATTATGATTGTTCACATCTGTGCAGTCTGGCTAGTCTCTATACTATTAACTGAGTTACTTTAAAATTTTCACCTTAATTATCCCCAATATTCATAATAGACAGTTCAATCAATGAAAGATGGACAAGTCCATTTCTAATTTTTCAACTATAATAAATGAGTCACTTACCTCTCCCTCGGCCTCTTGCTCCTCCTCCTCGTCCTGGGCAGCAGCTGCATCAGCCTCGAGGTCTTCTTCTTCTTCATCTACATCCATACCTTGATACTCCCAGCCCTGATACTTGTAGGGACCTATCATAGGAAGTAATAACGTTATATACACAGTGTATCATCACATTAGTGCAATAACTGGTTAACTCCTATAGAATTAAGAAAGACTTAACCCGTTACTGCACTAAGGTGACGGTGTGTAAAATAAACCAGCTGAATAAACTTGAAAATTGTGTAAAGAAAGAAGATGGTTTTATAAGAAATCAATTTATCCCCCACCCCCTCTTATATTAACATGATATCCCTTAATACTTTTATTAACTTTAAATGCTAAAATCAAAACCGCTAAAATAAAAATTTTCAGATTGTGCTAGAGATTTTTACTGAAACTGTTTATAATTTTCAAATAAAAAATTCCCATTTTAGCTAAAGTTCTAAAATGTCATGTCATCAAATTAAAAAAGAATCAAATTGCTTCGAAGTTAACATAAAATAAAGGACTCTTACGTTCAATATTGGTAACAGCTTCATCAAGAAGTTCTTCCACTTTAGATGATTCAATTTCTAGTTGTACTACATCAATGTTCGAACCACCACTGATGGTTGCGAGAATGTTGGGGAAATCCTGATCGAAAGCTTTACGTCTTTCCTTATACTCATCCATCTCTGGACCATCAGGTATTTTCTAGAATACGAAATAATAATTCCATCATTTTCAAGGATACAAAAACAGATTGGTCAGGTTTAAAGTTTAATGACATTTTCCTTACAAAAAATGAGATTTTCTACTTATATCTGTAAAAGGGAAGTAATAATAAAAAAATTTGGATTAAATTCAGAAAAAAGCACACCTTTTCAAAATTTTCTTTAAAAAATTCCATTTTTGTACTACATGTATTTTATTAAAAAATTCTTAAAACTTTCCATTTTTTTTAATAATATTTGCAGTGTTCTGATGTATGTACTGATAAGGCAAAGACTATCTATTAAGTAATGTTTATCTACCTCTTCTTCATCCTTAAACTCAACTCTGTTTTCTTCTGAGCCATCACCTGTTAGAAAAGTAAAATTGTTTAATCATGACCATGTAGAAAAAATAAATATCATACATGTCAAAAGAAGTTAAAGAATCTGTATTTTATTCAACAATATGAAATAACTTCTTTATCTTATAATCATGTACACCACTAATTTTTTGCAGTTTGATAGGAATTTGTTACTTCTGGTACTATATAAATTTGATATGAATTTTTTGGACTCAGCAAAAAAAAAATGAAGCAAGATGGAGAACAATATGGATTTGATATGGATTTTTTTGGACTCAGAAAATGAAAATGAAACAAGATAGAGTACAATATGGATTTGATATGGATTGTTTACACTTGGGAAATAAAATTGGGACTTAGTATAATGTTAAGATTGGATCCATAATAATTTCTCTTGTAACATCTTGTGTTGCAAAAAAGGAAAGTTTATTGGTTACATTTTAAAAAGTGTGAAATAAAGGAAATAAAGAATAACATAATCATTACAATAAAATTATTGATGACATGCCCACTCACCTGCCTCTGTTGTTATTTCAGTTTTTGTCAGGTCAGTTTCAGTGGCATCATCTTCCTCTATTAATTCAAATATTGAAATAATAATTAGCTTTTTCTAATAAATAATAATTGAAAGGTGCTTGTATTGCCATAATAATGAATACTTAACTGTTGCAGCAAAATTAAAGCAAATCATGTACAAACATTTTACTATAAAATTTATAAAACTGTATTTAAAGTATTGATAATTTATTATACATTATATTTAAATATTCAACTAAATTTTATCTAGATTTACATGTAAACTTCAATTTTTTATCTAAATTTTAATAAAGAAATTTATAATTAAAGCTCATGAATAAAGTCATGAATTTCATCTACATAATGTACCAGTACTCAGATTCTTTATTAGAGTCATGAATTAAGTTTTAAGTGAAAATCAATGAAATACCTGCATTTGTCATTATTATGTACAATCATATCAATATTATTTTTCATTCAACAAAGAATAAAACCTGTATTTAAATATCACATTAGCAAAATATCTTATAAGAAATGGAAAGATTGGAAATTTCAATTACATGTAATTTATATTTCAAGAAAGTGCAAAAATTGATAATGATAATAGAATAGTAAGTAAGTAAGTAAGTAAGTAAGTAACGACTTTATTTTATGAGGCTAACACATTCAGTTTCCCGATCTTCCATGCGGGCCTCAATATACAAAACAACATAAAATACAATCACAATCAACATTTAGACAACATAAATATGTACATTAAACATCATATCAATACAATAAATAAGTAAACAATTTTTTCTTCTTACATAGAGAAGTGACATTTTTATAACTTCAGCATGGAAAGTATATGTTTTTGAAACAATATGTATAAACAATTAGTTAGAAAATTGCCACTGGATATAGGAGGATTGAAATTTCCTCAGGGTATCAGAATTTCGAATATGGATTGGTATGCTGTTCCATACCACAGGACCAGAGTAATTAAATGATTTTCTAAAAAATTCTGTTTTTGGTTTGGGTACAGTTAGTTTTTCATTTTGTATAGATCTTAAGTTAAAGTCATGTTTGTCATTTATTGTTTGGAATTTATTTTTCATATAAATAGGAAAGGATGGTTCATTTATAGATTTATACATGAGGATTGCCACTTTTGTACATAATTCTTTGATCAAAGGACATCCAATTTAATTCTTTAAATAGAATATTTGATGGGGTATCAAAACTTTTGTCTAAAATAATTCTTGCAGCTCTTTTTTGAAAGTTGACAATTTGCGAAAGTAATTCACTACTGCAGTTTCCCAAAATAGTGCAACAGTAGTCAATATGTGGCAAAATATAAGCATTAAAAAAGAGTTTTCTGGAGTGGAGATCAAGGTACTGTTTGATTCTAAGAAGCAAATAGAGCTGTGATTTGCATTTTTTAATAATATTTTGAATTTGTGTTTTCCATTTAAGATTTTTGTCAACCTGGACTCCTAGAATGTAACATTTAATATTCATCTATTTTTAAATATCTGAAAATACTATCTAAATTTTTTTCTTATAAAAATCAATTTCACATTAAAAAACATAAAAGCAGCCATAAAACAAACAAAGAAGAGTTTAGAAAAAAAATCCTATACTTGAAACAGTAACAGATGTTGAAGAACTAAAAAATATAACAAAATTTGGATATTTCAGTAATAAAAAGAAAGAGCAATAAGGAAAAATAAGAAACACAGTTATTATTGGTTTCTTCACTATAGAGACTTTACAGTAAACAGTTAAGAGAGCTTAGAAGATGAAGAAAAATAGCAAATGAAAACTAAGTTTGTAACACTTCCAGCACTGAAAATAATCTAAAGAACTTAAAAGTTTCTAAAATATAGTTACTAGATGTTATCTGTATGAAAATGATCAAATTGAATCGGATGGCCTAGATCTATCATTTACAAAAAGTTAACAGATACCAAAGGATACTGATCAAATTTATGAATAAAAGATGTAAAACATGTTACACTGAGAATAACTAAAAAAAAATAAGATTTTATTACAATGAAGATCTAACATGAAATCTACTTTTCAGATAAGTATGAAAAATCAAAATATTGAATCTGAATTTAGAAATAAGTTAACAGATAGATACAGACAATCGATCAAACAATAAGAATTCATGAGAGGCATATCAAAGCAGAATAATAATAAGCTACAATGACACATTGAAAAGATGTGCAACCTGGTTTTCCTTTTTTGTGCATGACTATATAAAATGTAGAAAATTTCAAGGTAAATTGTAACAAGTTTGACAAAATAGAGGTATACCATTAATATGAAAAAGAGATTTGTATACATTTCAAGTATATATGAAAAATGAATGAACAAGAGCCATGTCAACATGGCCATCCCCCGCCGAATGTGTTTGCTCATTGGAAGAATGTATATGTAGTAGAGCGGAATAATTCCATTTTAAGAGGTCTTTTGGTAATGAACACTGATGGCTATAGTGATTACAGATTTGAAACCTATGTGAATACTGATGGCTGAAAATAACAAAGGGCAATTACTGAAAAATAATGCAGGGTAGGTTATCATTCTTGTGTGCTGCATCCCTCCTCAGTAAAATCTATCCACCTATGAAGTTTCAAGTTGATACCTCAAATACTTTTTGAGAAAAAAATTGAATTGAAAAATTAAGTATGAAAAAGAACAAAGGGCAATAACTCAAAAATTATAAAAGGTAGAGTTATCATTCTTGTGCAGTGCACACCTCCTGAGTGAGATCTATGCACCTATGAAGTTTCATTTTGATATCTCAAAGGCTTTTTGAGTTATGCTCTGGACAAAAATTAATTTTGAAAAATAACAAAGGGCAATAACTCAAAAATAATGCAGGGTAGAGTTATCATTCTTAAGCACTGCACTCCTCCTCAATGAGATCCATCCACCTTTGAAGTTTCAAGTTGATACCTCAAATACTTTTTGAGATAAGCTCTGGACAAAATAGCATGAAAAAAAAAGGGCAATAACTCAAAAATTGTATAGGGAAGAGTTATCATTCTTGCTCACAACATTCCTCCTCAATAAGATCTATCCAACTATGACATTTCATGTTGATATCTCAAACACTTTTTGAGTTATGCTCCACTCAGGTGAAAAATTAGGTATGAAAAATAACAAAGGGCAATAACTCAAAAATTATGAAAGGTAGAGTTATCATTCTTGTGCACTGCACACCTCCTGAGTGAGATCTATGCACCTATGAAGTTTCATGTTAATATCTCATAGGCTTTTGGAGTTATGCTCTGGATAAAAATCAATTTTGAAAAATAACAAAGGGCAATAACTCATAAATCATGCAAGGTAGAGTTATCATTCTTGTGCACTGCACTCCTCCTCAATGAGGTCTATCCACCTATGAAGTTTCAAGTTGATAACTCAAATACTTTTAGAGATATGCTCCGGACAAAAATGTCGGACGGAAGGACGCACGGGCGGACGGAAGGACGGACGGACGGTCGGACGGACGGAGACTATTTCTATATCCTCCGCCGAAATTTTTCGGCGGGGGATAATAATGATAAATGTGATGATTTGGTCACTGAACCCTTAGCCTGCGGAAACTGAGAATGATATTAGCCCCCACCTCCAGTATAGAGCCAGACCAACCTGCCCTTCACTCAGTGTGGCCTGACCAAGCTCTACACTGTTGACTGACCAATAACTTCAAATTTTCATCTTGATATCCCCTAAAATCTGCGACGGACAAATTTCGAAAGCTCCGCAAGTCGATTTTACAATTCAGCAGGCTAAGGGCTATAAGCTAGGAACTTTGTTAGCTTCGGGTATTAGTGGCGTTTTATAGTCTAGCAAAGCTTCTACATCTGTCTGCAGGTAGCTACAGCAGGCAGGATTGTACCTCGCTTCGATACTTCTTCCGTTTGTTCCTCTTCAACTTCTTCTTTAACCTCCTCATCTCTCTCACCTTCATCTTTTGTTTCATCTTCTTTTTCTACCTCTTCATCCTCTGCCTTTTGTCCATCCTCTTTCTGCTCGACCAGGGTCTCCTGACTATCTCCACCCTTACCTTCCCCTTCACCTTCTGCTGTAGTTAATGGGAGATTGTGTTGCGATGTATTGCAGATTTTTTTTATTTTCAAAGCAATTAACTTGATTGTTAACACTAATACTAAGCCAACTGTATATTTGAAATATAGACTGGGTATTATTCACAAATGCTTTAATTTTTATTTATTTATTCTTTTTTGAGTTTCTTTCCAAAACTAGTAATAGAAAGAGCATCGAAACACGAGGCGTTCTGATTTATACAAGGGACGAATGCGAATCAAAAGTATTAAATATTATGAATGATAATCCTTTGGATGTCTACAACATCTTTTTTAATTTCTAAATATCAGTAAACCCAATTGTTAATTGATGAATTCTTAGTTGTTGACATTTTATGTAAAACTATTTCTTTTAGTATTTCATGATTTTTTGCTGTTGTCCTCATATACATTTTTATGCTTGTAAATACCTAATAACATATATGAATTATATCCAGTCTACATTGACCAAGGTGTTTTAAAAAGCACATGCATAAGTAAATACTCAACATAACTGTTAAAAACAATGCTATGAACATACATTTTATACATGTTAGATATTGTACATGTGGCTTTTAAAAATAGCATGCAGTCAAAGCTTTCTAGATTGCATTACAATGTTTTCTTTAGTGCATTATTAAACATCATCATGCCATGCATATTCTGTTCTATTTCTGTAATTGCTTAAAACTTATTTGCATACAAGCATGCATCATTTATACAAAAGTCAATTGTATCTCCTGGTCCCTAAGGAATTGTGGGTTCTTTGACCTTTTGACCTTCAAATCCCTGGAAAACGCTTTCTCTTTTAGGACATTCAAACAGTAAAATCCTTGATAAATTCCCTTGCACTGCTTGCTAGTTGTGGATCTTCAAAACAAAAAATTAGTGCCAAAACAAAAATTGATGGCACTTAGAGAGCAACTAGAAATAAAGAAAACCCTGCTCAGCTTGTTTCCCCTTTACTATCCCACAAACAGCTCTTAGGCCAGGGTTACAATAGACTGATGAATTATATGTAAAGCAGTCCTGTATGAACCCATAAAACACCTTTTTCATATTCAAAGCTTTGTCTGCATATTGTGATCATTTTAATAAAAAAAAACAACAAAAAACAAACAAAAGTTAAAATCAAAAACACCAAAACAAAATGATTAAAACCATTCAACATTACTGGAACTGTAACATGCTGAAGGGAAAATATATCATAGTTAGTCATTCAAAACACAACAACAAAAAAGGATGGAATTTTAGGGGGTGTTTTATGTCTGGCAGTCATGCATTCTGGGTAAAATATTCAAATTTATGCCAACCTTCCTCGCCCTCTGGCTCCTCCTTATCCTGACTGGTATCCTCCCCCTTTGTTTCCTCTGTTTGGGGTATAAATAATGACATACAATAACTATTTACTTTTATTTGGTGACTTTTTTGGTCTTACCATCTTCCTTGGTCTTGCAATGTCTCACAACGGTAAATGTCATGGCAAAATGCTTTTTGAGTTTTTACAATATTTAATCAAAATAATTTTTAAAAAGAAAAAGATTGAAATTTCAGTAAAATAAAAGGTTGTTCTTAAATGTATAGAATTGCACGGAGCTATTAGGTCATTAAATTACATTAAACATAGTACGAAGTACATAAATTGCAGCATTCTTTATTTAGTATAATCTTCAAAGCTGGCCACATTTACCATGACATTTACAATGCATGTATTCTCCCCTGCTCCCCTCCTCCTTTTTAATACCCACACTTTCAAATTCTACTACAATCTAAATATCAACATAAAAATTTCAAAATAAATCATGAAATCTATTTAACATAACCCGAACTTAAACAATAAGAATACAATTTTTTAATTAAGCAAATAAACTGACACAGGAGCTAATGTATTATCAATTCACCAGACAAGGGTAAAAGTTGTACAATATAGCTTTGCCAAATTTTGAAGAAAGAAACAACAACTTTTTCTGTGTATTTTACAAAAATTATCTGCAGTGTATATGGTCTGAAATATTGTGTATGACGTTACCTAAGTGCAGTAACTGTTGAACTCCTATTATAAGGAGTTAACCATTTACTGAACTAAGTTGATTATTTCTTTGAATAAGAATTAGAATTCATTTGACCCCCCCATATAAGGCAGTATTTCACATCCTTCACCACTTTTTAAAACCTATCCTCAACCTCTATAACACATCAACATAAAAAAAAACATATTCATAAATAAAAACAGTAACAACAACAACAGTTTCCCATGGTGACCAGTGACAGGATTTTTTTAAGGAATGTAACTCACCATCTTCTTCCTCATCGCCCTCGCCCTCCTCCTCTTTCCTCAGCCTCTCCTCCTCAGCTTTCTGTTTAGCCTCAGCCTCAGCACGCTTCCTCTCTTCCTCCTCTTGTCTCCTACAAAAATCACACATAATAAACTAAGCACTTTCAAGAGCGTAGGAAACTTTTTATGCCAAATATTTCCAAAATTGGCCTAAAGGTTGTTAAAGAAGCATATTATTATTATATTCACTTACGTAATATTGAAGGATCTACATGAAATAACTTTTTTTTTCATTTCTATTTATCTAGTTTTTATTTGCTTTATTCTTATTGTCTAAGCAATAAACTGGTCTGTAACGACATATGTAACACCAACCATGGACTATAAAAAAAATGATGGCTCAAATCACATGCAAGAACATAGTGCTTCAAATTTCAGCTGTATTAACAAAGATTTCTCTGTAATCACATAATACATGTAATACACAATGTAGCATATTTTACATTGGCATTTGAGACAAACCACTCATAAGACGGGGTTGTAAACACAAAATGTTAAACACATCAGCATACTATAACTAACCCTTAACAAGCTGAATTTGTTAATGGATTTACCCTTATTTGATTATAGAATAGTCCATACAAAGTTTATTGGATTTCAGAATATCAAAATACAAAAATCTGAGCTACCAACAGTATGGAACCCAAGTCAGACTGTATGGATATGCAGGCTGGCCTGGTTCTATACTGGTGGCAAAGGCAAATCATTTTTGGTTCCAGAAGGTTAAGGGTTTAAGCAGAATTCTACCAGTTTCAATACCAATAAAGCTGTCAAAAGCTCAATAAAACAAATGTTTATTACATAAAATATCTGCAAACAACTATCTGTATGTTATTCAATATACAATATAAACCAACGTGAAATTCTAACAAAACAGACAAATATTTTCACTAAATAACCAACAACCAACCCTAAGTAAAAACAAATATCAAATATTTTTTGAACACAATATATGCCTACCCAGGTTCAATGCTGGAAATAAATCATGATAACACAAGTTTTAAATCTATTAAATACTCTTTGCTTATTGTCCTATAGTTGAGTTCAATTCTGACTTTATTGTCTCTTTGAAAGAACTAAAATAGTGTGGAAAATTATCCACACAATGATATTCAAATGTTACAAAAGATCTAAGTGTTGTATTAATAAAACTATAGTTATATTTTTATGCTGAAGAGATCAAGAGTGTTTCTTATTAGTATAGGTAAACAATTAATTCAATCCAATTCTGATCAAAACAAAAAAAAATTTCTTATGAAAGATATATAAAGTTAAAATTCACCAAAATTGTCTTTATGTACAAAGTACTCTTTTTTTGCTTTTTGTATCAACTGCATTTCAAAAGAATTTACCAATCAAAATAAGCTTTACATCTAAATTTGAAAGATCATGATTAACCAATGAGAAGCAAGTTTTTATTTGAATAAACCAATCAGAAATTAGCTTACTTTCTTTCAGCCTCTAGCCTGATTTTTCTCTCTTCCTCTTCTTTTATTCTCTGCCTAATTTTTTCATCAATTTCATCTTTGTGCATATTGTACCATCTCTTCATTAGGAACTTGGAGCCGTCCCCACTATCCTTTAAAACGATGACATCGTCTGGGAGGAAGTTCTTCTCAATACACAAGTTCCACTGGTCGCGCGTGTTGGGGAAGTTGTCCAAAATCCAGCCACCATGCCTATAAAACAAGCCATACAATTTTTACATGTTATTATATTTTTCAATAGCCACAGAAGCATTGAATATAAATGGCATGGTTCACTGAACTAAAATGAATATCATTATAATCTATAAAGCTATATTTTACATATAAAGTGCAATTATAGAGGAAAACATGATTTTTTGTTGATATGGGGCTGCATTGAATTTTATAGCACTTTTGCATCTTTTACATCTTTACAGCCTTCTTCACTTTCCAGCTTCAAATAAGTCAATCTCTGACCATAAACAACAACCCCCCTCCCCCTGCCTCCAACACCCCCCTCTCTGACCTTTAATTAACATACAAACATCTGAAACATTTTCAAATATCATTATTAAAATCTTACAGGGGACCGTCTGGTTTGGCCTCCCTCATCATTTTTTCTGCAATCCTTATTCCTTCCTCAAGAATCTCCAGGTAAATCTCTGGTGTCAAGGTGACAGGGGTCTTCTCTGCATCTTTTACAGCCTGTTCCACCAGGGCAATGACATCTGGGTGGGTGGCATCAACATCAGGGATGCCTGCACCACCCTCCTTTCCTTGATCCCCTGATACTGTGGATTCTTGACCTGTGTTTGTGTTAAAAAAATCATACATCATTCAAAAATTTGTATATAACACTAATCATAAAATATTACCTGTATGTATAAAACAAGAGGGCCATGATGGCCCTGGATCGCTCACCTGACACAACCGCATCCAAGCAATGTCTTAAACAAGCATCATGGCCAAGTTTGATGACAACTGAGTCAAACATGTGACCTCTTGTATGTTATAAAATTTTTTTCATATTTGGGCAATGTGACCTAATTTTTGACCTGACACGACCCATATTAAAACTTGACCTAGAAATCATCAAAACAACCTTCCTGACCAATTTCCAAGAAATTTGGATCAAAACTGCAGCCACAAGAGTGTTAAAAAGATTTTTCTATTTTTAGCTCCTGTGACCTAGTTTTTAACCGGACATGACCAATCTTAGCACTTGACCCAGAAATCATCAAAACAACCTTCCTGACAAATTTCCAGAATATTTGAATCAAAACTGCAGCCACTATAGTGTAAACAAACTTTTTCTATTTTTAGCTCCTGTGACCTAGTTTTTGACATGAGATGACCCATCTTCGAACTTGACCCAGAAATCATCAAAACAACCTTCCTGACAAATTTCCAGAATATTTGAATCAATACTGCAGCCCCTAGAGTGTTAACAAGCTTTTTCTATTTTTAGCCCCTGTGACCTAGTTTTTGACTGAAGATGACCAATCTTCAAACTTGACTTAGATATCATCAAAACAACTTTCTTGACAAATTTCCAAAATATTTAGATGAAAACTGCAGCCTCTAGAGTGTTAACAAGCTTTTTTCTTTTTAGCTCCTGTGACCTAGTTGAGATGACCCATCTTTGAACTTGACCTAGAAATCATCAAAACAACCTTCCTGAAAAATTTCCAGAATGTTTGGATGAAAACTGCAACCATTAGAGTGTTAACAAGCTTTTTCTATTTTTAGCTCCTGTGACCTAGTTTTTGACCAGACATGACCCATCTTCGAACTTGACCTAGAAATCATCAAAACAACCTTCCTGACAAATTTCCAGAATATTTGAATCAAAACTGCAGCCACTAGAGTGTTAACAAGCTTTTTCTATTTTTAGCTCCTGTGACCTAGTTTTTGACCGGAGATATCCCATCTTCGAACTTGACCTAGAAATCATCAAAACAACCTTCCTGACAAATTTCCAAAATATTTGGATGAAAACTGCAGCCCCTAGAGTGTTAACAAGCTTTTTCTATTTTTAGCTCCTGTGACCTAGTTTTTGACCGGACATGACCCATCTTCAAACTTGACTTAGATATCATCAAAACAACATTCTTGACAAATTTCAAGAACATTTAGATGAAAACTACAGCCACTAGAGTGTTAACAAGCTTTTTCTATTTTTAGCTCCTGTGACCTAGTTTTTGACCGGACATGACCCATCTTCAAACTTGACCTAGATATCATCAAAACAACCTTCCTGACAAATTTCCAGAATATTTAGATGAAAACTGCAGCCTCTAGAGTGTTAACAAGCTTTTTCTATTTTTAGCTCCTGTGACCTAGTTTTTGACTGGAGATGACCCATCTTTGAAGTTGACCTAGATATCATCAAAACAACCTTCCTGACAAATTTCCAGAATATTTGGATGAAAACTGCAGCCACTAGAGTGTTAACAAGCTTTTTCTATTTTTAGCTCCTGTGACCTAGTTTTTGACCGGAGATGACCAATCTTCAAACTTGACCTAGATATCATCAAAACAACCTTCCTGATAAATTTCCAGAATATTTGGATGAAAACTGCAGCCACTAGAGTGTTAACAAGCTTTTTCTATTTTTAGCTCCTGTGACCTAGTTTTTGACCGGAGATGACCCATCTTTGAACTTGACCTAGATATCATTAAAACAACCTTCCTGACAAATTTCCAGAATATTTGGATAAAAACTGCAGCCTCTAGAGTGTTAACAAGCTTTTTCTATTTTTAGCTCCTGTGACCTAGTTTTTGACCCGAGATAACCCATCTTCGAACTCGATCTGTATTTCATTGAGACAAACATTCTGACAAAGTTTGATGATGATCCAATCAAAACTGTGACTGCTAGACTGTTAACAACCCAATTGTTAAGAGTGTTAACAAGCTTTTTCTATTTTTAGCTCCTGTGACCTAGTTTTTGACCGGAGATGACCCATCTTCGAACTTGACCTAGATATCATTAAAACAACCTTCCTGACAAATTTCCAGAATATTTGGATGAAAACTGCAGCCTCTAGAGTGTTAACAAGCTTTTTCTATTTTTAGCTCCTGTGACCTAGTTTTTGACCCGAGATAACCCATCTTCGAACTCGATCTGTATTTCATTGAGACAAACATTCTGACAAAGTTTGATGATGATCCAATCAAAACTGTGACTGCTAGACTGTTAACAACCCAATTGTTGACGACGCACGACGAGGGACGCCGGACATAGCCCCATCACTATACCTCACCGTGGTCAGGTGAGCTAAAAACCCATGTTAGTTTCTTAGATACAGTTTAAGCTACTGTTAAAAAATTCAAATTTATTAAATATAAATAATCTAGAATTAAATCTAAAATGTGATTTTTTCCCATTACCTTATAAATTTATAATATTTTTCTAAACATTAAGGTTAAATAACAAATCACAAAACAACGGTTATTTGATTATTTTTCTGTTATTAAAATCTACCTTCAAAAATTGAAAAAAAAACTGAAGACAGTTTAAGAATTAAATTTTCACTATTATTAAGAATAATGATCTAAATCATTCAATAAAACTTTCAATTATTCAATTTCATATAAAACTTTGTTAGGTATTTAATCAAAATCATCATTTTAAAATAAATGAGCCGTGTCATGACAAAACCAACATAATGGGTTTGCGACCAGCATGGATCCAGACCAGCCTGCATCAGGATCCATGCTGTTCGCTTACAAACCCTATTACAAGTAGAGAAACTGATAGCGAACAGCATGGATCCTGATCAGACTGCGGGGATGCGCAGGCTGGTCTGGATCCATGCTGGTCGCAAACCCATTATGTTGGTTTTGTCATGACACGGCTCAAATAACCTTCCGGATCCAATCACAAGTGGTATAAAAGAATACGGCCAGTACTTTCAAAGAAAGAACTAATACCCCAAGACAAATCAAAAGAAAAAAATAAATTCAAAACATGCAAAAAGAAATGAAGAAGTTGTGCAATCATGCAAAGAGTAAAAACAGAAAATTGGTGGTGAAAACTAGAGAAGCATTCTAAAGTCTACTAAGAGATCTTGATTTCTTTTTTTAAATCCTGAAATACAGTTATATTAAACTATGACCAAAAAAAACCCTTAGAATATGTAAATAAAATAAAATAAAAAAACTTCTACGTTAACATAAAGATAGCCAGTCAGCAGTGTCGTAGAATCTTTTCTTTCAAAATTTTTCTTTTTTTTTCATGAAATATGTATCTTGAACCTGGGTTACTGATGACCTAGCTAAATGGACTAATCACAAATAAAAAATCCAGTGGCTGAAATTGGACTTGTGAAAATCGTCTGGTCTGCAGGGAGGAGAGTGGGATGCTTTAATTATTGATTGTTCAAATGTTTAAATCACGAGTTTCTATTGTAACCATCAATATGATGACAAAATATAATTATATTTTGTTTTGATTGTAGCCCTAAACTAAATTATATTACGGATATAAATTTTGCAGTTCTTTGTTTTCAGAATGAAAAGGGTTAATAAAAAGATATCTATAAGTTGTTTTAAAGAAATAACATGTACAAGTAAATTAAGTTAATAGCACATACTTGTATCACATATTATTTATGCCAAGACTTTCAATTCACAGTAGAAGATATTGATGTATATGTGCTAAGGAATGGATTTTAGGTGGAATATAAATCACTGTTAGTAAGAAGTCTTTGGGACATACACTCATAGGCGTTAGTAAGTCAAGTTAGTGTTTTATTTTAGTTAACAATGTTGTTAGTGGTGTAAGACAATTAGATGTTAGCCAACCACCTTGGGTGGACGTGGCGGATTCATCAGCTCTCTCACTCTGTGAGCTCTCACCACCAGAGGGCGCTGCCTGGTCCGAGGGCGCTGTCTCCTCTCCGTCCTCCTTTTTAGTCTCACCTTCCTCCTCGACTTTAGATGTTTCAGACTTTGTCGGGGAATCTAAATGTGTTAGATCAGCAAATTATTTTCAATTTAATAACACAGTCACCTTTGATTAAGCTTCTAAACATTCACCAATAAACACTACATCCTCTATTGTATAAAAACAACTTTTTTTAATTATCTACAATAATATCTTCAACCGTTACCAATTACATAAAAACAAACACTGATCCTTTTCCAAATAATAGTAAAAAAAACACAACAAAACTTTATAACATAAAGAAACTGAAAAAAGAAAATAAATGAAAGACTGAAAGTTTCTATAGATTCTATAAAGCATTTTACTATAAATAAATAAAATCACTATTCTAATTAAACATAAACAATCAAACACTTGTTCAGAATGCATTCCCTTTAACTTTTCAACTTTTCTGCACAAAGTTACATAACCTTAGAGCTAAGATTATCTTATTAAAATATAAAAATATTGTGTTTTTTTTTGCTATTTTTACCACACATGAAAAGTTCTGTTGTTTTTTTTAGAAATACAACAAAATTCCTACCCATCTACCATCTATTTTTAGCTTAAAGTTTAAGCAGTTTAAATGGCTTTTTTATTTTTTAATAGATTATTAGTTTTATTTGCAATAATATAAAGTTATAAAATTTGCATGAAAAAAAAAGTAAAGAAAAAAAAGTAAATAGAGTCAAAACCTCTTTAAATTGATAAAGGTATTGCTTATAAGTATTATATGTATTATATTAAATAACAGGTTTTGGAGCTGAATGAGTTAAATTCTCCACCGTACATCTCATAAGAATCACCGAAATATCTACACAATGCACAAATGCCTGTCTTAAAATATTTCCGAGACCAAAACTAATCTTAACAATTTCTAATGCAGGTTAAGACAATAAATAGTTATTAAAACTGGGCACAAAAAATGACTGTTTTTAATTTTCAGCAACCAAAAATGTAAAACTTTTTTATGCAAATATTTAACTTTAATTTGCTTCTTGACTGACAATTTGGTTAAGATAACAAAAAAAAAAACAGGACCTAGAATTTTATTCTAAATTGCATTATAATTATTTAGGATATCCAGATATCAACAGATTAATAGATACATGTACATATAATAGGATTTAAAGGGGGAATGTTACATTGTAGTAATAATAGTACCGTAATAATGTAAATTATCATCATGCTAAAACCTGGCCTATTAAAATGAAAGCTCGATAAAAAATGAGCTCTCAAAATTTCTATAATTACATTCAAGAAACCTTCTAGCAATAGAAATAGCTAAAGAAATATGCTTCATGTATAACATGCCTATTCTAAAAGAAGAAAAGAAGGTGCTTAAATTATCATAATGTGAATTAAACTGTAATAAAGAGAGACAACTCTATCTGTTATGAACTGTCAAAATAAAGTGTGAAACATTTTACAAAATAAATAGGTTTTCTATCAGTAAATTAAGAAAAAAAGTAAGCCATCAGTCAAAAACAGAGAGAGTAATCTCCCTTCATAAATAAGAAAGAATGAGTAATAAAAAGAAAGAAATAAAGGGCAGCAACTCTAGCTGTCGTCTGCTACCTAAAAGCAATAAAAAGGTTAAAATAAAGAACAAAGTTAGCCTATTAAACTAAAATTAAAAATATAGAAGTTAAAGAGCTGTTATGCTGAAATATAGATATAAATAGATGACATGTTACAATATCAATATGGGAGAAGAGCTAAATATAGTAACAGAGGGAAGTAACTGTAGCAGGTTTCTATGGGAGTTGTCTCCCTCACCTTCAGGTTTGGACTCAGCCTCTGTAGTGGTCTCAGCCACAGCCTCTTTTTCAGAGGCCTCTTCTCCGTCACCCTCACCTTCTTCTTCCTCCTCATCCTCTTTTTGTGCTATATAATTTATCAATAAATTTCCATGATAACAAAAGGTACACTACTGCAAATATGAACAGGCTTATTCTCAAATTATGTCAAGACCTGTTTTAATTTTAATTGATAATTCAAATCTAAGTCAACAACTGAAAAGTATTACCTGTGCAATTAAGAACTTAAGCATTTTTATTCAAAATTTCTATATTTAATCTTTCCAGATTAAAAAAAAATTGTACCACTACTTTGATAAACTAAACCAGGATTCCAGGAATCAAAAGTTCAAACACAGCAAAGACAATAGAAATGTGACTTTAAAAACTGTGTGAAGTGCAGCTGACAATAAAATTTACACTTGCTTTGATGATCAGTCTCAAATCTTAATTATTCATAAATTAAACAATTTATTTGAATTATCAGTTCAATTTACATCAAGGCCGTACAATTAATTATATTCACTAGTAATTAAGTGAAGAAAATATGGGTAACAATATATAAGTTACTTGTTGAGACTGATCTCAAATCTCTGATTTAAATCACAATCTACCCTATCGCTTAACCTTTTAAATCACACTGGTATGAAAAAGAACTGTACATCTAGAAAAATATGTACATTGTAAATTATTGTAAAAAGTTTGCAAGCTCAGTATCCCAAAACTTAAGCCTCAGAAGGCTGATTGGTGTACACTATTGGGAAAGAGCTATTTACTATCATAAGTATTTCTTCTAGATTAACAGTACATTATCTAAAAAAATTGTGGATTCCTCAAGAATGTAACTTAACTTTAACATAAAATCAAAATAAGACAGAAATTAATGGGTGTCATCCCATTAAAAAAAATAGGATTGGAACTAACTTATAATCATCAACTTTTCTAGATTTACAGTTCATATTTCAATCATTGTCAAAACATTACCAGGAATTCAGATAAATGAAAATAACATTCAGTCTGATCTTAAAATAAAAAAGAAATGGAAGAAAGGTATGGTGTAGGTTTCTAGAGTGTGCATCTACAGGGTGAAACAAATGTTGACTACCTTCTCTTTCCTCAGCTTCTTTCTCCAGTCTTTCTCTCTCAGCGGCTGTTGGTTGAATTTATATATTAATATAATATACTAAATACACAAGTTAATTCTGATTATGTACCATATATCAATGTTAAAAGTACATAATTATATACATTAATGTAAATTATATTGTGTATTATGACAAACATACAAAAAAAATCTGACAAATTTTTAAGCCATAGATAGTACATTTTACATCTGATGTTAAACACAGAGACAAAGAAACAAACAGTGAAAATATGAGAACATTTAATAACAACAAAACTGTTAAAATTGGGTGCCGTAAGATAATACATGCATATAAATTTATTATTTTAAATGCAGATGCGGAAAGTCACAAGACATGCATAACCTGGTTGAAAACCCAATTTTAACATTTCACAATGTAACAAGAAAACGTAGGACAAAAATAACATAATAATCACCTTCAGCAGCCTCTTTTGCAGCTTGTTCTGCCTCCATCTGCTCCTTGATTTTGGTGCGTACCTGATTAATGGCCGTCTCCGTGGTTTCTTTTCTGACATTCTCGATCGTCTTTTTCTTCTCTAACTCCATCCTTGGCTGAATCAACTTCTCCATGTCTAATACCTGTAGACATAAAAACAGACTCAATTATATATCAGGTTTTTTTTTTTAAATTGCAAATGACAGTGGCTTTACAATTGTTATATTATGCAGTTGTTTAAAAAAATTGACTAAAATTTTTTATCTACATTTGCCAAATACTTTCTAATACAGAGCAAGCACATGCAGAGCAAATGGACAAATCCTAAATCATCTACAGCGATGCCACCAGAACCAAATACTGTAACCTACTTTTATGCAAGTGTAAAACAATTCATGGCATTGAAAACCTGCCATTTTTATTTTGACATACCTCAGAATTTGGCAGATAAATTATGGCAATTTTGAACAACATAATATAATACTATATAATACAAAAAAAATGATTCTAACACTATCGGAAATTTTTCTATATAAACAAAGAAGGTCCGAAGCGTGCATTATTCTACAACAATGCACTCGCCGTTCTTATTACATCCCTATGTATTTTCACATTTTGTTTGAAAAATCTGATAAATAAAAACATTTTTTGTCGAATTTTGTTGTGAAAGCTGTCTAGAATGAAAGAAAATGGTCTAACTAAGAAAATGAATCCGAACACCAATATCTTTAATTCAGTCGTTAACGCTGTACAGACGTTTAAAGTGTTGTTTACGTGACGTCACAATGAAGCGCCAAACAGCACGTGCAAAACAATCAAATCAAGTACGCTATTTTAATGTCGCAAACGAGTTAAGTTTAACATTTATTTCACTTTTAATAATTTGTATTTCGCTTGAAAATTTTTAGAGTGAAATAAAATAAACAAAGTTTTACCAACGTTTTCAAAATTCGTTATTCTCAAAATGTTCCTACACACGGTAGACTTAACGACAGTTTTTTTCCAATCCACTGGAACAGCCTTTAAAGAACGTTTCTATGGGAAACTCTCAGGCGAAAACAAATTTAACCACCAAACATAAAGTCCAACTTTATAATAATAATTATATTTTTTCTTGACGTATTAGAATGGAAATAGATATTAATTCTTCGTGCATTATTGTATAATAATGCACGTTTTTCATTCAAATGCTTTGTAATTAATCACTCAGAATTTGGCAGATAAATTATGGCAATTTTGAACAACATAATATAATACTATATAATACAAAAAAATAAAAAAATTTTGTCTGTAAGGCTAAATTTTACAAAGATTACTTACCCTCGCACCATATTTCTGTGCTAATAGATGCGAGAAAGTTGTTTTTCCAGCAAAAGGAGCACCTAACACAGATATCTTACAAGGAGGTCGTGGCTGGTCTGGCAAAAGGTAAGGCCGTGGATTCTTCAGGAATTTTTCCATGGCCTCGCCACTTGATAATACATACATCTTGTCCAAGAAACTGTAAAATGGAAAAACAAAATCAGAATGTTTAAATAAAAATGATTTGAAACAATGCTAATATTTTGATGCTGCTATTTTTATTTCAAAGTTTTGTTCTTTTTAATGCCAACTCACATCATCCTTACAATAAGCTTATTCGATGCAAACAAATATTTTTATCAAAGTTGACCTGGGCTAAAAGATAAAATGATTTCTCAGAAAGGAAAACAGGGTTCATATGGAATATATTTTAGTTTATTATCAAGCAGTGCAAATCTGTATGGATAAATGTTTCAAAAAGCCTGATGTACTTGATTGAATGTGATTACTCGGTAGAAATTAATCTTTTATAAATTTATAAATCCCTATAGACATCTCAAAAAGAGTTCATTTCTTTTTAATCCTGAACTTAAACAAATATAACAATTTCATGCCAGATCTAAATAACGTCACTTACCTGACAGCAAGGTCCGGTTTTCCTGGAATGATGTTTCCCTCATGCAGAGCAACCGGACAGTTTCTCAACCATCTACTGCGTCGCCACCGGAACCTTGGGGCAACCATCTGTTTCGGAGCCAAGCTTCTCATTAGCTCGTCTGTGTCAATCTCCTCTGGGATTTCTTCCTCTTCTGGATCGTGCAGACGCATGGGTACTGCTGCTGGTCTCAGCACGAAACAATTGAGACGCTGTTGTAATTGCTGAAAGGAAAACAGATTACGGCAATTATTATTTATCCATCACAAAGTGACTTAATTTATTCAAAACTTTAGTTTTTTTTCCTTTTCCCCTTTATAATAAATCCAACCATACATAAGGATATGTAAGTATCAACACTCATAGACCAGACCTAACTTTCAACACTCATAGGCCTAACTTTCAACACTTATAGGCCTTTCAAAGTAACACATTTGATAAAGATTATCCTTATAAACAATATACAAGTACTTGTATCTAATTATATATACATGCCACTTTATTACTTAGTTAACAAAATTTGTTTTCTATTATTCCTAAAATACAATTTCTAACCAAAAATCACAACAACCTAACATAAATAATAGTCATTACAATCCAATAATATGATGTGTTGTTTTTTTAAAACTCCAAATCAATTCAAATCACATTACTATCATCGTAAGAACATATAAATTTTTACGACTGATGTATATAATATATATTTTTTTTATAATGATTCTTGAAATATTTACTTTAAACAGGGTAGATGAAGTCTGGTTTCCGTCCATCTCTATCAAATACTGTTGGTCATGATCAGCCATATACTCCTGTTAATGATAAATATATTAACATAATATAACCACAAAAATATTCAAATATTATGTAACCATATAACTGAAATTCTGCAGTTTTACACATAGATATATATTTTGTATGTTTGATACAAAAGAAAATTTGATGACTGCTTTATGTATTTTACTCACTGTGTGTGTGTGTATTTTAAATAACCATAAAAAAATACCATATAGGTGAGCATTATTTAAACAGTCAATAAATATACTTCATTTATTTTGGTAAGTAATTATGACTAGAAGCATTCAAAATGTTGATAATTATGCAATATAAAATCATTTTACAGGTATTATATTTTATAGCAATACATCCTCTTTTTAACCCTGTGAAACTTCTTCGTCTAATTACATTTTTAATAATAATTCATAAATTGTCGGAATCAACAATATACACTATTAAATTAACTGGATATATTGACAAAAATATATATTACCCTAGAGTTGTATTATCTGAATGGTCAAATAACTTGTTAAGTATAATTTTAACAGCATTCTTACCTCTAGCATTCTGAGTAGATTGACTTTATATTTGCGTATATTTTTCTCCACTTGTTCTGGGAGATCCTCTGGGCGAACAATAAGCCTCTCCAGAACCTCTGCTGGCAGTTCCGGGATCATGTCCTCATCCTAACAAACACATAAAGATAAATATTCCTTTATCGTGGCAATATTCACAGACTTATGTTTGATTTTACTATATTTTCATTCTTATTTTTACTTATTGCATTTGATCAACATATAAAACATTGAATAAAATTCCAGATGATGATTGCCATTCAATACATAAAATGATAAATGTGATATCCATAGCGACCATTACTTAACAAACATAATAAACTGCACAAAAAAAAACAAAATCAGTAATTTTAAATCTAACATCTGGCATTTGCATTCCCTAAACAGTTCTTAATCAAGTAACTATACAATACTGTACTCTTTGTTGTTCAAAATTACTTCCAACAATATCATCTGTTTGGCAATATTATTTTCTAACAAATCAACTGCTTGGTGTGAAAGGGTTGTAACTCCATCTTTATATGATATAGGTTACAACCCTTTTGCACTAAGCCTGCGAAATGCTTGTAAAGCATTAATCTATATGTCAAAATGATTTCTTCAAAAGGTCTACAGCAAATAAGTAAAATGTATATTTTCAGCACTGACCTCATTTGGAGATTCTTCTTCTTCAGCCTCTTCTTCTTCTTCCTCTTCTTCACCTTCTCCATCTTTCTCCTGTTTAAAGGTCAAAGGTCAAGGTTATTGCATATTTATACCTCTGAGAATGACTTTTCTCTCCGTAGTGGTATAGTGATGATGTTGTGACAAGGTATGAAAATTTCTATAGGATGTGGTTATCAAAGTTTAATACAATGTATAATGCATTATGCCAAATTATAATGGCATGTATTTAGACTTTAGCACGGTCGATTGAGGATATTTGACAAAATTCTCACCACATGTAAGACTAGTAATCATAAGGCTATCATAGTCATAATAACATGAACAGGTTAAAAAAATACAAAATTAGCAGTTACCGCTAATTTTGTATATTATTTTGCCTGTTTTCCCAATTTAATAACAACAGTATCAACAGTATTAAAATTAATCTTGATTTATTGGAAATTTAAATGTCTAGATATTAAATATGTTATTACCATACATCAGAACCCACACTATTAAATGATTTCAAAAGGGGTTCTATTACAGTATGTTAAGATATGCTGCATAAGAATTCAGAACCTGTTATCTTTAACAATGTTGGACCATGATAAGAAAATGTATTATCTTCACATACTGCAGTATTTGATGAAAAAAATATTAAACAGTTGAAACGTACATATTAACTCATAAATATTTGACATATATTTTGTGCACACAATAATTACAGAATAACTAGAATAGTAAGTGACGTCAAAAATGAATGAAACATTTAAGATGGTGTTATAGTTTTACACAATCACAACAAAAACCTTATGAAAGAATTACGGCAACTCTTATTAAGTTGTCTTAGAATATTTTTAATAGTCAAGAGATAATATTAAATACATGTAGTGTGTCAAAGTCACAAAGACCAAGTATAACTCAAACATAGAAATTAAATATAGTAAAACAAGGCTTAATTCAATATTATAAGAATTACAATCAATTATATTTTATATACACAAATAATAATGATTTTTCAAATATGTATACATATAATATATACACAGCACACTATTTAGACTTACCGATGAAGTTTTTTTCTATGTGACAACCAAATAAGTACAAACTCATTTCAAAAAATATATGTGACTTGTGGAGTTTTTATCTGACAGATTACAGTTAAATATGTATTTTGAAAGGTATTACAATCATTTACATATATATGCATATACATGCACTGTACAAGGAACAAGTTATTGATTCAAACCAACAGATAGACTGTATTAGCGCTCATAGTTTCTCCAAATGTTCAATAAATAGTTTCTCCGAATGAATAAATAATCATTTAATGATTTCAAAATCAGCAATAGATAGTGTGAGTACAACAAACTTTGGTAAAAAAAAATTTTCAGAGTCACAAACTTCTTTATACCTTCTCTAATAAGCTATGCATGAGTAAAGGAATCATTCCATGTATATATATACATTTGTATATATATTATACAGCAATAAAATTACATGTATTTTTAATCATGAAATCACATTTGCAAAATGAAATCCTGATGATGCAAATTTACATGTATATGCAAAAATTGCCATGTCTTCAGATGACCTTTGACCTTGTGATTCAACCAATAATGTGAAACAAGATAAAATCAATCAACCATTTACAAATTCAACTTTGCAATAAAAGAGAAAATAAACTGCAATGATTCTGGCAAATCTCCAATATTGATATGTGCAACAATAAAATACTCTTATTCTGTATGTCTAAAACACTAAAAAGTCCATAAAACTGAAACAAAACAGAAATATTTACCTCTTTAACAGGTCTGTCAGGGTTATAGATATCTTCTGTGTATATATCTCCAGTAACAGGATCTACTTTCTGTCCAGTCCTTCTCCTTTCCAGATCCTTGTCGGGCATCTGAAAATATGTCCAGTGCAAATATGATAAATACAGTTTTTTTCCTATGTAAATTATCAGTTATCTTCATTTATACATATTTTGCCTAAGAATTAAAGACAACTTTTTGAAATTGTCAGTTTATGTGCCAAAAGTATTATCTTCACTTTTACTAGAGCATTTATCATACATACCGGGTATACAAAAAATTACTTGTTTCATAGTTTGGAGACCTTAAATATTGAAAATGCTTCAGAGTTAAATCCTATACCGATATATGCACAGTGTGTTAATTAGACTAAAGGTATTAGTTACCCGTACTCCAGTTCCCACACTGTCTGTTGTTTAGCATGCTTGTTGATTGGCTCAATTTTCTTAGGGTTTACTTATTGGGATGATAGGGAAAGGGATAATAATAGAAAAGTCATATTCACATGCTCATACTTTGGTAACTTTTTTTCTGGGGTTTTATATTGTGATGACAGGGAACCTGTTTTTAATTTTGGCTATGATACAAAAAAGAAAGAAAACATGAAAATACTCAGCAATCTGATTTATACTTGGGGGCAACATCCTAATCATACAAATCAGATAGTTTTGTGTTTAGATGCTCTCTATTACTTGTTTTAGGTGACAAAACAAGTTAAAGTATTCATCTTTGCATTTTTTGTTGTTAACATTATACAAAGTTTCCAAGGGCTGTCATTGAATATCGCAATATCTATATATCATCAATATTCATCATCCGATACAATATACACACTTTAAAATATTGATACAAGCTAAAATTTATTTATTTATTTCTATTAGTGAATATAACTCTCTATTTTGCTTAATAAGAGAAGTCACTTTATCTAATACAAGCATGCATGACACCATGATCTCAATTTATAACACATATTTAAATGTTTTTCATTGAATCTACTGTCAAAGTTGATATAATCGTCAATATTTGTCTCTTGATAAATCGATACAAAATTTTCCATCAATGACAGCTCTCAAATTTATTACAAACCAATGTCTTATATAAATGAATCACAACTGTCATTATTCTACTGTCATGAATACATAACACTTTCAGTCAAAACAAATATTCACTGTAGACAATTTGTTACCTTCACATTAATTATAAAGTCAGGTTTGAGTTTCCAGTTTCTGATCAATTCTAGCTGATCTTTTGCTGTCAATGTTGCCTCAGATAGAGTTGGGAAATCATCCAAAACATACCCTGTAGAAAAAAAAATGTAAGAATGTGTATTGTTTATATTTTTACAAAAAAAAAAAAGCTATGAAAATGTTGCTCAGACTAATGAATTATTACAAATTATTAGACTTAACTAAAATTTAGACAAGTTTAAACTTCTTTGAACTATATTGATTTTTATTCATTCTCAAATAATCACAAAGTAAAAGTAAAAAAACAAGACTACACAATATCTTAATTACTTTAAAAAAAACTTGAATAATAAGTTACATGTATGTCTGTGTTGTAATTTGAACACTAAATGTATTTTAACCTTTGAAATTTGACAAACATTTTTGAAACCTTTTTGGGAATGCATTTATAAAATATTGATATATCTAATTTCAACTCATATTTCATATAGTGTGGACAGTCATACTCATGATACATAATTTGTTTCATATCTTAAAAAATAATAAGTACATAATTTGTCACCTTAGTGCATTAACGGGTTAAGTCCTTTTAAATTCAATAGGAGTAAACCAGTTATTGCACTAAATTAGAGAAAAACAGAATCCCTAAAGATTGCACAAAACAACATAATTGAAAATATTCCAGGCTCAGTTTGATTGAGCCTGTTCATGGACGGTACTGGAAAGTGCATGTTACCATCCACAGCGCAATAAGCACCGTTTAAAGAAGAATTCAACATTTAAACATGAAAATGGTGAAATTTTGAATTTAGAAACATCCACAATTGTGTTCATACAACGGTTATCATGGAACATTCAATGTGACATGAAAGTGACATTCCATGAAAAGGGGTGTACTGGTCTTTTGATAACAATATAACCTACCATGGTGAGCGACCTCTGGCGAGTTGATTTTATCTTCAACCATCTTGATCATCATCTCCTCCGTCACTGCCTCACCCTTCAGGAGAATTTCTAAACACTTGAAACCCAAATCTGTCTGCATATCAACATTCTGCTGTAGCAGATCAGTGGCTAAAATATAGATTAAACAAACTTGTGGTACATTTGTATATCTATGAATTTATGTTTTATGTATTCTTATGATATAATAGACATCTGTATCACTATTGATCTTTACTAATGTACCAACATTATTCATAACATAAATATTTGTTTCTACATATTAACATATTATTGCCGCTAAACACCATATGACTGACTGTTCCATTTCAGGTAATTTTATTATGTTTGGTTTGCACTGATGAAGGCATCTAGCCAAAACATATGCAATAAATAATTACTGAATGTTACAGTTTGTGTGGTTTGTTTGTTAATGATATAATAAGAAAATTCACAGAAAAAAATAAATGTCAGTTAGTTTAAATATTAAGAAGAACAAACTTTCAAGTGGCAATTGCATTGAGTTTTAGGTGTCTGCCTTCAAACCAGAGTATGACATGTGTAACAACAATAATAGTAATAAAGGCTCTCATGAAATGAAGACAATAAGCCTAGCTTTCATTCAAATCTAAGCAATTAAAATAAAACTAAATCTCAATATACTATACACTTCTTCAGTTGTATGTATAACTTTTTGTACTTACGAGATATAAGTTCACATTTCCATTCCATGGCTAATCGCTTGGCTAAAGTTGTCTTTCCTGCTCCAGGTTTGCCAATCACAACAAAGCATGTTGGTTTAGAATGTAAAAACCTCAGCTCAGTCTAAACAACAACAAAAAATACAGATTGAAAATTCATTCAAAAATGATACAAATTGAAGATTTAATAATAACAAATATTTTTGCACAATTGAATTCAGTAAAGACAGTTATTCATTTACGAAAACTTTTTCTTTCTCTTATACTTTACTAGATTAATATGCACAAAAGCATTATGCATGAAATTAAATACTGAAACTCGATGTCTAATACATAAAAAAGTCAGTAATATGTATTTAGAAAATAATATCATTACATTTTTGTTAGCCATTAGAACCTACCGAAAATTCAACATGTGTAATTACATAATCATGTTTTGTTTCTTTTTCAAAATAATACATCTAAAAAGTAATAAAATCTTAACATTTTAAAACATAATTTTATGTAAATATAACTACCTCATCTTCATTATAAGGATCATAATCAATTTTCTTCAGTAAGGCCTCCATGTCTTTAGATTGTTGTGAGGGGTCTGTTACACTAATTGCCTCCATGCTAGGCGCACCTTCTACATTACCTGGGATCATATCTTGGCTCTGGTCTAAAGGTGCTGTTACCTCTGAACTTTGTACTACCTGACCAGGGTCAGCATCCCCTGTTTGACCAACTTGGTCCTGCAAGAAAATGGGGCGTTATTTTCTATAATTCAAAATAATGTTCCATCAGTATCATTTCCTCATTGATGGGAAACATAAAACAAGAAGATTTCCATTTAATTTAACTGTATACAATCACTTCAGATTTAATTCAATGTAAAAAATAAGAGAACTAATGAACAGATTTATTTATCAATTGCTTATTTTTCTTATGTCTATGTCCCTGCAAGGGTTTTGACATTAGTGGAAGATAAAGAGATAGTAAGTCAAAAAAGAAACGCTAAATTTAGAGAATATCTGTACTTAATGAGCAATTTACAATATCTGTAAGGTAATATAAATTGAGAGACAGTATAAGTAAATGGAAAGAGGAAATCTCTATTTAGGTAGCTTTTGATATTTATTTAAAACACCATAGCCAACAACCATGCTTTTGTGTTAAACTTGTCTTGAAGTGGTTGAGTCTCTAAAATGCATTAACTCACTGATTATTCACGAATTCAAAATCCTAACTAAATGCTGTTTTCCATTACTTTCTGTACATAGCTCTGAGAAATTCAACTAATGGAGTGTAATAACAAACTCAATGTTTTTGGTCTTTTTTAAACTAAATTGAAATAAAACAGTTATTACTTTGTAAGAAAATAATTAGATATCATTGTATGAATAATTCCATACAAAAAATAAAGTAAATACACAAGTTTACGCAGAAAATATCTCTTGTTTATTATGGAATATGCCACTATGATAATGTTTTAATTTTTTGATTTTCATTATAAACAATTAATCTTTTTGAAAAATTTGCAATAGATATTAAAGGAACATTGATAATTTTCAAACACATCACGATTTTTCACTTTAAACTGCAAAATAATGATAGAATTTTTTAATAGGAATATCATGTACTACTGTTATGTACTTCATTTGGTGTAATTCTCAAGAGCTAAATCCATAACGTACCGGAAAACGGTGTTAAACTAGGTTTCCGAAAAGGTTAATATAGGTATAGGCGATATTTCCAACAGCCTTAACAATTAACAACACGGTCGAGTGTCTGTTGACTTATCCAGAAGTCTGGAGTTCAAACACCTAGTCAATATATCTACATCTACATCATACTGCTTCAAATCGTAATCGATTACACTAAGCATTATATATCCGGGAACAACCAATATTTAATCAAGTAAGCTGTTTCGCACATTTTTACACCATGGTATGACATCAATATAGTCTTTATTATTATAGATCCTTTCAATTAGACTACCTCTTTCATAATATTCAACGGATCTAGAGCAATTTTGCATTGTTTTGTTGTTGTTTTAGAAAACTAACCAATTGTTACAGTAAGAATATAATACACATGAAAATTAAGAAATTTAATGACCATTTAAACTAGATATGTCCTAAAAACACAATTCTTTTTCACCCCTGTAACATGATGGAAATTCACTGTATCCCACTGTAACCTTGTGTAACCCTTGTATCCCTATATCCCTTGTCATGTGGGGGTGAAAAATAATTGTGATTTTGTGCCATATATAATTTAAACACATTAAACTGTTCAATACCTAGTTTTTCAGCTTCAACTTCAAGATTGCAAAGCTAAAGTTTAGCTTAGAAACGGTATGAAATGAGCAAATGAATAATCTAAATTCCACCATAACATATAGAAGAAAAAATATTCAATTAAATTTACACAATGGCATGGCGATATAAGTTATATATATGAAACAATAAATAAAAAATAAAAAATGCACTCACAGTTTGGCCTGTGTCAGCCATATTTGTTTGGTAGCTAAGGTAATTCGTAACTTACGTATAATTCCGATATGATCCGAAGATTCAATAAACATGTACCATACTGTTGCTAAACTATTACTTCAATACCGTGGTTGAAAATGTCTAAATGAAAATACCCTCAAATAAATTATTTTTTCACATAAACCGCGGCGCAGGAGTGTAATAAAGCCATTCAATAAAAACGATTTAAACACTAGTGTAATAACACTTTGACGTGACGTCATTTGCGCTATATAGAAACATAGCGTTAAAGTGCTCTAATGTTAGCGTTACACTATGGGCGCGTCATTGAAAAATTACTCATTTTAACAGTTTACTATTTTATATATGTGATAAAAAGAATATTATTTCGTGTAGATTCAATACTTAATTTATTGAACTCGTGGAATAAAACAATATTATGCTCGCCAGAGGCTCGCATAATATAATTTTATTCAACTCGTTCAATAAATTTAGTATTAAGCTACACTCATTCAATATCCTCTATATATTAATCGATAATAGATATTTTTTATGATCATATGGAATGAGTTTATTATTTTATTTGTGTCTTTTAAATCCTTATCTTTCAAGTTAATATGAAATGCTATTTATTCTATTTATATATCCTATCGGATTATTCTATTTTAAATCTATAATGTGATATTTAAATTATGTGTTTTATTTTTCCGGTCAAAAGCTATTCATAGCTTATGATAAACAGCTGTATATATACAGCCCGACAATAAATAAATATTGACTTGACTTTATCCCGTTAATATTATTGTTTTAGCTCATTAGATTTATGGTTACCTTAATATAGTAAAGCTGTGCAACAGTTTAAAGATGAGAACTAAATGCATATATTGTATGACTTTGTATGGTTGTTTAACATGATTGTTCATGAATTTCGCAGACATCAGTACCTCCATAAAAACAGAACTTAATTGCTTTATTTACAGCAACCACCTTCTGCAACTGCCTCAACTTGAAAAAGATAACTTATATTTGGGAATTAAAAGCTTTTTTTAAGTTATTACACAGAAACCATGAAAAATAATTGACCGGGCATTGTTTAAAAGTATGCACCTTTATTTAGTGCATGTACTGCATGTATAGCTTACATCACTGAAGTATAATTGGGGTGTAGGGATAATCAATCAAACAAACAAACAAACAAAAAATCATGAACAAAAAATCATGAACAAACAAAATAACGACAGTATATTTGAAATTAAATAGTGCAAAATCCACGAGACCCGACTCACAAGAACTGTATTGTAATCTAGATTAGTGATTCCAAAATAACGATGATTAGGACGATAATCATCAGAAATAGATCTCAGACATCATGTGTCTTATCAATTGTCCCTCACTGTTGATTAAAAAAATCCTGTGGGATAAGTAGTACTAGTCAGTCACTTGTTGAGAAACTGATAAACATACTGGTTATCTCAGTGGACCGACTTCTGAGAAATGACCAAAACTAAGGTTAATTTTAAAAAAATCAACTGAGAAATCACGAATATTATCACAATAAGCAGAAACAGCAACGTCCAACAATGTGAACACTAGCATCAACAGTAACGGCAACAGAATCAGAATCCTCAGCTTTGCTCTTGTCATTATTTTCAGAATAATTATAATGATGATAATCATCGTCACCACAACAGCCACATCCATCATATCATTATTTAGAGGTTAATAATTGGTTGACGGTCGCCATTATGCGATAATGGCCCGAAGATGTGCATAATGGCCTGAGGGTCGGAGGCCCGAAGGACATTATGAACTCGAGGGCCATTATCGCATAATGGCGAGCAGCAACCAATTATTAACGTCTTTAATACCTATGTCCGAAATACAGCGTTTAGACATCGTCGCTTATCTTGATTGTCGCATTTTCTAAGAACGGACAGTTGTATACAAATATCTGTCATCATTTGTATACAGTTTAACATTCCGATTAACATAGGAAACAAAACAACAGAAAATAAATATGAAAAAATGTTGTTTTATTGGTGTTTTTTATCGATTAATACAGTACTCTTAACATTTTTGTGAGAATAACATTTATATCTAGTGTCAGTTTTTCATGAACGGTTTCAAAAACGGTTTCTTAGACTGATGTTTAGGTCTAAACGCCACCAATCCGATCTTTCGAGAGTACCGTCCATCTGAAATCATTTGGTCATTATTTGTCTTGAGTTTATAAATCTTCGATCAATGTTAAGCTGTGCTGATTGCGATTAACATTATGTCATTTTTAAAAGCTTTAAAAATATTTTGTGTGAAAGTGACTACAGTGCAGTTCATTCAACGTCAGCAGCCATCTTGAACGTCACTGAGAGTTGATTACGTCATTTTGCACGTGCGCTCATTCACTCGCCCATTATGGAAAAATAATGCCGAGTAGCAAGGCGGCCAAAATTGCAAAATGACCTAGATCTTGCCATAATGGCCCTGAAATACCCTAGATTTTGTTACTATATATAGTATCATAGGTATTAAAAATTGTTATATATCACAGTGTTATGTACAAATGTACCACTATCGCCACGTACAACTATCACCACCACATTGATAAAAATGGTAATGATGATCATCATCATCATAAAAGTCGTTGTCGTCAACAACATCATCACGAAAATTATTGCTTTCATTGTCATCGTCGTCACCATCGTCAACTCTGTTATCATTTTTACTCTCTGTTCTATCTATATGACAAATTGTGTTAAATACAGACTAAACTTGATACGAACGGGAGGTCACAGGTACCCAAATTGTTGTTATTTAATGTCAAAACGTCTACACGAATCTGGAGGAAAAACAAACGCTGTCAGCATATACTTTTTCAATTTTATTTTGGATACGTGCATGTATGTGTCACAGGGTAGAATAATAATCAGGTAGATTCGTCGAATTTAATGAAATTTATATGAAGAAAAAGCCTAAAAACACAATTATATTACAAGTTAATAAAAAAAATACATAAAATACAACATTTCGACAATTGAGCGATGCAAATAAGAATTATTTCAAGTAAAAGAATGAAATGAAAAAAAAATACCGCAGCGTCTCAATTAAGAATGGAAATCACTTTATGATAATGTACTTCCTATAAAAAAAATATATTGATTAAACAAATAAATTTCATATATTAAGTAGAATCATTTGGATATCTATACTCGTGAGAGAATAAAGACATAGTACGTGATATTGATAGAGAAAGATCGCGTGAATTTAGAAGAAAGGAAATGTTAAAACCAATGTAAAACTTTCTCTTAAATCCCTTTCATACAACGTACGATTGGACATACAAAAGAAAAAGCAGTTCACAAAATTGCAAGAGATTCGAACATAGTTGAATTGTCTCGGACGTATCCGTGAGTTTCCGCTAATAAAAGTATGTACAACACAATAGCATACGATATCAGACGCCACGGAAACAAAGGATAATCGACGCATGCGCGGGCATTAAGCATAATTTTCTCGTGTCCAATGACAAACAGTGCACGGCAAAATGAACACTTAAGGTAACAAATAAATCGACACGTGACATATAGATCTCTCATTATGTGATGACTCAAATTTCATTAATATGTACATGTATATAAGCATGGTTATTTGATTTTTATTAACAAAACATAATGTTGCTGATTTTTCACCAAAAAGCCTTTCATTACAAATACCTGGAACATACGATACATATATATATATTATAGTACATCCCAGCAAATACTTTGACTTTTACTTAATGCTGAACGATATTTAAGTTTAGATTTAGCATATAAGTATAGAAGAGTTATTTCCAATTTTCGATGTTCATGTCATAAACTTATGGTAGGAAAAGGTAGACATATTTGAATAGATAGAGATTAAGATATTGCTTAGAAATATTTATGTTATTTGAGGATGAATATAATTTTTCTCCGAATGTTCACTATATAATAATATCAGAGCTGTCTATTCCAAAGATTCATGGTTACATCACTATTCCAATCATTTATTTTATTCCCTCATGTCATCAACAATAACAGATAATTACTGTAAAGTAATAATTAACAATCGCTAAATTATATTTATTTGTCATGCAATGGATATAAGAATACTGTATAATCATTTAATTATTCAATCCATTACATTTAGCTACAAATGTATCTGCAATTTATCACTCTATTGGTTGATTATAATTATTGTTAAATTACCGGTTAATTCATTCCAGACAAAAGTTCATTTCCATTTTCAATGGGACAGACTATAGAAATAAATTGAAACTGAACCGACTCTTATTACGAAAGAAAGTTTTAGTGGCGTTCAACTTATATAAAATTGACAACATCCGGCAGGGAAGGAGTTCCCAATCATTGATATTTTTGGAATATATTTGTATATAAGCATTTTAGGACAGAAATAAGACTTGACAATGGATAAGTTAAAGAAAGCACTCAGTGGGGATGATGATGAAGAGCAAGGCATTGTGACACAGGTAAAATTTGGCGTTATTAATATGAAGTGGCTATATTTTCGGATAAAACTTTTACGTATAACGGGGAAATTTTTTATTGAACGGTTTTATTAATGTCATGTTAGATTCTATTCATTCTATTTTTTAACTTTCGTGAAATTTAATATTCAAATTTGATATCTTGTTTAAATCATTTTATTTGTTTAAATTTCAACCATGTCAAGATTGGAATTTAATTTATTGTTTGTGATTTTTTCCTGTCACTATGTTCTTTTAAACATGCATCATTGTCACATGACATGAGGTCATTCTTAAAAAAATAGTTTTGAGAATGATAATTGTGGAGAAACATTCTCAATTCAATCGCTTTTGTTATTTCTTTTGCTATTTGTTTATAGAATGTCTTGCTCATTTGCTGTATTGGGGATCTACTGGAATAGATCTCAAATAGCCTTAGTCTCACTCTGTGACAATAATTTGCCACTCTGATGCCAAAGTTATCAGTGTTTATATATTGTAGCTTTGGAACAGTATTCAAAAGGTGCAGCATTTGAGTTCTTGTCAGGCTCAAGACAGTACAAGGTGTTGTGTCTTATGATACTTGAATGTACATGTACATATGTATATAGATGTAGCTCCTGGGTCAATATACACATTGTTCTATGTAACCATAGGACATTTATATTTTATACAGTAATATACTATATACGGAATGAGCCTGCGACATATCCTCCAGGGTCTAGTCCAGGATATAGCCATTTGGTCATAAACAGACCATCTGTAATTTAAGCTACAAGTTACAACATATCCATGAATTTTAAGATTTTTTTCATTTGTTCACAATTTTAAAGTATGAAAGTTTTGGAAGTTTCATAACTGCAGGTTAATATGAATAAATTTACAGATTAAAAGAATTTGTTATATATCATGCAAATGACTAGCTAAAGAAACTTCAACGAACAGGTTTTATAGTACTGCTAGAACTGTTCGCTGAAGCCAATCCCGTATCGAAAGTCAACCAGAACCGTGACATATTTATGTCATGCTGTAATTCAATAATTTGCGTGATCTGGACAAAAGCTATTTTAATTAACACAGGTAGCTAGATATATTTGGGACACTTCAGTCTATATTTTTGAACACAGAACGCTAAATTGATGAAATAATGCCTCAAAGTTTATCAGTGGGTTCACATTTCATAAAATTCGCCACCATTGCTGCCCTAATTATCACGTGACTAGCGAGAATTTAGGTTCGGATACCTTTGCATGGCATTTGGTGACACGTGACCAAAATGCTATTTTTAATTGAAAACATGGCTTTTGCAATTATGAATAACGGTGTATTTATTCAATAACAGACATTGTACCAAAAACATGTTGGATTTATATTGTTTTGAGTGATGATTCATGAATTATTTGTTTGTTTTTATTTAAAATTGTACACTTACTAAAAATAGTGTAGGGTCCGTTACTAAAAATAGATGCTAGAATTCCCAAAACTTGAAGTCCGCGAGATTTCATTTGAAAGCAGACTCCATATTGGTAAACATTCTCTACATATTTCCCTAACAAAATAGTTGGGTATACAATGTCATTGAAGTTTTATTTAAAAAGAAAACATGAATTGATTCAAAATTGATTTGTTTATTAAATGGTATTTTTGTTTGACCCAAATTTGATTAATAAGGGTGATTTTAATAGGTTTTAAGTAGGGCACATGAACTGCAAAAATTCTGGTAGACTTTGCAAATAGGCTTGACCCATAACTTTACTGTCGCACAACGTCAAAATAAAAGCGACATATAAAGTTATGGAAGCCAGAACTAGCAAATGACTGGTATTAAAAGTTATAGGATATTTTAATGGGAAAAAAAAAAACATTTCAGCTTGTCCTTTTTCAAAAGTAGGCCTAATTTCAAGCTATATTACTACAATCTGGTTACATGCTGTTCTGTTGCTGTCCAGAAAATTTAACATTGTCCATTATTTTTTATATTTTCTAATGGATTGTCTTCATACTTGGACACAACAACCATTTAAATAAGACCTTCAAGTTGACCAGACTGAATTTGACCTTGACTCAAATGACCTTGACATTCAAAGTCAAATGTTTGAATTTCACTAGGTTTTTGCTATAATTGGCTATAACTTGTTATTAAGAATGGATTGGCGTTATACTTAAAAATAACAACCCTTAGGCTGTCCAAATTGACTATGACCTTCATTCATCAATGACCTTGACCTTCAAGGTCAAATGAAAGAATTTTTGTTGATTTTGCTATAATTTGCTAAAACTTTGTTATATGCATGGATTGTCTTCATACTTTAATACAACTACATGTTCCTTAAGGACACAGTCTGAAGAAAGATCAAACATAATTTGACCATGACTTATAAATGATCTTGACCTTTATGGCCAAATTATTGTAATTTCACAAGTTTTTTTGCTATAATTGGGGTTATAACTTTGTATGTAATGAATGGATTGTTTTCATACTAGGACACAGCAATCCTTTGGACAGTACATTTAAAAGGATTTAACTTAACATGTCTTTGATCTCAATTTGACCATGCACTTAAGGTCTGATTAGTGAAATTTGCTACCATTAGCCATAACTTTGTTATTTATTAGTGGAATTGATTTAAACTTGGACTAAAGAACAATTACAATAAAACTGACATGCTAAGTAAATCAGATATGACCTTGATTATAAATGCCCTGGACCATGATCAAGGTCAAATACATGTACTAACTTGATTTATACTTTGGAAAAAAGAAGACAATATGACAAAACTAAAAAGTTGAATTATTTTGATATGACCTTGACTTTTAATTGACCTTGACCATCATGGTCAAATCATTGGTATTTGCTTGAATTGTCATAATAAACTTTGTTACTTATTTACAGTACAGCTTTGATTTTTACATGAACAAAAGAACACATAAGACAAAATGGACATTCTTGGACAAAAAGAACACTTTTAACAAAAATGACATGGTGATTAATTTAATGTGACCTTGAACTTTGAATGATCTTGACTGTCATTGTCAGATATGAAATTTGAGTTATATTTTGTACAAGAAAATAATGTTTTCTAGGAGTATTCTTTACTAAAATATTCTTCCTCTGATGTGTTTGACTTAAGAAATAAGAAAGATTTGAGCATGGCCCCCACTTAACGGTGGCTCATGTTAATTTTAGTGACCATTTTTAGATTTCATAACCTCAGCATGACTCTTGCAATAATATGTCTGTTTTAATGATCTTGATGCAAAATTTATAATGTAGCCCATTATTCAAAAATTGTAAAAGTTATCAACATGAAACTTGAAATTCAAGTTGCAGTTGTTCGACAAAGAGCATAATTTTGACAGCAATATTTATGGAGTTATGTTCCTTTCTAACTTAAATATTTAACAAACAAGCTTAACAACACATGCAGGGCTTTTGTTTTCCTTAGGGTACAATCATGTACGTCATTTATGTGTGTGCTAACAAGTTTCGTGTTCAGGATATCAATCTAAATTGGGACTTTAATGTATTTATTTATAATGTTGAATTTAGTAAAATTTATTCAACATTTCTTGGTAGATTACTTGCTTTAGATATCATGTAAGGTAAATTAGATAATGGTATCTTTTTTCTTCACAATGAATGTTTTAATATTATAATTATCTATTTCAAATACAAAGAGGTCAGAATCTTTTGGTATTAATCAGGTCTTTAAATAGATGATATCATGATACTGATTTTGATGGATAGGTCTACATGACTTCTAAGCAGAATCATCATTCTCAATACATTACTTAGCTAAAGATACTTCATCGAACAGGTTTTATAGTACTGCTAGACCTTTACTGTCGCAACGTCAAAATAAAAGCGACATATAAAGTTATGGAAGCCAGAACTATACATTACTATATTTTATATGAATTTCTACACCATTTTTTTGTATTTTCAGATTAATGAGGCTTCTACATTAAGTTGGGAAACAAGAATTAAGGGATTTGCTATCTGCTTCATACTTGGTATTTCCTTGTCAATATTGGTAAGTTCACATGAATTTTTTAAGCACTTTTATATTTTCAAAAATAAATTTGATTGTTTCCATTTTGACTTGAATATATGAAAAATGTTGGGACTCTCAACATGTTGGTCATACTTTGAATGGGAAATTTTTAATGACATACTTAAATTGAAGAATCTAAGTTAACAATCAGAATTAATCTTATTGTCTCAACATTGCTGTTTTAAATAATGAGACCCAGTTCATGATAAGTACATTATTCTATAGATATAAATGCATTATATTTTGGATCAACAAATTAATGTTGAATGGTTGCCTATACTGTAATAAAATTACACTATATGAAGAAATCAAAGCAATAATGTGATAGGAGTAATATAGTTAATTTATTTTACCTTAATTTTATGTTGCAAGAAAGCTGTGTAATTATATTATTTTAACTTCTCTTTTCTGTACACCAATTACAGGGTTCTTGCCTACTATGGGTGCCAAACAATGGGCTGATACTATTTGCCTGCTTCTACACAGTTGGAAACATCATGTCATTAGCAAGGTAAGATTATTAAGATGTTGTGGCGGATTTGCTGAGTGGATAATGCATCAGACTAGTAATCTAATGATCACTAGCAGCATGGGTTCAAACCCGGTCAGGGGCAAGTCATTGTTTCCTTGAGCAAGAAACTTTACAATCATTGCTCAGTACTGGTTGGTTCCAGGAATGGATTTGAAAGTGTGTCTATAAACTGATTGCTTCCTACACAATCAAACTAAAATAAATTCTATATAAATCAAGATGCTGTTAAAACACATCATGGCTTGAAAAATAGCAAAAAAAGTTGAAAACTATGTGTTATAGAAATGCCTCTGTCATATGTTTATCTATAAACTTTGCTTGATGTTGAATGTAATTCTAGATTCTTTCCAAAATCTGTTTTAGTGTAGCTTGTGATTTTTTTTGTCATATTTAGCTTTCATTTTGGTTCAAGCACCTGCCAACTAACTTATTTTATTTTATTATTACTAGTAACTTGGTCCTAGCACATGTAACATTATTTTTTCAGCACATGTTTCCTGATGGGTCCAGTAAAACAGTTGAAAAAGATGTTCGCACAGACTAGAATATTTGCAACTATTCTTGTAGTTGTATGTAATACTTTCTCTTTGTTTTAATGTAATTCTTTGATATATGATTAACTTAATTTATTTAGTGTGCATATGATTTCAGTTGTATTTAGAATTTGAAATATTTTTATAAATGTATTTCATTAAGTATTCTTTTTGACCTTTCAATAAGTTTTAAGATTGTTATATATATGTATATTAGTTTTTATATGCACAAAAAACTTACACATTTATAGAGACGGTTTGCAAATAAGAGTATAAAATTTTAGATGAGAATGATTTAGAGTAATAATTGAGAATGTAATAAAGCTTCTCAAAGAATGCTTTTATATACAAATTCAAAACAAGAAGGCATGGCAGAAACAATAGTGTGTTGAATTTAAGATTATATAGAGGATATTTGTTTAGTTCAGTGTAAGATCGGAATATATTTCACCGAGTGAGCACCAAAAGGTATATTTCACGAGTGGCGCAGCCACGAGTGAAATATGAACTTTTGGTGTTCACAAGGTGAAATATATTTCAATCTTACACTAAACTAAACAAATTTTCTTTTTATTATATGCAAAGAAACGTTTTAAAAAGACATTTAACCTAATATTGAATGAAAAGCGCGCCAAATAATAATACAACGTGATGTCATTTACGACGTCACGTCATTAAGTTGGTACCCAGTACTGTGCACGCTGGTATTTCACTGAAACAACGTAAGGGGCTTAAATTCAAAACTGAAATTATCAAAGTGGTAATTTCTGTTTCAAACAGTGAAATTACCAGTTTTATATCACTGATATATTTCTATAAATCACCGAAAAGCATGTAATAAATAGGCATTTGATTTACTTAAGCATCATGCGTGTAGATTAATAAATGTTATATTTAATGAAAACAATTGTTGTCAGCTTTAATTTCTTGAATCAAATGTTACCCCCAAATTGGGTTTGTATTCAAAAGGCCCCTTTTCTTTGTTAAACCCTTCCCAAATGGCAAAAGTTTTTCCTTTTGTTATGGTATGAGACTTTTGGGTTTTATCCCCTTTTTAAAAGGTTGTCCCGATTCACAAAAATTATAAAAGTCTGTCCGGGCCCTTAAACGTTTTGTTTTTAAATAAACAAATTTTTATTTTTAAAAGTAAAAAACCCAAAGTATACATTTTAAATTTTAAATTTTTTTTCCCGGGGTTTACGATTTTAAAGGCAGCGGGGGTTAAAAAATTAAAAATTTTATATTCCCAATTTCCCAAAATTTTTACTTTCTTTGGAAATTTAAATTTTAGAAAATTTTAAAATTTTATAAAGATTAAAAATTTACTTGTTGTTTTCCCAATAGGGCAAAAAAGTGGGTTTTAAATGTCTGAAGGAATGACACATAATATATGTTTTTTTGTTTTGGTTGTTATATATGTTGTGGTTGTTTAATGTTTTATATTTATTTTTTTAGGTCATGTTTGTTTTAACATTAGTTTGCGCTATAGCGGTAAGTATATTTTGTTTGTTTTGTATTTTAATTAGCATTATTTTCAATTGTTTCATTATGAGTTACTTGATTATTCCATACATCTATTTAATAATGTATTTTATCAATTTAAGTTAAGATTTGAAAGTTTAGAACTTAACATAGTTGAGGAATGTAGTGTAACTACATTTCAATATGCAGACAACTTAATTGAAATAAGTTGTGAATATCACATGTTCTGCAAGGAAATTAAGATAAATTAATACCTTTGGTTTCCACTTCTGATTTTAAATTGAATTGAGTTCAAATACTGACAGAAAATGATATTATAGATAGGTGAGTTACTTCATGAGAGAATGCTGTTCAGCTTCCTTATATAAAGTTGTTAATTTTGCTTTTGTGCCTGATAAAAGGCACATTATGCCTCGGAAGCAAATAAACTTGTCCTTTAAAAGGGAAGACATGAGTTTTATAATATTTAAATAATGGTTAAAGCACATGTTAGATACTTTTCCCTGAAAAATATAGGTCTTAATGTGAAATTATTTTTCATTTAAGTCGCAAAATGTAAACAAAGTAGTATTTTGATTTCCATGCAAATTTCTAAATCATTACAACTGTACTAATTGCCAAAAAAGAAACAAAAGCAAAATGTGGTTCAGGTAATTTGGCTAGTGAGTAACGTTTTGGAAAAAGTAAAGGTCGCTGAAAATAAGAAGTATTTGAGAAATGAAAATTTAAAAAAAAATACTGGGCACAGCCACAAGGCACTTCCAAAAACAGAGAGGTTTTGGTTAATGAACTTATATCTTGTATCTGAAATGAAAGTTTGCGGCATTTAGAATGGACCTTTCCCGTTTTTCATAGCAGAACATTTAGCCACACCTTTTCCATTCTTTATACGAGGTCAACTGCTCACAAACAGTATCACAAACATAACCATGTGTTCTTTTGTGCAAACCAGGTCAAGCAGTGACTTATGTATTATCTCAGTGTAGCAATTGGATAACAAGTTAGCCAATTTACATTAAACTTTAAACACTGGAAAGGTCCATTACAAACATTGTTACAGTAGTACATGTACATCTTTGCAAGGTCTGTTGACTAACATTTGAATGTTGTAAATACATGGAATGGTAAAACTGTATTCAGGAGGCTCTAAGATCTTCATCATCTTTAGAACTTGATGCCAGTTGTAACTCAAATTTAAAGCAGCATGCCTCCAAATTCATGCTAATTTTCATGAAAATTTTGTTATTGTTTTAAAATGTGAAGTATTGTAAAGTTAATAAAAAAATTAATTTTCACATAACAAACACTGCTTACAACTCATTTTAATTACCAGAAAGAGATCAAAATATGCAAAAATAGCCCTACTGAATTAGTAACGCAATAGAATATAGTGAAAAATACTAAAAATAGGTCATAAGTCGCAAAATACATGGAAATTATTACTTTTATCTTGAATCTTTTTTCTTTCATTAAATCTTTTTTCTCAAATTTGATTTTCTTGTGATACTGGTTCATCTGGAGGCATGCAGCTTTAATAACAACACCTTTTCGCTATGCCCTTGATTTATTGTATGGATTGGCTTAATCTGACAAGGTAGTAATAAGCGTTGTATTTATTTTCAGCTGAAAAATCCAATACTTACCCTCATGTGCTGTATTGTTCAGTTCCTGGCTTTGACCTGGTACTCTCTCTCATACATACCTTTTGCCAGGTAAGTCATATTGTACTCAGTTTATAACTTCCACTATATATTTATTTATTATGCCCCCATTTCGAAGAAAAGGAGGTATATTGCTTTGCACTTGTCGGTCCGTCGGTCCGTAGACCAAATGGTTTCCGAGTGATAACTAAAGAACCCTTAGGCCTAGGAACTTCAAACTTGGTATGGTGATTGGTCATGACAAGTAGATGACCCCTATTGATTTTGGGGTCAAGGGGTCAAAGGTCAAGGTCACATTGACCTTGTAAGCAAAAACGGTTTCCGATCAATAACTAAAGAACCTTAAGGCCTAGGAACTTAAAACTTGGTATGGTGATTGGTCATTATCAGTAGATGACCCCTATTGATTTTGGGGTCAAGGGGTCAAAGGTCAAGGTCACATTGACCTTGTAAGGAAAAACGGTTTCCGATCAATAACTAAAGAACCTTAAGGCCTAGGAACTTCAAACTTGGTATGGTGATTGGTCATGATTAGTAGATGACCCCTATTGATTTTGGGGTCAAGGGGTCAAAGGTCAAGGTCACATTGACCTTGTAAGCAAAAACGGTTTCCGATCAATAACTAAAGAACCTTTAGGCCTAGGAACTTCAAACTTGGTATGGTGATTGGTCATGATCAGTAGATGACCCTAATGATTTGGGGTCAAGGGGTCAAAGGTCAAGGTCACATTGACCTTGTAAGGAAAAACGGTTTCCGATCAATAACTAAAGAACTTTAAGGCCTAGGAACTTCAAACTTGGTATGGTGATTGGTCATGATCAGTAGATGACCCCTATTGATTTTGGGGTCAAGGGGTCAAAGGTCAAGGTCACATTGACCTTGTAAGCAAAAACGGTTTCCGATCAATAACTAAAGAAACTTTTAGGCCTAGGAACTTCAAAGTTGGTATGGTGATTGGTTATGACCAGCAGATGACCCCTATTGATTTTGGGGTTAAGGGGTCAAAGGTCAAGGTCACATTGACCTCTTGGGTAAAAACGGTTTCCGATCAATAACAAAAGAACCCTTAGGCCTAGGGACTTCAAACTTGATATGGTGATAGGTCATGATCAGTAGATGACCCCTATTGATTTTGGGGTCAAGGGGTCAAAGTTCAAGGTCACATTGACCTCTTAGGTAAAAACGGTTTCCGATCAATAACTAAAGAACCCTTAGGCCTAGGAACTTCAAACTTGGTATGGTGATTGGTCATGATCAGCAGATGACCCCTATTGATATTGGGGTTAAGGGGTCAAAGGGCAAGGTCACATTGACCTTATAGGTAAAAATGCTTTCCAATCAATAACTTAAGAACCCTTAGGCCTAGGAACTTCAAACTTGGTATGGTGATTGGTCATGACCAGCAGATGACCTTTTGATTTTGGGGTCAAAGGTCAAGGTCACATTGACCTTGTAGGTAAAAACGGTTTCCGATCAATTAACTAAAAACTCTTAGGCCTAGGAACTTCAAACTTTGTATGATGATTGTTCGTGACCAGCAGATGACCCCTATTGAGTTTTGGGTCAAGGGGTCAAAGGTCAAGGTCACATTGACCTTGTAAGTAAAAACGGTTTCTGATCAATAACTTAAGAACACTTAGGCCTAGGAACTTCAAACTTGGCATGGTGATTTGTCATGACCAGCAGATTACCCCTATTGATTTTGGGATCAAGGGGTCAAAGGTCAAGGTCACATTGACATTGTAAGTAAAAACGGTTTCTGATCAATAATTAAAGAACGCTTCGGCCTAGGAACTTCAAACTTGGTATGGTGATTGGTCATGAGCAGCAGATGACCCCTATTGATTTTAGGGTCAAAGGTCAAGGTCACATTGACCATGTATGTTAAAATGGTTTCCGATCAATAACTAAAGAACCCTTAGGCCTAGGAACTTCAAACTTGGTATAGTGATTGGTCATGACCAGCAGATGACCTATTGATTTTGGGGTCAAGTGGTCAAAGGTCAAGGTCACATTGACCTTGTAGGTAAAAACGGTTTCTGATCAATTAACTAAAAACGCTTAGGCCTAGGAACTTCAAACTTTGTATGATGATTGGTCGTGACCAGCAGATGACCCCTATTGAGTTTTGGGTCAAGGGGTCAAAGGTTAAGGTCATGACCAGTAGATACTTGATAACCCTTATTAATTGTTTGATCACTGGGTCAGAAGTCATGCATAATAACCTTATCACATGACTAATTGGCTGCTGATAGGGGGCATACATGTTTTACAAACATATCTTGTTTTTCTTAAAAGTTAAAAAAAAAAAACATAAATAAATAAAAAAAAACTAAACAACAAACCCCTCCCCAAAAACCAAACAACATTTGTAAAAGTAATACACAAGATTAGGCTAAACTTAAATGAGTTTAGCTCCACATTTTTCCTTCAAAACTTTTGAAAAAGATTTTTAGCTTGACATTTTTACTTCAAAAACTTTGAAGAAAGATTTTAAGCTTGTCACTTTGAAGATAAAAAGGTGAACCTATTGTTATGACCTTTTCATTGGCAATAGTTTCACTGATTGTTAACTTTTTGTTACAGTCCTTTTCTTAGAAACTATGACAGCTTTTTACTTTAAACTTTGTATACATGCTCACTGTTAAACTGTTACACCATTTCAAAGGGGCTGATAATCCTAAAATTGATATTTGCTTAGTTATGCCACTTTCAAGACTTGAAATTTTTTTATTAACCTTGGTTACCTTTTTACTTGGGTCTATAACTATATGTTATAGTTTCTGTTTTGTTGTGGTACAAATCAACTTTTAAGGACATTTTCATATAGACATATGGGCAGATTTAAAACTGTTCAATAGAATTTCTTTAAACTTGGCATGTTGTTAGAATATGATGACAAAAATATTTTAAGCGAAAATAAAATTGAGTCTCACCGTTCTCACTTTTAAGTAATTCTATCAACATGCAAAGCTTAAAGAAATTAATTTTGCCTATATGCCTGTATGAAAACTCCCAAAAAAGTTTTAAAATGAACTGAAAGTATCATAATACAGTATAACAGAATAATCTGTGTAATATCAACTTAAAAGCTAAAATTAATATGAGGTATAATATAACACAAAACTACAGTTTTTGTTTTCCTTTTACCACATATCAGTTGTTAACTGAAAGTGTACATTTTGCACTGTAAAATTATAAGTACAATATTTATAACAGCAACCAATACATGAAATATTTATCCAGTATGTGTATAAAATTACACACTGTTATTACAATAACTTCAGTTTTTTCTATATTTAGATACAAGTCATCTGGAATATTATGTATAAAGTCAGTTTAAGGCTGCTAGATTATGCATACATGCCATATCCCTTGCTGGGGATAAAATCTCCCAATTTTCAGCATTATCTCCTGATGTCATGCTGTGGGATGGAATTTCCCAGATTTTCAAAAATCCAACAGTCAAATAATGTATGCCTATTTTAATTATCCCCCCCCCCCATTTAAAGTAGTGGGGGCATATTTCTGTGCATTTGTCTGTCAGTCAGTCCGTCGGTCCATAGACGAATGGTTTCCGATCAAAAACTAAAGAATGCTTAGGCCAAGGAACTTTTAACTTGGTATGGGAATAGTTAATGACTAGAAGATGACCCCTATAGTTTTTTGGTGTCTTCAAGTCAAAGGACAAGGCCAAATTGACCTTGAATGTCAAAATGGTTTCCAATTAATATCTCAACAACTCATGGTACTTTGACCTTCAAACTTCAAGGGAGCATTGGCCTTGGCAAGTATATGACCACTATTGGTTTTTGGGTGAAGGGGTCAAAGGTCAAGGTCATATTGACCTTGTAGGTAAAAATGGTTTCTGATCAATAACTTGACAACCCATGAGCCCTTGGCCCTGAAACTGCATAGGTGAATTGGTCTTGGCAAGGAGATGACCCTCATTGATTTTGGCGTCAATGGTTCAAAGGTTATGGTCACATTTGACTTTGTATGTCAAAACAATGTACAATCAATAACTCTACAATCCATGGACCCTTGACCTTCAAACTTCACAAATGCATTGCTTTTGGTCAGGTAATGACCTCAATAGATTTTTGGGGTCAATGGGTCAGAGGTCAAATTCACATTGACCTTATACATTAAACTGGTTTCCGATCAATATCTCAACAACTTTACCTTCAAACTTTACAGGTGCATAATAATGTCAATTTTTGCATGAGATAGTAATTTATGATTAATTTCCTTAGTCAATTTTGCCAGTTGTATTTCTAAAGGCAGTTGATAAAATTATGCAGAATTTTTTTTTTTTAACCACAATGTTCTTGATAAATTTCCTCGTTAAATGATTAACCTTACTTAAGTTTGCCAGTTGTATCTCGATTGGCAGTTTTTATGTTTTAGTTAGATTATAATAAGAAAAAGTTAAATGATTGAAACAGTTAAAGTGACATTATGTGCACAGGTGAAAGTAAAAAAAAACTTGAAATTTTGCCATAATGTTCAATTCCATTTTTTCTATGCAAAAAATAATCAATAATCCACATGACCCACCAAAGTGTCTAGAAATATCATTCGGAATGTACCGGTGGTGTTCAAATTTTTAAAAAGATGTGGGGAAGTCTTTTTATAATTAAAGTAGTTTTTATATTTATCCTTAACATTTTCAATTATCAATTATTGGTCAATTACCATTACAAAAGTCAATGTTTTGAAATATTACTAATAAAGCTCAACTCGACAGCAAAAAACCCAAGTATAATGACACTTTAAAAGAAGTTATATTTTGTATTACAGAGATGCAGTGAAGAAATGTTTCGAGGGTTGTATCTCGTGAGAATGTCGGGTAACACAGCTTGGCAGCAGTATTTATATGGCATAAGTTTATAGCAGAAATAATGATATGTACAGAACATTACGTTCCTCATTTATAAGTTAAATATAGCATTAATATTTTGTTAATAGACTAACTCCGGAATTAAGAATATTTGGATTTTTTCCCAGCTAATCCTTAGGTACAAACAAACTTCTACAGTTACAGCTTGGAAAATGAGCGCAACAGGTTGACTAATCTATTGTGACAGGTATTGCACTGTGAAGCTATAACGGTAAAAATTTGTACCTACAGATGGGCTGGAAAAAAACCCACATTTTCTGAGTTCCGAATACATCTATTATTTAAGTTTTGATCATATTTCCAGATATTTTTCCCTTATATGTATATAAAACTACTTTGAAATAAATAGCAGAAACTATATCATATATATGTACAGAAGGTTATGTTTCTCTTATTTGAACAATTATAATTTAAATATTCTATTAAATATATTTGTTTCATCAAAATTATTTTCATATTTTTTCCCCCTCAAAATAAAGTAAAAAAAAGTTGTATACTTTTGTACATGGATGTGTTTCACCTCATTTCTTTATCTCTCATTTCTTTATCACTCCATTTAAGATTACCATATTTTATAGTGTAAATGATTTTAAATGAACTTCCTGCTACAGACCATGTCAATATCAATACAGAAAATCAAATTTTTGGTAATATGTGTATACAAATTGTGCAGAATTTTCATTATTTTATCAATATTTTCAGTCACCCAAATCATTTTTAAGATTTTAGGCTTATCTACTTGTTTCCGGTACTAAAAACAGCTATATCACTCATAATGTAATAAATTTCCTTTATTATTTTATTGCTTATATTATTATTTATATTATCATCATCATCATTATAATTATTATAAGTGACTTTTTTTGAAATCAACAACATAAACTCTGCATATTATAGAATTTTAACTATGAATTTGTGACATATTTTAATCACAAGGAACATTTAATCTTTTTTTTTTGCACTATATATACTTAAAAGGTATCAGTGTGTTTTTATTTTAATTCTTGGGTTTGTTGTTAACATAACTTGATCATTTCTTAGAAAATGACCTTTTTTCTCAAATTTTAAGAAACACTTTGAATAGAATTTTATACTAAAAGTATTTGTATTAAACATTAACTGATTTTAAAAGCATTAATACATTAATATAATATGTCAGAATTTGTTACAATGAAATAGTTCATTAAAAAAAATGGTATGATTTGATATGTTAGTTTGGACATCTCAGTTACCAATATTGTAACTATAGGTAGTGCATAGTTGTGTGTCATTATCTAAGTCACAATATAGTTTCAACATTGACACAAATATTGCCTTTTACTTGCTTTATAATGTCTGCCATATATATCTACTGTTGTAAGTGCTCTTGTATTTTATTGTTAGTGTAAAAATAACAGTCACAATATACAGTAGGAGCACACTGATATGTCTCGAAGTTGCTTACTTGTGCTTGTACCAAGTTTTAAAATGAGACAGGTTTGGTAAAGGAAAAGTGGCATAATTCATAGCAAAATTGTGTGGAATAAAGTCTAAAAACTTACAGTTATAGTGATACTCTGCTTTTTGTCATTGTGCCTTTAAAAATGTCATAAAAGAAGCAAAATGTAAACAAAGTAGTATTTTGACTTCTATACAAAATTCCAAATCATTATAAATGTATAAATTGTGGAGAAGCAACAGGTGCAAAAGATAGTTCAGGTAATTGGCCAATTAGAAACGTTTCTAAAACTTTAACACAACACCAAAAATAAAATGGGTTTTGAAAAATAAAAAAAACCTATTATTTCTTGGGCATAATGGGCCTTTAATGACACAATTGTGAAATGATTAATGAAATAAGAACATAAATATTTCATATTAGATATTACAATTTACATAGTTTATCAGTTAAATATAAGTTACAGACAATATTATCATGCTGTTTAATAAAATAAATTGGCTAATTATCTTGGTTAAATTGGCTAAATTAATCTATATAATGCCAATAAATAAGTTATTGTATCTATATAATGCCAATAAATAAGTTATTGTATCTATATAATGCCAATAAATAAGTTATTGAATCTATATAATGCCAATAAATAAGTTATTGTATCTATATAATGCCAATAAATAAGTTATTGTATCATTCAACAAGAAATAACTGTACCACGAACATGAAACATGACACAACAGTGTGCTCCTGCTGTATATTGATATAACGCTGCCAGGGAACAAATTATTTTGCTTTTATTGATTCAATAGTTCTACATGATTGTAGACACTCAGTAATATAAATGAGACATGTATAGCAAAGTATCATGATGTGTCAATTAGCAGCAAAAATTTTTTTTTAATTAAATACAGGTGTGTTTGATTGAAATAATTCTTGTTTTTATAATTATGTTATTATGATCTATGTTATGTATTGAATGGTACTATAACAAAATTGAAAATTGAAATATTCTTAATAATTTTTATTACGGTATCCAAATGTATCTGAATTGAAAAAAATTAGACTATTTTACAATACTTTTCACGAGTTAAAATCCATTTAGTAATACATGTTTTTGATATTGTTAATTTCTTGCTGTGTATTGATACTTTGTGATGTCTTTTGTTTCTGTTGTTATTTCAGTTGCTGTTTTGATTTAATTATGTAACATTGTACAATTACCGAATGTCAAGGTCATTATGCAAAAAGACAAATAGCTGTTAATAGTAAGTTTATTGGTCGGTTGGTCAATCTTGTCATCCATTCTAATTTGATTTTATGTAAAAGGTGAAACAAATGACTGTGTTACATTTAAAATAAAGGACAAATAGCTGTTTTTTACATGTTAATCAGCTGGTTGATCAGAATTTTTGGCTATCTTGATTGGTTTTCGTGGCTAAAGGTAAAAGATGACCTTGATATGTGCTCCACATAGTTGTTACATAAGAGATTTTTTTAATTTGCTTTCACAATAATGATACAAATTTTCTGAAAAGTCTTCAAATATCACGGTAACTGTCTATGTCAGAATGCTAGGGGTCATTTTTTATGATGAAAATCTCCAGTAATGATCTTTTTTCCTCTGCCATTGACAGTTGGTTACAAATTGTGCTAATTTAAGATTTGATGTGATATTATATTATAGTAGGCCATCCTAAAAGTATATATTTGTTTATTACATAGCGATTCCAAATGGTAACAGTTAATGATTAAGAAAGCATGTTCTGTTTTTTTCAGTTAGAAATCTAATAAAATATATTTATGTAAAAAAGTTTGAGAGAAAAAATATTGGGTTTATGCCAATTTTTGGTGCATTTCTTTTTGTTATTGAAAAATATATAGCTTTTTAGTGGCCTTAAAATATGAACATGAATAAAGTATGTGATAATATTGTGACTTATAATTTTCATATTCTCACAGGTGCTCTCTATTGTGTATTTTGCTTTGGCAATTTATTGTACTGAAAAAAAAATCTATTTTTATAGCATATTCCTTTGCATAGAGAAATTCTATTTTTATCCCAGTTTGTCTTCTATATAATACAATATTCTTCATAGAGCATGTCATCTTAGTTTTCTCATTATACAAATATATTGTAAAAATAAAAAAATAACAATGAAAATAGATTGTTGTTTATTAAATTATGTGCAGACTCAATCAAGGCAAGACTGCAATTTTGATGTAATTTTGCTGTTTTTAGCTCATCTGTCACAAAGTGACAGGGTGAGCTTTTGTGATCGCTTTTCGTCCGGCGTTCGTCCGTCCGTCCGTCGGTAAACTTTAAATGACATCTCCTCATAAACCACTAAGCCAATTTCATCCAAACTTCACAGGAATGTTCCTTTGGTGGTCACCTTTAAAAATTGTTCAAAGAATTTAATTCCATGCAGAACTCTGGTTGCCATGGCAACCGAAAGAAAAAACTTTAAATATCTTCTTTTAAAAATCCATAAGAGCTAGAGCTTAGATATTTGGCATGAAACATCTTCTAGTGAGTGTCTACCAAGTTTGTTCAAATAAAAGCCCTGGCGTCAAAATTGGCCCCGCCCCAGGGGTCATTGATTTTTCCTATATGCATATTGTAAAAACTTAAAAAATCTTCTTTTAAAGAACCCAAAGAGCTAGAGCTAAGATATTTAGCATGAAACATGTTCTAATGGGTGTCTACCAAGTTTGTTCAAATAAAAGCCCTGGGGTCAAAATTGGCCCCGCCCCGGGGGTCATTGATTTTCCTTATATGCATATAGTAAAAACTTAGAAAATCTTCTTTTAAAGAACTCAAAGAGCTATGGCTAAGATATTGAGCATCAAACATGTTCTAATAGGTGTCTACCAAGTTTGTTCAAATAAAAGCCCTGGGGTCAAAATTGGCCCCGCCCCAGGGGGTCATTGATTTTCCCTATATGCATATAGTAAAAACTTAAAAAATCTTCTTTTAAAGAACACAAAGAGTTAGAGCTAAGATATTTAGCATGAAACATGTTCTAATAAGTTTCTACCAAGTTTGTTCAAATAAAAGCCCTGGGGTCAAAATTGGCCCTGCCCCGGGGGGTCATTGATTTTCCCTATATGCATATAGTAAAAACTTAAAAAATCTTCTTTTAAAGAACTCAAAGAGCTATGGCTAAGATATTTAGCATCACACATGTTCTAATAGGTGTCTACCTAGTTTGTTCAAATAAAAGCACTGGGGTCAAAATTTGCACCGCCCCGGGGGTCATTGATTTTCCTTATATGTGTATAGCAAAAACTTAAAAAATCTTCTTTGAAAAAAACCCAAATAGCTAAAGTTAAGATATTAAGCATGAAACATCTTTTAGTGAGTGTATACAAAGTTTGTTCAAATAAAAGCCCTGGGGTCAAAACTGGCCCGGCCCCAGGGGTGTCATTGTTTTTAACTATATGTGTATAGTAAAAACTTTAAAAAAAATCTTCTTTTAAAAAGCCCAATGAGCTAGAGCTTAGATGTTTAGCATGAAACGTCTTCTTATGGGTGTCTACCAAGTTTGTGCAAATAAAAGCCCTTGGGTTAAAATTGGCCCTGCAATGTTGGGGGTCGGGGGGCCTATATACAGGTGAGCGACCTCAGGGCCATCATGGCCCTCTTGTTAATGCTTCCAATTTGGATCACTTTTTTCCAGATTTTGGTATACCCTTCTTATATATTAATAGCATACTATTGTTATGATAGAATTGCATTAATTTTGTGTGGTTTTTATGGAATCTGTATGGAATCTGGCTAGATTTTATACAGGGGGTTGTTCAATTCAAACTTAGTCTGATTAAAAGCTCTCAGCATAACAGTAGATGCCTCCAAATTTAAAACAAGTCTAGTCCACAAATTTAGAGGATGTGTTTATGCACAGTTGTTATGGTAACTCATTCAGATGTTGTAAAACTATGTCATTTGCTTTTTACCACTTTTCACTTTTATTGTACATTTGTATTTTGTATTGCATGTACATGTAATAAAATTTTGAAATGATTATAAAAAAAAAGGAAAATTCAAAAATAAGATAAGCTATATTTGTGCTAAAAGTTTGATATATGATTGTTTTGAAAAGGAAACATACTGCAGTTGTTAAATGTATGTGCACATACCTTGAACATACACAACTTCTAATGTTTTCTATTACACATAGATAGAAATATCTAAATACAATGTATCATAATCTTGGAAACTGGAAAGAAGCATTTTTTTTTCTGTAAATGTTATTGTTTTTGTTTGCCAAAGTTTTCTGTACAAAATTATAAAAAACATATATGTAATTTTGCCTGAAAAAGCCATTGTTCTTTGTATATACAAAGTACGGTACCTTTATTTTATTTGTTGAAGAAAGCAGGGGGAACAACTGTGTCACAATGCTGTGCTCTCCATTATTATCCATTATATTTACTTGTAAAATAAATGCACGTTCATGTAAAATCCACATATTCATTTGATTATTTTAAACACTATAACAATTATGTATGAAACTGATTTGTTACTGATCCTTAAATTCAGTTACTGGGGTTCGAATTTAAATATATATAGCAGGGGTATGTCAAAAATCTTATTTTACATTGGCAAAATTAATGTAATGCTTTATTTTATATAAAAAAAATTTGGGCCTGATGCACTGGATAATTTCTGTATTGCAACACCTGATTGGTTGAGATTAAGAACACAGATTTGAAATGGACCAATAGTAAAACTGATTTCTGGTTTTTAGTCTAAACTTAGACATTTGTGTTTGAAATATGATATTGACACTAGAATAACCTTAACCAGCAATCCTTTGGTTGACCAGCCGTTCTTAAATGACGAGGCCATATTGTCCCCTTTAAGAAAATTACGGTACTATTTTTCATATGAAATCTGGGATTATTAGTCCCAGAATAAACACTTAATATTTTAGTGATTACAGTAATCAATAAAAAAGTAGACAAAACATACAATTTGTCATGTGATAAAAAATGTACTTGTATATAGAAAATGGTATGTAAGGTCTTGTTAGTTGTGTTGATATTTCTTATTATGAATTATGTTACTGATTTTTGTTAGGTATTCTTTTAAATATGTTTCAAATCAACAGCTATATAGCTTATGGAACATGGGTGGTTCTACTCAGGTGCCCGTTTGTACCTGAAATAGTTCACAAAGGGGTACCTGAGGTCTTCCTCCACCAGTAAAGCAGGATAGTCACCATAAGACCTATACTGTGTTAGTACAATGTAAAACCCAACCAAAAAACAAAAACAGTCTAATTTGGGTTAAATTTATGCTTGGCTAGTGTGTTTTTCATTTTGAGAATTTTTTTCATTGAGTGCACACATTCTTGAAATGTCAGTCATGAAATCTTGACTTTTTTTCAAAATATTTGTTCAAGTGCCTTTTACAATATTAAAAGTTAATTGATTTTTAGCTCGACTATTCGCAGAATAATCGAGCTAATGCAGTCACCCATTTGTCGGCGTCGGCGTCCCTGTGGTTAAGTTTTTGTATGTAAGCTGGTATCTCAATAACTACTGAAGGGAATGGATTGAAACTTCACACACTTGTTCTCTGTGATTATCTAAGGTGATTGGCACAAGTCCCATAACTCTGATTTGCTTTTTTTCATAATTATGCCCCTTTTTCGACTTAGAAATTCTTGGTTAAGTTTTTGTATGTAAGCTGGTATCTCCATAACTACTTAAGGGAATGGATTGAAACTTCACACACTTGTTCTCTGTGATTATCTAAGATGATTGGCACAAGTCCCATAACTCTGGTTTGCTTTTTCTCATAATTATGCCCCTTTTCGACTTAGAAATTCTTGGTTAAGTTTTTGTATGTAAGCTGGTATCTCCATAACTACTGAAGGGAATGGATTGAAACTTCACACACTTGTTCTCTGTGATTATCTAAGATGATTGGCACAAGTCCCATAACTCTGATTTGCTTTTTTTCATAATTATGCCCCTTTTTCGACTTAGAAATTCTTGGTTAAGTTTTTGTATGTAAGCTGGTATCTCCATAACTACTGAAGGGAATGGATTGAAACTTCACACACTTGTTCTCTGTGATTATCTAAGATGATTGGCACAATTCCCATAACTCTGGTTTGCTTTTTTTCATAATTATGCCCCTTTTTCAACTTAGAAATTCTTGGTTAAGTTTTTGTATGTAAGCTGGTATCTCCATAACTACTGAAGGGAATGGATTGAAACTTCACACACTTGTTCTCTGTGATTATCTAAGGTGATTGGCACAAGTCCCATAACTCTGATTTGCTTTTTTTCATAATTACGCCCCTTTTTCGACTTAGAAACTTGGTTAAGTTTTTGTATGTAAGCTGGTATCTCCATAACTACTGAAGGGAATGGATTGAAACTTCACACACTTGTTCTCTGTGATTATCTAAGATGATTGGCACAAGTCCCATAACTCTGGTTTGCTTTTTTTCATAATTATGCCCCTTTTTCGACTTAGAAATTCTTGGTTAAGTTTTTGTATGTAAGCTGGTATCTCCATAACTACTGAAGGGAATGGATTGAAACTTCACACACTTGTTCTCTGTGATTATCTAAGATGATTGGCACAAGTCCCATAACTCTGATTTGCTTTTTTTCATAATTATGCCCCTTTTTGACTTAGAAATTCTTGGTTAAGTTTTTGTATGTAAGCTGGTATCTCCATAACTACTGAAGGGAATGGATTGAAACTTCACACACTTGTTCTCTGTGATTATCTAAGATGATTGGCACAAGTCCCATAACTCTGGTTTGCTTTTTTTCATAATTGTGCCCCTTTTTCGACTTAGAAATTCTTGGTTAAGTTTTTGTATGTAAGCTGGTATCTCCATAACTACTGAAGGGAATGGATTGAAACTTCACACACTTGTTCTATGTGATTATCTAAGATGATTGGCACAAGTCCCATAACTCTGGTTTGCTTTTTTTCATAATTATGCCCCTTTTTCGACTTAGAAATTCTTGGTTAAGTTTTTGTATGTAAGCTGGTATCTCCATAACTACTGAAGGGAATGGATTGAAACTTCACACACTTGTTCTCTGTGATTATCTAAGATAATTGGCACAAGTCCCATAACTCTGATTTGCTTTTTTACATATTTATGCCCCTTTTTCGACTCATGAATTCTTGGTTAAGTGTTTGCATGTAAGCTTGTATCTCCATAACTACTGAAGGGAATGTATTGAAACTTGAAGAGTTTGTACCTTTTCGGACAATTTTATGTATTTATATAGGTAAGCATTATTATACTCAATGAAACACCCTTGTGACAAATTTTGAATAGTCGAGCGTTACTGTCCTCAGACAGTTCTTGTTTTGTAACTAAAGGCAATTTTAGGAATGTATTATTGAAATTTTGTCCTGATTTGTGAGCAGTCTCAACAGAATAAAGTCGGAACAATTCTAAAAAAGAAATGTACTTGTATAGAATTGTTAATTGGATTGACACTTCTTTGTTGTAATAAATGAGATGTGTATTTGTATTTATAACAAATGAGAAAGTTGTTGATATGATGTATGAAGTCACATTTTTTCACAAAATGTATAAAAAATGGTGCAAAATTTTTGTAAATGTTATATATATATTGTACAGTACATGTTCTTTTTGTTGATTGGTAATGATTCTGATTCTTTGAATTGAATACAAACTGCAAAAAAAAGTTAAGAATAAATCATCAATGCCACGAGAATAGAGAGTCTGACAAACTTAAATATCATTTCGTGGAGTGAAACAGCACTAAAGGGGTTTTATATGTAAGTAACTTAAATACTAAAATGAACTGCCTGATTTTAGTATGAAGGTATAAGAAAAAAGAATCCCTAAAGAACACCAGAAAAATCAACATTGATAAATTAATGTTGAAGGCTTGGTTTCATTAAGCCTGTTCATGGACAGTAGTGATACAAGCTGCTGACCACGCCCCCTAGCAATGGCTTAAGCAGAATTCAACATTTGTGCATGCACAAAATGAAAATGGTGAAATTTAGAATTTCAAAACATCCTCAGAAGTGCTCATTTAGAGGTTATAACCCCCTTACAATAATAATGGTCATGACCAAACTAAAAGTGGTCAGAGTCCATTATACAAAAATAGTGTGATGCAGGTTAACAAATCAAAGTTTCAACTGCCTCACTCCGGTCTTAAATACTATCCTGTATAATACTATCCTGTCTAAAGCTATCCTGTCTTTATAACTATCCTTTAAAATATTGTGTATTTTGGTACAATCCATTGATACTTCAAGGGATGTCAATGTCTTAAGTTGTAAATCTAGAATTCTGTGACTTGAAGGAAGTGATGGGCAGTCTTGACTCTATTCTGGTGACATAGGTCTGTAACTGTGCTCAGTTGCATCTGAAAATGTTTTTGTCACAAATTAAAGGAAAATGTATAAAGCTGATGTATTTCTGCATCATCGTTTATTTTGCATGGCTGATTGAATGTAAATCTTTGAAAATATTTATGTAATAAAAAAAGGAAGAGAAAAAATGTCCTCTGTTATTTTGTTCCCGTACGAAAACTTCCGCCCTGACTGTAGGTGGAATCCGCCTATGTAGTAAAGCGGATTCCGCCTTAAACTGAACAGAGTTGAATATTGCTTCTTAGGCGGACCTTAAGCGGAATATGGTGCGAAATATTTAAATGAGCTAAGGTGGAATCCGCCTATCTAGACGGAATCCGCCTTAGCTCATTTAAATATTCCGCTTAAAGTCTGGCTATGTCAGCGGATTCCGCCTACCTTAGGCAAATTCCGCCTACCTTAGGCGGATTCCGCCTACCTTAGGCGGATTCCGCCTACCTTAGGCGGATTCCGCCTACCTTAAGCGGATTCCGCAGGAAAAATCCTAGGCGGAAAAATTCCCGCCTTGTAACAAATAAAAAATTTTAATTGTCATGTAATAAGGTATAATATTTTAATAAACTAATATTTAATAGAATTAATTTATTCATTTCAACTAATATTTCTAGATTTACATTAGAGATCTTAACAAACATTATTCTATTGCACAAATACAAAAAATAATAAATGTCTACCAAGCTGAGAAAATATAAAACAAAATATTTATTTAAGATAACTGTTTTTGATTTTTTCCAAATAAGTATCCATGTTGTAATATGATAAATCATGTCCTTTACAGATGCAGTCTTTCAGAATGGCTTCACTGTGGCACACAACTATCCATATCATTTAAAGCCTGTTGTACACACTGAAAAATATTTGTATAATAATTAATTATTTATGTTTTGTATGCATATGATTGGTATTATTATCATGTAATTAAAAAGATCAATATTTGAAAGCACAGGCATAGTAAAATATTATTTTTTAGGCAATAGTAAAATTTTATTTTTTGGCAATCTTGCCAGTTTAATAATTATTTATAAATTTAAAATTGTTCTTCAAGCTGCAATAGTTTTCAATTTTGTTAAATATTGCTATAAATAATGTCAACAACATGTAGATCTATATCTAGCAATGCAATTGTTTATAATTGTTATAAACAATATATTTGAATATTATTTGCATTCCTACTGGTTAAATGACTGCTACATCAGAATTGATCATGAATCTTTATTAGAACTTTTGCTTTAATTGACAACAATTTTAACTAGTGAAAGTAATACATGCATTTAAGTATTTTACAAACCTTTAAGATAAATAATATTGTAATTTAAGTAAATCTTTAATATACAAAAATTAAATCTATACAATCATTTTGTTTAAATGGAAATAATATACTACATTGAAAGTTGTATATACTTTTAAAGATTGAAAATTGTTCAAATCAATGATTATTATTTATTTCATTATTTTTATAAGTTATCTAACCTTATTGAGTAACAAAACTAACCATCAATTATTTCTGTTATCAACTCAATTTTCTTCTTCTTCGTCATCATTATAATTTGAAACTTTCTATGGTACCTGTGGGCAATGTAAGTTTTCCTGTAAATTAAAAAAAATCACTTCTGAATACATATATTTATTATAAATTGAGTACATTCAAAATGCTTTTCTGATAGTTAAAAAAGTTTCAAGTACTCAGTTAATATAAACCCATAATTTACTGAAATATCCCAAGAATGAAATGTTTATTAATGAAAAATCATGACCAGGAATGAAATTTACTGGTAAAAAGGGCAGATTTGAAAATTCCCACTCAATAACACTAAGTGAAAAAGATTTACACCAGCACATATGTAAAATTTATGAAGAAAAACTAAAATTAAAAAGTGTAAATCATTTACAAGGTAAATTTGAAAAGACTGTTGTATGAAAATAGTGTAAATAACTTACCATTATTCCATTGAACATTAGTAAATTTCCATTTCCATCTGAATGAAGAACTCATTTAATGTCCCATTATAATTTTATTAAAGTTCACATTTATTATTAGTTGTTTTATCTAAATGGCACTTAAGTCACATGTTTAACTCTACTCCTAATGTTATAAGCACTGAGGTCCAAATGAACTTCCTGAGTAATATTTGAATTTTCTGAGATCAGATCCTGATACCAGACTTGTTCAGGATATTAGAGTACATGTTGTAAACCCCACTTATCTCACACTTTCCTTTATATTAGATAGGTGAGTTTGACACTGGTCATTATGTAAACAGCAGGGAGAAAGTAATTAGTTGCACTTGACCAACCACTCACTCTGACCAGTTACAAATGTTTATGGCATGTACAGTATGTTACCAACAGTCTACAATTAATACTCATGGGAGACCATCTTATGCTATCAATAACTTCTGCACAAGATAGTTAATATTTAATTAAAAGAAGGGATATACTGAATGTGCAAATGAATTAAAAATTAGACATAAATAAAACAAATTAACAAGTGATTGAAAGAAAAAAAAAATTAGTCATTAGACAATATATAATGTTGACATTATATTTGATTGTAATTGTTCACAGTTGTTAAGAAATGTGAATTTTGTTAACTTTCATAATAATTAATTTAAAATACTGACTTTATCTTAGTTTAATTGTGTTGAAAACTTTTATTAAAAATTTGTATGATTTTCTCTTTCATTTTGATTTTGGGTGATTTTCTTTTTTTTACTGTCACATCATGCAGATGCCACATTGTGGTGTTATCTAATTTTTGACATGGCATCAATTAATAATTTTGAGAAAGTAACAAGATTTTAATAACAGTAATTAAAAAATTTGATAAAGTTATATGAATCTTAAAAACATAGAATGTATTAGACAGGCAGATAAAAACTAATTGAAAGAAATGTTATCATTTGAATCCCATTATATTATATAAATGCTAATTAGTTTGAGTGAAATGATTTTTATAAACATTTTTAAGTTTTTGTACTTAGAAAATTTTCACTACTTTTTATTTCCCAGACTGCTTTAATCACAGAATTTTCTAAGTCCAAATTTTCAAAGAAGCTTGAGCAAGCTAATGTGACAAAAATTGTTCTTGTAAGCTTAGTGCGCAAGTTAAAGAATTCTGTATGAAATTTAACTGGCAAGCTTACAGCAAGCATAAATAGCCAATGTAAGCTTGCATCAAGCTTACCGCAAGCTTTCCTTTTGGTTTGGGGAGGGTGGTCACAATCGACACAAAATGGTGACAAATAAGACAAGTTTCAGTGATAAGAATTAAATACTGTTATTCAACTGACACACATTTTAATACTCAAAAGCTAATACTAACAGTTACTGTAAAAGATCAGGCCTACCATTAAACAATAATGGAAATACTTATGTAAAAATAATGATTAAATCATTAGAATATGTAAATATACATATTAAATTATGTTATTTTTGTTTGACAGTGTGTACTAATATTCAAAATATGATGAAGTCAGAAATTCCGCTTAAATTGAGTTGTCCGCATAACACACAAGGTTTCCTTGAATGACTAAGTCGGAAGTTACGCCTAAGAAATAAGACTAAGTTGAATTTTTCGCCTAAGACTTTACATTTATCCTTTTCTGCCTAAGCTCTAGGCGGAATCTGTTTGAGAATTTAGGCGGAAATTTCAGAAACTTAGGCGGACTTTGCTAGAAATTCCATGTCCGCCTTAACCTAGCAGGAAAATGTGGATTTTCTGAATATTTTAGATGGAATCCGCCTTATATAAGGCGGATTCCGTCTTACTTTTTCGTACGGGTATATATCCCTGTGTGTGAAAAAGAAAAGAATAATGTAAGGCTTAATTTTTCACCCCATTTAAGTAAAAGATTTATACCTTTAAATAATTAAGTTTTTCTTCTAAACCAGATGATTCTTAATTGAGAGAAAAAGTAAGTAGGGCCTATTTCATTTACTAATAGTTGTGATCTTGTGACAATTATTGTGTTTAAATGAACACTTTACAGTATTTGTACAGTCATGCTGAATCATACTATCAAGATACATGCATAAAGGCTGAAAACAATGGGAAATCTAAACAGGAACAATAATGATTGTTGACTTTGAAGCTTCTTAAAACTGAGAAGTGATAATTTCTTAACAAAGCATCCCAGTTTAGTTGCAACAGGCTTTCATAGGCATTGTATGTGCTGCTCCGGCTCTAATGAAAGTCATGGCTTACTCTGAAAGCCTGCTTGTCTTAGTAGTGAGAGCATCAGGTTTGTAGGCCAAGGGTTACTAGTGAGGTAAAAAAAAATCTGTGACAGTTGATAATAGACATTGAGTCTGTGGTATTCATGTGGTATGGAATAATTTAGTGGTGTAATTCCATATTTTAAATTGTATCTTCTATAACGAAGAATTTTACCGTTACACCGTCGAAATTGCCCGGCTGTTCAGTGATCAATTAGGAAAATAGATATTCTATTATTCATACTGATAGATCATCGTAACATATCTAGGTAAGTTATATAGATATATTCTAATTTTAATGCGATTTGTTTACAGTTTGATCTCTGAAATAATGAATGATTTTCGGATATATCAATAGATTCGGTCGCAAAATTTGTGAAAATATATCTGTGTTTAACTTTAAATCTGTAAATTCAGTGGAAGGTAAAATGTGCTGTTTAAATAAGTACCTTTGTTTTTATTTTGAATGACCATAAGTCATTTATAAGGCAATGCATTTTTTTAAACTGTACATTCAGAACAATTGTACATTGTTCAGTCACCAGGGTAAAGTTAGAAGTGACTAACAATCAGCAGATCACATGCAAATGTTAAAGGCCCAAATGCCTCAGAACTGGTTTCATTTTTATTTCTCAAAAGCTTTGTATTTCTGGTGTCCTGTTAATAGTTTCCAAAATGATACTCATTGGCCAATTACCTTAACCATCTTTTGCTTTAAAGAACTGTTGACCGTTCTTTACTGGCAAATTATTAGTACAAATATCAAGCAATTTGTATGGAAGTCAAAATACTACTGCTACTGTAACAGTTTGTTTACTTTTGCAACTATTATGACAGATACTTTAACTTCCTGTGCTACTGTTTTCAAGGAATAAGCATCTTACTTGCTCAAAATCCATTACTTAAATGTTATAAAATTAATGTTTGCTTTTTCTAAAGAAGAACAAACTTATTTACTCATTTCTGAGGCATAATGTTCCTTTAATGAATTATTGTAACATGACTTTGTTGTTTCATGTCCAAACATAGGTGAGCTTTTCATTTAGTTTACATTCATTGAATTGTAACATGGTTCATTTAAGAAATAATATCGGTCTTAGCGGTGTTTACCAGCTATTTAACACCGGTTTGGAGTTTTGATGCGTAGGAATTGACCATGCTGGTCGTAAGGCCTGAGTGGTTAATTTTTTCCGCATCAAAACAACAAAACGGGTATTAAATAGCCGATAAACACTGCTAAGACCAATATTATTAACCAGGTTTTCCGAAGGAAAAAACTGGTTATTAGATTGAGGTATGTCGGCGGGTGGACAGGCAGGCGGGCGTAAACAATTACTTCTGTGCGCAACTCCTCCTAAATTTCTCAACGGATTTTGACCAAACTTTCACAGAAGCTTTGTCATCAAGTGCCCTGGTGCATATTGTCGCGGTTTGCCATTGGATAATATTTGACCTAATTATGGCCCTTTGTTGTTTTTCCTTATATAGAATATATAGTGAACAATTTCTTCTGCGCGCAACTCCTCCTACATTTCTCAATGGATTTTGACCAAACTTTCACAGAAGCTTTGTCATCAAGTGCCCTGGCGCATATTGTCAGGGTTTTGTGACTGGATAATATTTGACCTAATTATGGCCCTTTGATTTTTTTCCTTATACAGAATTATCAATATATAGTGAACAAATTCTTCTGTGCTGAACTAGTCCTACATTTCTCAACAGATTTTGTTCAAACTTTCACAGAAGCTTTGTCATCAAGTGCCCTGGCGCATATTGTAGAGGTTTTGTGATTGGATAATTTTTTACCTAATTATGGCCCTTTGTTTTTTTTTTCCTTATACAGAATATATTTTTTCCTTATATAGAATATATAGTGAACACTTCTTCTGTGGCAATTCCTCCTACATTATTCATGTCTTACATTGCACATAGTTACATTGTTCATTGCTTGTATTTGTATTTCAAATACAACATATTTATCTACAATGGAGATAATTGAAAACCTGGTTTCGTGGCATTGCCATGTTTCTTGTTTAGATTCTAACAAGACAAAATAAGGAAGATCACCAATGTTACTTTTTCAAGCGGAGATTACTTCGGGTGCAGATTTTCTTATAAGACTGTTCGATTTCCCACTCTTCTGTTGCTAAGATATAGAAATTATTAAACAAAAGAAATGACACGAAAAGAAAGTTAATTTATCAAGTTTTCAACAATTAAAACTTAAGTGTTAGACTGGATTGTATTGTATTTACATCAGTGTTTGATTAATCATTGTCAGTTTAAAATGGCATCATTCATGAGTTGTTTACTAACGATGATGTCATTACGCTGCTAACTGTTAAGCGCCGTTTTGTCAAATTATTCATTAACTGATATGGATCAAATCTGTGACATTAGTGTATGTCAGATATTATTTCAGCATTATATGAAAAAAAACAACAGTCAAAGAACAGAAAATATTAATAAATATGTTTTTTATTGTTGCTTTAAAAGGCTTTGTAAACTATATAATCAAGGGAGAAAACATGACAGCTGCATATTCAAGTAGTCTGTAACGAGTGTTTATTGGCAGTTTAACACCATTTTTTTTCTTCTTTGTCTTTAGTGACAAAATCACAAGGAGTGTTAGAATAAAATATCAACAATATTTTCATAGGTACATGTAATATACAGCATAAGATCTTTGTAGTATTCTTTGCCTGGCATTTATGATGGTTCCAGTATGTTAAGAAAAGTATAATTGCTGTATTAGCCATTATAAATATAATACGTAGATTTAATTTTTAAGGACTTGTAATTGACTGATCACATAAAAAATTTGGATTTCTATATTAGAATTGACAGTTTGATCAATGATCTTACTGTCTCTTGATCTTACTGATAAGTTGATATGGCTATCAAAATCATTATAACTTTATCAGTGTGTTGAATGTAATAATTTGATAAAAGAACTAGAATAGTTGATGCATATCAAGAATCAGATTAATTTTAATACAATATATGAATATAATTATCTTTAGATTAAATATTGATAACTTTTCCGTAAAATATTTTATCTGTAATCTGTATTAATGATATAAACACCTTCTATAAATGCAATCCTTAGTTTCATCTCAAATATATAGGTAATGGAACAATATGAAATTAAGATACGGCACTTTTTGCATGATATAGACATATATACTGGAGAGAACGTCTGCATTAGTTCTTGTTGCAAATTAAATTCACTAATGTTTTACTGATATTCAGCACTGCTTTTGACCTTCCAACATTAATTTTGCATTATTTACAGCCAACATGTGATATTTTACCATTTTGATTTTTCAGGTGAGAAGGTGAAATTGAAAGATGTCTACAGGTGTGGGAGATACTGAACATGAAAAGCAACCATTACAGCAGGCAGAAGGCCGTGATGAGACAGAACCAGTGCCAGAAGTAACTCAGAATGATTCGGCCAATGATCCAAACCTTACGGGACAGTCCCTTATCAGGCACACTGATGAAACTCAAGAAAATGACCTTATGTCGCCTTACCAAATGGAAGCAACTCGAGTTACAGATGCATATGAAAATCCTTACAGAGAAACTACTGACAACAACCAGGGATTTATTCGGAGAGTTCCTAGCTCAGATTTAGTACCTACTCCGTTTAAGAAATTCAACCACGTAATTATCTTGTCAGTTATAGCAACTGTGCTATTCGTATTTGTAGGCGTCTTTGCGATACGGCTGGCTAGAAATGCAAAAAT